GGGGACAATGTTAACCGCGTACGAGTGTTGTATTAAGGGAGGATTTCGATGGATCGACCCGGAAGAGAGGATATCGATCTGGCAAGGTGCGAAATAAAAAAAAAAAGGCTCGTTCCCCGGCTTGATATTTATGACGGATTGACGAGGCGGATTCGATCGTTTTACCCCGCAATACGATCCTAGTATACGATTTCATTATATCACCAGCAGAATTAGATTGACGAGTAGACGATACGTATTTGGTTTCGAAATCGTAATAATAATTTTCGAATTAAATCTCCTCAATTGGGGATGTTGAAATACATTTAATTGAGCGCGGGTACGTGTTACCCTTTCCGAAGGGATGGAATCAATGCACGGAAGAAACTTTGGACGAAGCTTTGGACGTGGTTCCTTGGTCACGTATCTGGAACCATGATACGTGGCGTTACATATAATCGTACTCTAATACCAGGTATTAATTATAAATTGAAACGATTAATAGGGAGACTGGTATAGAGGTCAACGGTGCTTAAGAATTATGAAGAAAATTATTATTCACTTAATTACGCAATCTCGTCGTTGCACGAACTTTGTAAAACATGCGAACAATTTAACCGGTTGAATTGTCCAACTTTTCACAGGTAAAAGAAGAGAAAGGGGAGAATTAACATATTTCAGCAAAAGTATCGAGGAACGAAGAAGTTTCCTGAATAGCGAGAAATCGGAAGGAGAGTGGCTAAAGGGGAATTGGAAGCACAGGACAGACCACAGGGATTTCATACCTTCCGGACTTGTGAGAGATCTTTAAAATGAGATTCAGCCAATATCGAGCTTTAGAACTGGTGGAACGAAAGTGGCAGCCGAGAAAAGAGTGAGGGAACCGGAAGTAGGATAATGTGTATTTGGTGAAATTGTTAGGGTACATCGTTTACGTGTTACACTATCCGTGAATGAAGCAGATACTGCAAGTTTCGCTCCACCATTCAGAGTACCAGATGCACCCCTTGAAACTTTTCCTCCTTTTACTATCTCGGGTTTCTCTTGGAGAAATCTTAGCTACCAATCACCATTTAAACTGATACTAGAATTAAAGGAAATCTTTGAGCTAACTTTGCTTGCAATATCTTTTGTATTACTTTTTTCAAAATGTAGACTGATGATTATATGAAAAAACGACTGTTCAATCTAAAAATTGACCATTTTTTATCCTTATCCTCTTAGAGATCTTAAATTATCCGCTTGTATCGAGACGGGAATATTAAACGCAATCCATTGATAGAACTGCAGGTAAATGCAATTTTCTGACTCGGAATTCCGCGAAACGATAGGAGAATCGTTTGTTAAATATCTTCGAAGCAACCGGCGTATAAATTTCAGACTAAGCCGGAGGTAAAATCTGATGTAGTTAGGATCACGTTCAGCCATCCTAAAGGCATCGGATCACGATAGACTACGAGGAATCGTGGATCGCACTTGACCGATTTTCAATAACCAGAACGGCTTTAGGTATCGACAAATCATTCGTGTTCCCTGGTTATATTGTACAAGGGACACATTGTATTCGTTTCAGTTCTCTGAACAAGCTTATATGATGTTTGTTATTAAATACGCAATCACATCGTGCCATTCGCAACGCTTTTGTTATACGGGAAAGGATCAACTTTTGTCGATTCGTTTCAATATATTTTTCCTCGTTGAAAAGCGTACCGATTTTCAACCTTTCGCTATTAAGGGCTCCAGTCATCCGATCTAAAGGGCTTACAACTTGAAATAGGATTATTCGTTCGAATAATGTTACCTCTAATTGAAAATTGTTATTTGTTGAACGCGTTTTTTTCGAAACAACTCGTTAATATTTCATCTCATCCTAATTAAATCACCTATATTGGTATATATTTTTTAATTACTGCTTTTGAAAAGTAATTCACTTTCCTGTTTTTTTTTCCTTTTTTCGAAGGCAGATACGCATCGCAAACAAACTATGAAAAATATTTTATCCCAGCGTTATCGAGCTCGTACTCGTTTTTTTTTTTTTTTTTTTTATAAGGTACGAGTAAAAACGAAGCGTGAAAAATATGTTATTCAAAAATTGAGACCACTTATTAGAAATGTACTTGACTGTTAAAATTAAAAGCTCATGATTGAATAATTAATTCTAAAGGTATTTGTACGCGATTTGTTGGACGTAACTGAAACTTCTGTTAAAATAATACACTGCTCTTCTCATATTTCATTTTACTCGATTCACGTTGTTTTCAAGCGTAATTTCCTTGGGAAACGTAAGCCCACAGGAATAATGGAACACGAACGATTTGCTGTGAGGCAGCAATAGTTTCAAACGTTTACTCTGACAATACGTGTTACATTTCTCGCGCAAAATTTTATCTACTTTGTAATAATTTTGAAAAATAAATATAATTAACTTTCGTTTAGTTCTATAAGTATTCTGGAAAAATATGAAGATTTGTATACCGTAGGAACCGTATAATCACAGTGCAGTAATAACACCTGCAAAAGATTTATGGAAACGAAAGTTTCAAATTTATAACGCGTTATACTCAGGAGACGAATAACTTTCAGCCTTTTTAATGAGATTCCGTTGCGACGACGAAATCTGGAAAACTGAGCTCCAAGAATCCACGAAAATTATGTGGCGTTCACTTTTCAACAACACCGGGACGTTATTTACATCTTTCTATTTGCATTATCATTGTCTCGGATTGAATACGAAAAGAGAATTAGCGAGAATTTTAGATATAATGGATGGACACTTAAAAATGAATTGAAAAATATATGCTAATTAAAATTCAAATTAATATGGAAATTAATATTACTCTTGTTGCCTAAACTATTTTATCAATTTCAGAAAGATGATATTATTCTACCATAAGGAATGCAAATTACGAAATGTTTTTACAGAATTTTGAAACAACTTTCTCGAGGTGATACTATCTGTCGATCACCTGGGAAGGATTTATTTTTCAAATAGAAAATTTCTTTAGAAACACAACGAGCTCAAACTATCAACGGGTTTTCAATTTATTTTAACTTGTTTAAATTGCTTCGTCGTTTGCCTCAAAGGCAGGGAAAGATGGAACGCGATAAAACGATCGAGTATAAATTTATATTCCCTTCCAAGCAAACCCTCAAGGCAGAGTCAACATTTTGGAAAGAACCGAATTCTAAACAGAATATAGTCATCGAATATAGTCCAAAGAAATTCTATCATCGCTTAATATAATTTAATTGAATTCCTCTGTTTTAACCTTCGTGCGATGAAGTCATTTCGTTTCTTTCCATTCTTTCTTTCGTTCCTTGATTTTGATAAGTTAAAACTTTTCCTCTGTATAATATATCTGGTTGGTCTGAGAGCGAAGTTTTCAAATATCGAATCCCTAAGGACGATTCGCGAAGTTGGATAAACTGGTCGACAATCGGACGAGGGATCTGAACAATCTTCCTGTCCGAGGATTCCTTTCGATCCGGTTCATTGATCTTGATACATACATTACGATTAGATGGTAGCCGAGAGATTAAAAGTTGAATTTCACGTCTGGTAGAGAAGATCCGACTGCCTTTTGATATTTCTACGGATAAAGCTCGTTAAATTTCCGCCCTGTTGCCTTCTACCTGGCCCTTACCGATTTAATCTACTGTTAACGTTAACAACATTCAATTAAGGGCAACGCGTATACTTATCACGGTACGCTTCCTTCCAAATTGGATGGTAAAATTGTCAAAATGCTGAATGTGCCGTTAATTTTAATTTACTATTTCTCACTCATCAAGTGGAAATCGTTAAATGAAATTCAGATTTCAAGCGACGCATGATCGACTTTTGTTTACGAGCACTTGATTAACTTGATTTCTGAACAGAAAGCCGACCCCGTCAGTCACACATAAATTGATCTTAAGATTAGATCAGAGCTACACAATGGTGCATTGTTCATTCAGCGATACCAGATTGACCCGAACGAAACTTAAATTGAATTAAATTTCTAACGAACTCTGAGCTACACGTTTCATCGAATTGGGATTTCAAGCGAACCCTCGCCAGCAATTAATAAATCAATGGTTAACGATCAAATCTTTCCCGATGTACAAGTATTAAATTCAACGAGAAATCATGATCACTGTTGGCAACTTGAGGACACTCCGAAGACAGATATGGAGTCTGGAGAACAAGAAGATAAACATAGATCGTAAACTTAGGTTGGCACGTAGTTTCGAAAAATTTGCATACGGAAAGCCCTGTAGATGCCACAACTACTACGTGAATCTGTTTAAGGAAATGTGCCATCGTCGCTTAGGTCCCTAAAGTAAGGGGCTTTGTTCATATTCGCTTGTTAAATTTTCCTTATTTATATTTCAGCCTTCCTTAAAATAAAAAAATAAAAAATACGAAACTTCTATATGTATATTGGAAAACTAAATAGAAAGAAAAAAAACAAAATATCTCTGCGAGAAGAATTGAATTTTCTAGGTCACCGAATGTGTGTTTATTATCTAACAGGAACCATCGCGTAATCGTACACACGTTTTCTGCTTTTCCACACAATTTTTGCAACAACAGTGTTGTACAAAGAGGGTCAGGGGGATGAAATAGCCAGGATTTAGAATAAATTTCTAGGGCACACGAACGTGCCGAGGTGAGAGGTTTCCGAGGATGGTTAGCGAGCAACATGAATACGAAAAGGGTTCCTCTACCCTTGGAACGGAGACGTAATCCCTTCGACCGACATTTCCACGTACTCGACTTTGACTCGTCAGAGCGATTTTCAGATCTTCCCTCGAGCATCTCGTTGATTTCATCGGATCACCGAAAAACCGCGCTTTATTTACTTCAGGATGTATCATCGTATCTCGAAATCAATTTTAAGATGGATTTCAACATTTCAAATGTGATACGATTTCGTTTTAAAGAGGATATACCCGTTCGTATTCTTATTCGTATCTTAAACTGGAAGATACGTGGATCAAGGAAATAATTTGTCGCAAGGGAGAGAATGACCACTTACCGAATTGGATGAGAGAGATTACGTTTCCTGTACGGTCAATCTTCTTCGGTGAAGGGTACTGAATGGTCAGGTTGATCGAACATTGATGGATTCCAATGGATTCCTGCCAAGAGGGTTGAATTTCTACCTGAGAAAAAAGATAAGTGATATAAATTGAGCGTGTGCTGATGGCCACTTGATCGGTGAAATAAATGATTCCAATCGTTCAGATTTCATTCTGATTACTCAACGCTCGAAGTCGTGATATATTTTCCATAGGCTTTTAACACTCGAGGTGATACAGTGAAATAGGTATAGCCTCGTGTTCTATGCCATAAATCGATCAGATTTATCGAAGGCAAATTCAATAAAAAAATTAATAAAAAGGAAATCATTGTTCTGTTAAATGGATGTTAAATCCTTGCATTTCGAACTAGATTACTACGTCAATCAATAAGCATTAGCACTGTATCATCCCTTGTGCAATATTTACTCCGCTGTTCGTTCTAATTATGGAAATGAACCGCTATAATTAGTTTCGCACTTGTATGTTCACGTGTACATCTTCCTTGCTTCTCTCAATTGTAAATGTTTTCGTATGCTCCTTAGGTTACTTAAATGATGAGTAATTTTATTTCTCCAATTTCTCAATTTGATAGAAAAAAAATTAAATTTAGGTAACGAAGCTGTTAACGCAAAAATACGATATCAGTACTTTCTCAATTGCAATGTACCTAACAAAGAATTTCGTTGACGTCAAGCAGTCATTATCTTCGATTGAACGGATGAAGAGTTTATGAAAATAATATTAGCTGAGACGAAAATAATTGACTATTTTTGTACTTCCTCGTACAAAAGAAACTGAAACGTTACATGCCCCTTCGAACAGGCCATTATATTGATAATTATGAGAGACAGTACATTTCAGTGCCTGTAGAATATTTGACCACAAATTTCCGATAGCCTGGTTATCGAAAATCTGTTCAATCTTCGAGTTCGTTGACCGGAAGGAGCACTTCGGTGTCTTTTTTTCCTGCGCTTCAGCCCCGATGGAAATCTGACATTCAAAGAAGCAACAGACGCGAAGTAGCAAAAATATTCTCCGCTAAGGTTATCAGATTTCCCTGGAAACTATTTTTCTATTCGAAGTTCCTTTTTCTTGATATCGTAAACGAATTAGAAATTATCTATATCGAAGTGGATTTTATTTTAAAAAAAATCCTAAAAGCCTTATTGGAAAGCTTCGTATTATACGGTATGCAGAGAAAGGATAAGCAAAAAGAGGTAAAAAATGTCGAAACCGAAGCAGAAAGTAAAAATGATGGAAACAGAGTGAGAGAAAAAAGATCGTGAAGATACTAGTGTAAAACGTGTATCGAGTATCGTGTATCGGAAATCAATGTTCGCAACGCCTGTTGCCACAATGCATGCAATGCATTTGTTTGATTTCATGAAAATATGGATTGCGTAGACGTATGCGTGAAGAATGTTCATGGCATTTGACATTTATTTTTGCACTACCAGTTGCATGTTTCGATATTTCAATGCGTTCTGTCGAATACCAAATAATTTCATTCGACCTTTCAATGGAGATAAATTGACCTATTGTTCAGAATAATAATTTAATTATCGAGGAAATATTTTGTCTTTGATCGAAGAATCGTTCCCTTTATTTAGTTAGCCTCTAAACAAAATTATTTATAACAAAATTGGAAACCTAATGGGATAATCACATCTATTCCTGTGCTTTGAAATATAACACAATATTCTACCATAATTTCGAAATATCTATATATGTATATTATTTCGTGGTTAATATTACATAATAGTATATTAATCCATTCTGTAACCAATTTCCTACACCGTGACCACAATTCCGCAGTCACGCACCTGCAAATGTACCCAAATTGCAGAGAAATGTAGTAAATTGAAGCAAATAGAGAAATTAATGGATATTCTATGAAAATTCTTGATAATCGATCAAATTCCTTTAAATTGAGGAACTTTTTGATACATAAAGGAAAATAGAGAAGTATTAATTTCGAACAGATTAGAGATAATTTTCAGAAATTCCACCAGTGTGATTAAAAAGAATGAAATGTTCTTCCAACAAAGGGATGGAATATTGAAATTTTCATCAATTGAGTTTTAACGTGTACTTGATTTACTGTCAACGTTTGTGACACGTTCGCATGGTGTTCCAATTCTCTACGGTACTCCCATCAAACTAATAGAATTTCTGATGCAAGTTTCACTGCAATGGGTATTCAATCACTATTAAACCTTGCTGAGTAATAACCATTACAACGTTCATTAATCCTGGTTCTTGTAATAGATGATACACTACCGTGATCTTAAATCAACCCCTTTCTATTCCCTAAGGAGATATTTTTCAAACTAACTGTTACATGTAGAATATTTTACGATTATGTATTATTAATAAGAAGAAAATTCATTCTGAAACACCTGATACATTCACGGAAGGAGGATGACTGGATTGTAACACGCAGAATAAATATGAAAATTTTCAAGAAAACTTGAGATATTCTTGGCACGCGTTTTGAAAATACGTTTTTCGAAAAACTATCTGCATTATGCACTTCGGTGCACAGAAATTTACTTATGTAATGTCACCTTCAAATTCCAGCAAATTCGAAGAGACATTTTCACGACGACGCGTTTCAAGAATATGTAAATATCCAAAATGAATGTTAAAATTTCAATAAAGTTGCATCACGTATTAGCTACTTCTATTTCATTAATACTAAACCTGTTCGCTTGCGCACTGAATTAATTATTCTTCGACTTTAGAACATCTAACTCTGACATTAGCGAAACTTTCCAAACTAGTGAATTTTTCATTATTTATTTAAAGCAACAGCCTGAATTCAAAGAGTGAACAGTTTCCAGCCTTTCAAGACCGTCATACAGTTGAATTGGACCACGTACAAAGGACAATGGTAGGTAATAGCCAATTCTGAAACTGAACAGGAAGGGAAAATTGCATGTTGTTAGAAATCGAGAATGGAGAATCATATGCTTCGTAAGTAATTAAAAAAATTATGAAAAATAAACAGCATCACCAACTGTATCCTATGTTTTCTTTTTCTATTTTTCCTCGCTTGATAAAACAAAATCAAAAGTTTTAAATGTACCAAAGTATACAGTTTATATTGTTTTATGGTGTTTCGTTGGAAGAAAGGTAATTAAATTCCAAAGACACAGAGGGTGCAGTTTACCTCGAAAACTACGTTCGTTTCGTTTAAGTTTACTTTGATACGCTTCTTAGACCCACGTTTTCTTCTCGTCGTACGTAATTACTTCGCAACAACGATTCGATTAATTGGCAAGCTTTCACGTTAACTGTCCTACCTCCAGAGAACTTGGATACCGACGATGAAGAGACTGCTTCCACGTAACACCTTTACGTGAACCGTATAGAAAACAACAAATTTCATGTTACAAAGCGAAGAAATCTTGGCTTTATATAAGCTTCCTGTGAACGATTAACTCGTAGTCAACAACGATCTCCAACAACCGAGATTTAACGTTGATGAGCAAATGGTTTGCGAAGAATTAAAAATTACGAAGAAACGTAGAACGAAACAATAAAACAATTTATTGTAACATCTCCGCGCTGTCGCTTCAATTATTCAACTTCGAGGAAGAATCTTCAGTGATGTTCGAACTATCACTGTGCTAATCGAACAGACACATACATTCGATCGATGTCAATTAAGACGAAGGCCATATCGCTTTGTTATCTGGCAAGATATAGATGACAAAGGCTGTCAGGGAGCCTTTGAAATCTCGTCAAGATCACGGAAACAGATCGGCTGGTCTGTGGCTAATCGAAAGTGAAACGCAACAGCTCTCTCCAAAATCACAGCTAATATTAATATTATAGTAGTCTCTTGTTATATTGCCGCGGTGAGGGTACAAATTTTTCAAGCTTCCAAACTCTAATTAACTAATCATTTACAATTTTTACATTTACCATTACACTGGAAGTCGTACGCTCTCTCCAAAATCACAGCTAATATTAATATTACAGTCTCTCGTTATATTGCCGCGGTGAGGATAAAAATTTTTCAAGCTTCCAAACTCTAATTAACTAATCGAGCCCGCCCAAGCCCGTAATATCGGGTACCCGCGCATCCCTACTGGATATACTCAGATCACTTTATGGCATTGTCAAATACGACCTGACACGCCACCGTATATTACCAACGAATAATGACCCTGATAACGGCGTCACGTGCCGTTTTAGATAAATTCCTGAAATGTTTCAACAGCTATTCGCGAATCGCTCGACTGGAATAAAGATCAACAACCAAGAGGCTTGGATTTCGTTTTCACCTCTCATCGATTCACTTTGCCTTTCGATTATAACGGGACCCGAATTTAATGAAGAAAAATTGAATTTGTGATATATCACAATAAATTAATTTGATAAATGTATACGCTTAGTAGTCAATATATGCACATACTAATTCGATGACTAAATGTATTCATAAGCTATGAAATTTAAACTTTAATAAAAGCATCTGCTCAGGTTGCAGTTTAATGAATGCATTCACTAGGAGGCAACAATAATCCTATTAAAAATAGGACGCACGACGCATGATATATTTCCATTTAAATAATGCTTTTTAAATCGTGAAATTTTAATTTCGAAAGTTTCACAGTAACGTGTTATTAAACTACGGCTGCTTATCAGGAAGTCGACATTTTCGTGACCTCAAAATTGCGAGCGTGAGTCGTAACCAGCGACAATTCCCATTATCGCAAACGTCTATCATTGAATGCATCTTTGTAGTAAATGAAGCATGAAAGCACATTTTCCCGGGAACGTGTAACTTTGTTAGAATTTTACCTCCAAAGATAACGTTACACCTCGCGTTTCTTTATTTTCATTTCTTTTTCCGCCTACGTTTCCAGCAATTGCATATTTTATCTGATCAGAAATTGTATTTACGAATAAGTGCCTCCATTTTTGAAATTTTGTTACAGAAACATCATTGATGTATAAATAAGTCGTTATACGAACATGTAATATCATAATCGTTATTTCCAATTAAAAAAAGAATAGGAGAATATGTTTATTAATTAAAATTAATGAATTTTGTAGTTGTATAACTATTTAATTACTATTATTAAAGAGAAATAAAAATATACTCACCCTCGGGATTTGCTTGCCGCTACGTACTGGTGCTGCACCATGCGGCCAACTCTGGTGAAAGTTTTGTACAGCACCAAGCATGGTAGACTTCCCCATCTCTGGCTGCTGCAGATACCTAAAAACTATGATTATTTTTTATTCTAATTCCTGCCATTAAAAGCGCTGTAATGCAAAATTAATTCCAATTGATATAAACAATAGGGTGTGACATGAAAATGGTAAAGGTTTGTGTCTGTAATGACATGAAATCAGCTAGGACAGATTCCTACATTTTATAAGAATCGACCGCATGAGGCAGCACTTTACCGAACCAAGCAAAACCCGGGCGTGTTACTATCTCTGTATTAATCGATCTGCACTTTAATTGAAATTGAAACTATGATTGAAGCTATGGAATCACGTAGAAATGGTTTATAAACTCAACGTGTTGTAAACATAATGCAAGTTGAATTCACTGAATAGCTTGATTAAATTTCAAATTTGAACAATTATTGATATATTATTTTTTAATACAACAGGGTAAGTCTATCATCATCAACATCTTATTGTTATTAATTGTAGCCTAGCAAATAACACAAAAAATTTATGTCTATCCAGGTATCTATTATAAAAATGGATATTCAGAAGCGAAAAAGAAGTTTTTATAACAATAATAAGAAAAAACATAAGCAATTTAATTTGGAACCAGGAATGATCGGCTTCTTATGCACATGCAATTATCGCGAGAAAGATTGTATACGCGATGCTTATAAATTACTTAATGAATTTGCCGATGAAATTTATGGATCAAATACCACAAAGGTATAGTGTAAATATAGTTGAATACCACAAAGATAAATAAACTAAATCTCTCTTTGATTCAAGGATTCTAACAATGATAATATGGAAGGATCTGAAATAAAAAAACAGGATTCTGTATCTGATACTGAAAAAAGCGATGAAGAAGACATATCAACTGCTTTAAACAAAGAAATTAAAGAATTGAAAACAGAATATGCTAAGCCAGTGGATTTCAGAAGATTTCAGGTAAAGTTTGGAGAAAAAATTGGAATTCTTTTTTTAGAAAAATTGCCAAATAAACATTGTTTTTTTAATCTTGTGTTTAGATAGTTGATACTGGCGTGAAAAACGTAATTTTTGTAAGAAGTTCCTTAACAAATCCCTTGGAATTGGTGACTAAAATTATTACAGAATTGGATAAAACAAAGCAACAGCGTACAAGATTCTTACTAAGATTACTTCCAATTGAAGTAGTATGCAAAGCTTATATGACTGATATAAAATTGAAAGCAGATGCAATGCTTGAAAAATACTTTGCACAAGAACCAAAAACATTTAGTATTGTTTTCAAGTAAGATTTTTAACATTTAAGTTGTAATCTTAATCAATTTTTACATCCAATATAATTATAAATTATAATTTTAGTCGTCATAGCAATAATAATATAAACAGAGAACAAGTTATTGAAGATTTAGCTGGATTAATAAGCAAGAAGAATCCTGGAAACAAAGCGGATCTAAAAAATCCAGAGATTGCTGTAGTAGTTGAAGTGATACGTGGTGTTTGCCTAATGTCTATTGCTCCACATTATTATAAATTCAAGAAATACAATTTATTGGAGATATGTAATATAAAAGAACCTGCAGATAATGCAAAGGTAGTAAAAACAACAATAATTTAAACTACTAAATTTACATTGCAGTATTACATATAATATGCATACTTAACATTTTTAGAAAAGTAATACCGATGAAACAGAAGAGTCAAAAATGAATAAAGATACAAAAGAGGATACAGATTTATCACAGAAGACAACAGATGATAACAAAGAATCAGAAAACTGATATAAATTGTATTAACATTTATGTAATAAATGTATTGGCTGTACTTAGATTAAGCATTAAAAAAATATTGTTTTCTTTTGATGATTAATAGAATACAATTATGTACATAAAATATCATGTACTTCAGATTGTTTGTAACATTTACTTTTTTATTATTTATATATTTGTAAAGTCAAAAAGTAGTATGTAGAGTTATAAGAAAAGTGTATAATATATAATTTCTATATTAATAAATATTTTTCATAGTCAAATTTTTCTGCAGTTAATTACATTTAAATCGAGTAAAACACAGTTGAAACAAGATATAACCCAACTACGCAGTTCCTCTCACACCTAATTATTTATTACTTATTTAACGAGAAAACAAACCTGTTTCGCGCAGCTCAAGGGGACCCTTCTACTCTTATTTCTAACTTTGAAGCACTTTATGACACTTCGAGGTCACATACACGGTGGACAAAAATATGTGAACACAGAAAGCAACTGATTAACATCGAAGGTTGAAGAGTATACTGAATATAAAGACGCCGGATATGCTGCGCAGTGTCACCACGCACTTGCGCAGACGAAGTATGCTTGAGCCAATCAGAGTTAACCATGCGCAAAACGAACGGAAACTCGTCGCCATCAGGCGATACTTCTTCGTTGGACGAATAATTGAGCTGCTGGCGCGAGGTAAATTTGACCATTTTGTTTGCATGTGACTTGAGGTTTTTTGAGCGTCGTAGAAAATAACGCTTGTTTACCATAATGTATATACATTAATGTTAAAGTATAGTTAAAATATTTTAAACAAATTTTGGGATGAAACATAAACGGATTATCAATCAAATTTTTTTATTAATAGTATACAATAGTAGAAGTATATAACATTATAACATAATGAAAGCACTTTTCTTATAAAAAAGTATTTTAAATATCAAAGATCAAATTTAAGATTCATAAACTGATATTTAGTTACTATATGAAATGTCTGAAACTATAATGGCACATAAGTACAAAATATATAAGGCTATAGTTTCATATTGAAGATGTAATGCAAAGATAACAGTACATATAAAGATATACCTAATATGAATGTAATATGCACTATACAGTTAAACATGATAACAAAATTTTACAATTTTGTTTCATTTCACCTATTTAAAAAAATATTTATTTAAATGTTCGTCAAACATTGTAAATTTTGACACAGATCATTGATTTATGATATTATAAATACTGGTAGTTAACAAAAGATTATCTATAAACCTATCACATTTCTATTTAAGATTTACAAACACTATTATGTGTTTGTAAAATATTGAGCACTCTTTAATATCAAAGTAATTGTTGATATAGTTATTATCGAGCACATTAATTATGCAGAAATATTATATTTTCAATACAGAAAAAATAGTCCTTTTATAGCTTACTCTATGATAAGAATATAACAACGATATGTTAAGTTTAAAAATCTTTAACGAACTATTGATATCAAATTATAACAATTAATAATAACGAGCAGAATTTATATTACTGCAACATACGTTTTTTCCATTACATAAAAAGACTTTTTATTCACCTTTTTAATAATGGTAAGTCATTATAATCAAGACTGCAAAAAAAAGATGAAAATAAATAAAGCATAATACATATGGCTATAATATTTATGAATATTATGATGACTAAAGAATAAAAATAGATTATAAATTAATCTAAGAATAATTTTAATTATATCTGGCATGCATGTAGAATAAGGATATAAGAAACAAGGATAAAATGATTTTACGAAAATTTTTAATTTAAAAATCATAATAGTCAGCTTTCTGTGTATTCTTTTTTTTGACTAGACCCTTTTTTAGTTAAAAATTTTTTAATTCACTTCATGGCCTAATAAGAAATAGTGAACAAAATAACTAAACTATTAATGTAACATTTTGAGTTTTTTTCTAGTTTCTTATATCGAGTGAACTTATTTAAATAAAATACGTAAAGTCTTTACCAAGTAAATTTTCTCATTTCTCTCTCGTCGGGCATTTGCTTGATGCAACATTCAATTACAAATATTCATATTTTTTGAGATCATCAATCAATGTTGAGCAAATTTACATTCATAGATATTTTTGGAGAGATTAAAATGTTCGACGTCCGTACACGCTCTCTATCTTCATGAGCATTGCTCGAATCCGAGTTATTGCTGGTATTGTTATTATCTTCTTCGTCATTTGTATTAGATGAAGAAGGGTTATTGGTCTGTAGTAAAACTGTATTCGTGTTATTGTCTACTTGTTCTACCTCATATTGGATCAGGTTGCCGTTAGTAATCTCTACCGTTAACTGGCTGCAAGAATACAATTACACAAACATTACACACATATGTAGATATGTAAATATAAAATTGCGAAATTCTAAAATGTTTAATATTTTATTTACTTACTCTTGTTGCCAAGTATTCGACTGAACATCAGTAGGAGTTATTTCAACTACAGATTGCAACTGACCCGTTGTAGTCATATTCTCGTTGTTTAAATTATTATCGTAATTGGGATTCGTACGTATCCAGCTCGGTGGCTTAAAACCGGACGCGCAAACAAGGTTGTTATTATCCTTGAAATTTTTATTATTATTGAATGGTATGTGTTGTAGTTCTTTTCCATGACTAATAAATGGGCCTGTAAAACACAAATGTGTAAAAAATCGTATGAAGCATTTGATTAATACCGTTGATGTAATCGAAGATACGTAATTCTATACATGTTATTACCACTTTTTGAACAGCTCGTAGTTAATTCGGCGTTCAAGTAGGTAGGTATACTGTAATAAAATAATTGTGTTTTTCGTATAAAAAAAATTAACCGTTTTTATTCACGGTTAGTACTACTAACGTGTACATGAAACTGTTAAGAAGTGTGCAAGAAAGCCATGAAAGCAAGTTACAGTGCCTATGTTTTCTTAACCGAACAATTGCCGTCGATTTGTTGAAACTTCTTTTACCACAACATACTGATTACATATAAGACGCGTTAAAAAAAGGACTTCGGAAAAGAAATTTACCCTCAAACAGACGGCAAACTTTAATTTAATCTACTGAGTCGTTTACAGTCACTACCTTTTGTGTTGATTTGCGATAAATAGTTACTAAATAGTATAATTATATGTTGTAATAGTGAATAATGATACCTATAAGAATTTCAATAATACTCACTATTTTCAACTGGTGGAGCACTTGGTTCCATCATACTAAGGTCGCCACATTGTTCCGGCTTACTATTTCGTCTTTTTGACGCTCCTGAAACATACCATTATAATTATATTTTATTCCATAATGAATCTATAAATTACATACTTTTATTTTTATTACTTACTTCTCCTAACGTATAGACCAACAAGCATAACTAATAAAGAAACGAATAGGACACCGCTAATTGTTGTCCATATGATGATTGTGTTAATGTTTAATTTTCCTACATCTGCAAAAATCAAAATGACGACAAGAAAAAGGATCAGTTGAAAGGTAACAATGTTAATTAAATGAATCATAATGCACGTATTATTTAATGCCTTTTCTTACCAGGGACATCGTTTTGGATATTTGCCTTCTTGCACACCCACGCCATTTCACCTGTACCTAGTTCTTCGGCCGTGTAACTACAAACAATTTATTTTATACAATTTTTATTTCATTATTTGACAATCAAAGAATGTTATTCTATTCAATACATTCTTTACGACGTTGGCAAAGTATAGTTACCCAGAAAAACATGGTCCGCACTGAGAAGGATGTCGCGATCTCTTATCCCGATTTTCTTGCCGATTGTATCTGCTACATTGAGTGTAATCAACGCATCGTTCAGATACACGATAACAATATTGTTGTGCAGAACAATCGGCGTCGTCATGACAAAACCCTTCCTCTATCGTAGCCTACAAAATAAAAAAGAAACCTATTTTTAAATCAAGCATTTAAAACTTCGATCTTGTGATATCCGAAAGAAGACACTTTCGAAAATGTCTATAAATTTTAATTTTGTCGTTTATTATACGTTATAAACATCATAACAATTGAAATAATATTTCTTAGTCTATTAAAGACTAAATTACAGTAACAAAAAAAGGAATAGATCGAATGCCTGCTCGTATCGAGGTTTTAATTAATTAATCTATTTGTAACTAATTTAATCGATGAATTATTTAGCTATATTATTTATTAAAATACAAAAGTGACACGTAAAATAATAATTTCAGAAATAAATATCGCAATCTTCAGTTTTATTAGATTATCTGAGAAAGGGACCACAGTGGTACGCTCGGCATTTCCGGTTTAACTCTCAAGGTTCTGGATAGATCTCTAAGATTTCTACATCGGTTTAAAATCGTTTGTAATACAAGTTTCTATTTAATTTACTAAATGATTTGTTTAGAACTATTTATATTCGTGGAAACTGAAACGCAAATTACAGTAAAGATTTTATATTACCAAGTTCTTGAAATTTTACAAAATAACAGATAGTAATAGTATAAAATAGTATAATTTCTTTGTAGAAAGAAAAAGTATTTTAATTTTATGTTTTTTTATATTAATCTAAGGATGAAAATAGTTTCCCGGTGATTGTAACATAAATACTTGGTAAAAATAATTTATATAAGCTTTACTTTATGAAGGATACTACAAATTGTCGATATTATTACTATTTTATATTAATTGAACGAAATACGAAGGAATGATTCTGCAAGATTGGTGTTCCGCCATTTTATTCGACACCAGTTACCATCTTGAATTCCGTGCGTTCACCGTGTATCTTAAAATGGATGCTGATGAAATTCGATCATATCGTAGTCGTTACCCTGAGTTTCAGCTATGATAAGTTTGAATTTGTAAAGAATAAACTACTGCAATTAACACATTCAAACGTAAACGCTATTTTCTTGTACAAAAATTCAAACAGTGTAATAATATTTGGTAGTACTAATCATTTACCTTTTTTTTGAGTTCAGCATTCATTTTGAGTATAATAGATAAGTTTATCTTCAGATCTTTCTATCACGCACTTAAATTCCTGAATTTTTCTTGCAGTCGTTTAGGAATTATAATGTATCACGTTAAAAGGGGTCACAATGAACTACTGATTGCGACAAACGCTTAATAATACCGGTATAGTTATGATATAGTAATTGAAGTAAAAAAATATTTTCTATATCAGATAACGAAATTGATAAGAAACAGTTTCCGATAAGTTACCGGTGAATCCATCAAATTTTATCTTTTGTCTAAATGTCTAATGTTTATAACAAAAAATCTGAAAATTTGATTTACCTTGAAATCGGTTAACGACATTTAGCGGTCAAAACCGCGTCTTATATATAAACAAAGAAGAACGAAACTTGTATTTGACTGCAAATTATTAAATAAAGATTGTTTTATTTTAAATTTACAATGATTATAAACGAAAAGGAATATCGCTTTATCAATAATAGTAGGCAAAACATAAAAATGCCCGATATTATAATTGCTTCTTCACTTCTTCACGATATCTTGTTTCTATGATGGTTACGGAGATTCCCGAACGAAAAAGAAAAAATGGGGGTCGCATGACTCATCGTCGCGCGCGTCCAATGTGGTACCGAGAATTGTGGAACACATATTCTGGTTCTAGTAATAAGACCATGGTACGATTTACAAAATACTACGCATTAAATTATTTGATAATTATTTCGTTCATATACGTAATTTTGTATAAGTGAAAGTAGATAAAGTTGTGTAAAATATTAACAACTGCTGCGGTGATGCCCGTAACACAATTCGAAGGCGTAATTCACGTATGAGATACACAATTACGTATTAAATAAAATACAATTTATAAATAATTTTGTTCAATATCATCTGATCAAATCTTAGAAAGCATGATGAAATACTGGGAAAAGATTACAGACACGTTTCTATCAAAAAAAGAAAAAGAAAGGGAGAAGGTGAAGAAACTGATAAAAGAAAAAGATCTCTCATTGAGATCGCACGATTTGACACTCTGTATTGCATCGTATAATAGCAATTATAATCAGTTTGTTCACAAGGGGCCCCTGTAGATATGTAAATGTGTATACATCGCCGTTGACATGTGTTCATCACTTTATATACAATTTGACACCGCAATCGTGTTCGAAATATTAAGGCAATCAACGATTATATGTATTCTTCTCAGCCATTTACATTAAGAAAAATATATCATGTTAAATTAGATTATTTTCTCATACTTTACAACTGACGGGTAGATAGAGAAAATTACTATTTTTTTGACATACTTAGCAAATTAAAAATTTTTTTTACTTACCATTGGAGGAGATTATACGAATGTCCAGAAATTGGAAATGTGTATTGTTCCCGTAATCGTAATCGCATGCGCCCAATATTCGTCTCAAGATTTTTGACAGATTCATTCGTGCGCACACTTTCGCACGTAAAATACACCCGCACCGTTCAAAATCCACCTGTATTCTGAGGCTGTTGCTAATCGCTGGAACCGGCGTACACTGAACGTGTTCGGACCTGCTCACGACGAGTCAGGTGGTGGGGGTGGCGGCAGTGGTGTAGTCGTGGTTTTGCGGACCACCATTTCTCGTAAACAATAGAGAACAAGTCTCGTTAAGTAGTCTGCAGCTGGGGGAGAGGGCCAATGTATGCAGTTTAAAATCTTATTGTTAGCGGGGTTGAAAATATCTATAAAAAAAATCGATACCTATTCAGACCTTCAACTCGACTTTAGTTTAATTTGTATTTCTTAAAGTTATGGGCACAGAAGTTCTATATTAAAAACCATAGTTCCTTTTGTATGGTCAGTTCAAAATTTTAATATAACAAATTAAACTCATAAATGATTCTCTTATGTCCATTAAGAGCCATCAACCACATGCAAAACGTTTCGACAAGCTAATACAAACGCGTCGTCACCTACATTATAAAACACTTTAAAGGGCCGTCTTTAGTAATTACAATTGTCAGTGTCGACGTTGATTTATTTACGTATACATGTGTTTTTTACGTCACGTTTGGTTCTTATCTCGTACATATTTTTCATTATCAATTTATTTAACGCCACAACAAGTAAACAAGTATTAGGTTTTTACAGTATATACACGGAATCATTGAAGGTGAAATATTTAAAAACCAAATTTAATGAAGTAAAAAACATAATATGTATTTCTCATTTTAGTATATATGTACATACACTGATGAAATGGGAACAGCCTTATTTCTATCGATTTACGATACAATAATAAGCCATATTATAATACTTAAAATACTAAACACAAAGCTTTGAACATTTTTAGAATATCAGTTTTAGAATATAAACAGCTCTCCTTGTTTTTTTTGTTAGTGTCCAGAGTTCAGAATTATTAATTTAAGACGTATTATTACATATTGTTGTTTTATGCTTTGATTTTAAAACATTTTTCAGCATATTTAGTTTTCTTTAATTCACATTTTTGTTCTTTCAAATGATATGTAATTAATAATTCTTAGTTGAGTTTCAATGCAAATAATAATGCATCAGTACTCAGTAATAAACAAAATTATTCCCAAATAAAGTTTAAATTATCGCATTATCTATTTTTCAATATTATTATAACCTATAAGCTTATTTCAACAAAAAAAAAAACAATTAACATACACTGTCGGAAATTTATTATTTTCCATAAGTTTTTTCTTTCTCTGAGGTATCCAAATATATGAACCATTTGACTCTTTATTCCAGGCACTACTTCATTCTTCATATTATGGTCTGTGCTAGCTTATTCATCATTGGCAGTAAATTGACATTTACATTACTTCCATACTGTTGTGTGTGCTTTCTGTAAAACCCAAGGTTGATGTTGGGGCATCTTGTGATGTTTCTTCCAGGCTCTGTGGATCCATGCCTTCTGGTACATTGTTTGTTGTTGAACTAGCACTATCATCCCAATTTATTTTAAATCTAGTGACACGTGGTTTATCTCCTAAGATATTTCGTTGCACCTTATCAAACTGAGGCTGTGGCGGTGGGTTTTCTCTAAGTTCTGCATCTGTGTATTCATTATTTATAAAGTACCCAACACGTACAAACTCATGTCCTCTGTATGAACAAGTCAGTAAAACAACTGTAACACCTAATGCATCATTAACTGGAATTCTACTGACGTCTGGAGGATCAGCCTAAAATAAATAATAATTCAATGTACATGAAAGATGGTATTATTAAACACACTTTAATCAAAATCTTAAACAATGGCTTTTATGTTACAATTTAAATTACAGATAAAATTTTGTTATTAACTTACTTGAAATACAAACATATGCCTCCCTTCAGGAATTGGACCGACATAAATTGTATCTAAAACTTGATCGAATTCTTCAGATTCGGCACTGCCGACATAGATCATCTTCCATTCTAAATCTGCAATTCCATTGTTATCATTATGATTAAATACAACTTATTTATGATAGAATGATTCATAGCATTAATTGTCAAAAAAATATAATCAAATCAATGGATATCAATCTTCTTTTTTATACCAAAATCATAATGATAAATCTACAGACTCGTCCTTGGAAAATTCATTATTAAACCGCTGAAGCTAACCTAGCATAAGTGCTAAAAATATTCAAGTATGTATTTCTTGTTCACAGTGTTAATCAAACTGTATACTTATATTTAAGAATAAGAATAAGATTAAATAAACTACCTTCTTTCAGTTCTTCGATACATTCAAAAGTAACTTCGAACTGAAATGGATTTAGAAACGGTGAAGGATTATCGAGAACAGCTACATTTGCTAGCTGAACTTTGGCCATCGTCTTCTTTGTTTAACCGATAATTTTACTGTAAGACAAGAATTTTACGGTAACAATTCTGAGAAACAGTTTATCAGATTGTTTTCTTTATATCAAATCTCTCACTTAATCTTTTATAAAATGAAGAATCTCGAATCAAAGGATAAACAATTTCATCACAACACACAGCTTGCTTTGGCGGCAAACGAACCAAAGGACGTTTCCGGTATTTCGGGGACTACCAAAATTTGATGTGATATTATACGCACTAACGTAAATTTCAAATACTAGGCGGATTTTTAAAAAATTTTGATGATTGATTTCATATGAATTTCGAAGATGAACCTACATTCCTTATTATACGGTTATATTTTGTTATTTAAAAGTCATTCGTTTCGCATCTCTAGCGCTTTTACTCAAAATTTTAGCGCGACGCGATTCGAATCTTTCTACTATAATTCAAATTTAGAATATATAGTTCATAGTAATATAAAAAACAAAGATTAAATATATGTGTCGATAAAATTTTAAATCACATGTGTATATTTGAAAAGTAAATTGTATGTAGTACGTATGACTTACCCGTCCTTAAGGGTTATTTACAATATAACCGATGCAATATGTACATACAAATACAAGTTTGAAAACCCAATATATGTATGTGTAGAATACATACATATATGCATGTATGTGCGTATGAATATTAGATCCTGTATGACGTGGTGTTCAAAGCGTCAAAACACGAAAATACGTTTAGAGTGACATTGTATTTGTATAAATTTAATTAAACAAAATTTTTAATTCGACTAATTGAAAAATTTAGTAAATAAATTTGAGTACAAAGAAATCAGAAAATATGGTTTACATATCGGATGGTAAGTACCTTAACCTCTGTACGCTTAATAACATTTTACAATTTAACTTTATTTGAATAAATGTAAAATTCTATTAAATATTAATGTATTTTATTTTTTCAGATGGTAAGGTTTTGGACACAACTCCACTACATTTAAAAGTATTCAGATTCTTCACTGGTATAATTTATATGGTTGTTATGTTGTAAGTGATCTCTATCACTTTTTATGGTTATTACTTTGTGAAAGATCGAAATATATTTTAACAAATTTAATAGTTTCAGAACATTGATCAATCCAGATATGAACAAACATGGAAGTGAATATACAAGAGATTATAGACCTGGATCTGGGTAAGAAGTGATATAAATATATTTTCTATATAATTCTTAATTAAAATTCTGTTTTCATATTTAGGCCACCACGTCCACCAACACGCAGATTAGGGAGACCTAACACAGGAAATACTATAAATGTTCCATTTGGAGGATGTAGAAGTTGTGCTAGATAAATGAACATTCAGGAAACATGAGAATACATACAATTTTTATATAATTACCATAACACTATAATTATTATTATATTAAAACAAAATTAATGAGTTATTGGATTACAAAACATGGAAGTTACCTAGTGAATGAGTAATCAAATTTATTCCGAATAATTTTATTAAACATATTACACTAACTTCACGTTAAAAATGTTACAAATCATTATAAATATATTACATATTATATACTGACTATAAAAGAAGTGATCTTGTTATAGCAAATGAACCTATATGTACATAATGTATTGACATAATTTAACAAACATGATGATAATTTTTATATATTTTCAGCAATATGTAAGTGTAATAGCTGCAACAGTACCAGATGAATATTTAAATGAATCTCTACCATTATAACACTAGGATAGTAATATAAAATTGTTATTACTACTTGATTTTTGTAATCAGTCCAGCTGCAATAGTTGTCCCTTCCACGCGTAGCGTAATTCGACCTAACTGTTTAACATCTTTATATAATTCCATACAAACTGGATTTTGTGTTCTAATTTCAACAATAGCGCTAGAATTTTTTGGTAAACAACGCGGTTTCTTTTTTATGGTCTCACCGGTAGTTCGGTGAATTTGGGCTATTAATTTCGTAACTACAGCTGGTTGTACTAGAGATTGTTGGTGCATCACTACTGGAAGACCTTTCATAATTGGTATTTTAACTGCAAATACAACTATATGCGCTTCGAAACATGTAGTTACAGGAACTGGATTTTGTGGGATACAAATGATATCACCAATTCCAACATTTTGTTGGTCGATTCCTGATAACGTTAACGAAACATGATCTCCAGCAAATGCGTTTGTTGTAGATGCTTCATCCACCTGCAAACCTAAAATTCAATCATATCATTTTCCCTGAAATATCTAAATATATAAAAGGAAAATTGAACTTGAAATGTACATTAGGTTCACATACCTTTAATCACAGCAGTTTCATTCCGTGGAAGTATTAAAACTTTGTCACCCAAAGATATCATACCTGTTTCCACATGTCCAGAAACACAAAATCCAGATCCTGTACCTTTAAATATATCATTGACCGAGAAACGGAAAGGTTTGTTTATAGGGCGTTCGGGACATTTAAAATTATCTATAACATCAACTAAAGTAGGTCCTGTATACCTGCATGATAAAAAGATACTAATTAACACATTATTTTACTTATTTAACCATATTCAACTTTTGAAATAATAGTTATACCAGTTAGATAAAGGTTCTTTAGGTTTGGTTACTATATTTTCGCCAGATAGACCACTACAGGGAACAAAAGGGACGTTATCTTTGAATCCAGCTTGTTTTAAAAATACATTCATTTTCTCCACTATTTCGTTAAATCTTTCTTTTGACCAATCAACAGTATCTAATTTATTTATTACCACTGCTAATTGTAATACACCTAAAAAAAACAATTCATTTAAATAAATAGAAATATATAACTGTGTTATATAAACATTGTATATAAAATACCTAAAGAACGTAATAATAGTGCATGTTCTCTAGTTTGACCTCCACTATCAAAACCAGTTTCAAATTCTCCCCTAGTCGCATCTACAACTAATAAAGCCACGTCTGCTTGAGTAGCACCAGTAATCATATTAGGAATGAAGTCTTTATGTCCAGGTGCATCTAATAAAGTGATAGATTTTGTCTCTGTTTCAAATTTAGAGTGACCAATATCCATAGTTATTCCACGTTCTCTGTTAAAAGTATGCATGAAATAAATTCAATGATATAAATTACAAAGATTTTGTTATATCAAAGGTATCAATTACCGTTCTTCTCCTGTTTCGTCAAGGACCCATGCATAAGCAAATGACTGTTTTCCTATCTTTTTACTTTCTTGCTGATATTTGTGAATTAGTCTTGAGGGAACTTGTCCTAAATCACACAAAAGTCGACCTAATAGAGTGCTTTTACCAGCATCCACATGACCAACTACAACTAAATGTATGTGTTCTTTGCTATCTCCTCTTTTATCTTTATATATTTTTAAAACATCATGTTTTTCTTCATTAAGTTTTGGCTTAGAATCAAAGTCGGGTGTTACATGTCCTGGTACTGGTGACTGACATCGGGGACTGTTTGCATTTGAAGAAACTGCCTTTTTCTCCTTTGGTACAGTACGTTCTTTTCTCTTTATTTCTGGGCTATTATGATCAGAATATGGACTTCGAGAACGAGGACTCTCAACACGAGAATTTAGTATATCCGTATTCTCTGTTCCACTCAAATCAAAACCTTGTACAGCAGGTCGTTTTCCAGCATGTAGAATTTTCACATTGGATGGTGCCGTAACTTGAAATGTAGGTTTGGATGACAATTTGTTACCTATTGTAAAATTTCTCGTAAACTATTGTTATCGTGATGTTATATATATATACATATATAAAAAAGTAGGATGTAAAGATTTTGATATAAAAACATATTATTATTATAAATTCTAAAAGTACAATTTTAATTTAAAAAATTCCTAATCTCCGCTTTAAAATTTTAATAATATTATGTACACAAAAATAACATATTATAGTAATTGTACAAAGAGAAATTATTTTTTAGTATTATATAAAGGTCCTGATATATATAAATAGTGGACTAGTACCTATTAGCACCTTGATAACTGTGAGCTTCACTCACAAGAAAATATAAAAAAAATATTTTCATAACTGTAAAATTTCCAAAATAATTAAAGTTCTAATAGTTACTGGTCCCTTCTCTGTGTATTAAAAACCCAGAAGTTCAGGACTTTAAAAATAAATAGTTCCCACATTTTAGTACTATTTACCTTTAAAGTATTGAACTCTTTCCTTAAAACACCCGATTTTTCCATATATTCATGATTTCATTTAAAATAATCAAAAGCTATATTTATAAAAATTGTATTTAAACATCGTATTTTGTACCGCAAAAACTTTATATCTAATTTAATCCATACATTGCAACATATTTTGTCAAGTACAGCTACATATATGGAATTGAAAAATCAAATTTTTGTATAGTTTGATGTTGTTCTGATTGAGATTTAAGAAGTGGTTTTTTCATTTTCCACATTCGACACAATGTTCTGCCAAATAGAGATACATTTCTTTTTGTATACGGAAGTTTAGCGTATTTTAAACTACTTAAATTCAGTGTTGTAGGAAGCATTGCATATGGAATATCAGTATTTTCATTAGAAGTCTGTAAACGTGAATTAGGAATGACGTTACTAACATCTTTTAATGCTTTTGATTTTATATGAGTACAGGTATCTACAACTAAGGATGTAGCTTCTTTTAAAGCAGAACTCAAATCAATAATCCAAGGATCTGGTGATGGTGTTCGAGTACCACTCACATTTGTTGAATTTTCTGCTAATTCCATATTTTGCGATTTATTTTTAATATTGTGATCAGTATAATTCTTTGAAAGAGCAAGTACATTAGATATACTCCTTTCAAATGAATCCATAGAATCATCTTTCTCCTGGTCATATATTGATTCTAAATTGATATTTTTTTTACTATCAAATGAATTTAATTGTACATTTTCTAAGTCATTAGACTTATCGTTTTTAATTGATAATTTTGGTATCACAAAATTTGTACTGCATAAAGATGCCTCTCCATTAAAATTTGTACTACCAATTAAATTAGTAGATTTTTGTAAATGGTGAGCTGTTAAATCAGCTAGAGATTTAAATGATACCGCGTCTAAATTATTTTTACAAGGATCATTTGTAGAATTTGATGCTACTGAATCAATATAATTTGGTATACATCCAGGTAAAGAAGAAGATATTATGGAAGGATTACTAATAGATAAAGTTCTTAAACTTTCTATATTACGTGCAAAACATGAATTCATATTAGAATTTTGAATGTTATTCTGTTTGTTAAATGAAAATTTTGGTATAACAAATGAAGTAGATTGTAGCTTAATAGGTGTAGCATCTTACCTTACCGACGGATTAAAGAACAGCACATGAAACAAAAGAGATCACAGGTCAAAAAATAATTATCAATAAAAATATGAATATAATTTATAAATATCAACTTGTTTATCATTTAAATAAATAGCTATAAATCACATACCTGAATAAAGTTCTAAATTATCCTTATGGCCTGTAGATGATTCTAAAAATTTGTTATTTAAATTAGGGTATAAAGGTAATAAAAACTTACATATGTACTTACATATAATAGACATACATACCAATAACAGTTTTTGGAGGAGATTCTTTTAAAACTAGATCAAGTGCTACTTCTGCATCAAAATTTGATTGAATAATCTTCTTCTTTATTTCAGTTTCAGGAACTGTATCTCCTATAATATTCTTGATAGATTCCATACACGATATAAGTTTGGCTCTTTCCAATTCTGTAAGCACTCTTTCTTCTTCTTTAGAAGGTGACAAAGATTCCCTATTATCTTCATTGTCTTCTAGTATGTCTGGTTCCGTGATGAAGGATGCAATATTTTGTTGCTTACTCCGATCAAATAAGAACTGTTCCGCTATAATTGAAATTACTGAAATGTTTATACAAATCTACTTGTACAATTTTGTATTGGATAAAACTTACCACTAGGAGATACACAATAGTCATCTTCTACAGAATGTCCATACACCTCGTCGTAATTTTCATATTCTTTAAAAGAACGTATGTTAGCTTAGAAAACATTAAAGTATTTAAAGAACAATTGAATAATAATTTAACGTAAATAGTAATTTATACCTTCTGAATAATTCATGCACCGCACATCACGATGACGAGACATTTCTCAAATTTTGTCAAATCTTGCAATAAGGATAAGTAAAAATGTAGCCTCTCTTTTGTACTTTATTATTTACAACCTCCCATATTACGCACAAAGCACTGAAAGCACTCGAGATCAGTTCAGATCAGTTCCGATACTGTATGTTGGCAACATTCATTGAGTAGAGTTGTTCAAATTTCAACTCACAATAATTCATTTTTACTCGACCTACAATAATATAACATGTATTGGTTTATATACAAACTTCATATGTGATTGTGATCTGAATAAGTCAACATTGATAAAAAATTAAACTGTTCAAACTGAAAAGATAGGAGAAGATAGTTATATATATACCGCAGTTCACCAGAGTCCATAACTGCGAAAAGACCAGTTTTCGTTCTTCGCGCTTCTCCAATGCGCATCTTCGCTCTGATTGGCGATACTTCCAAACGAAGTAGAAAGCGATTAGCAGAGAGCTCGCTGCGTTCCCCCACCATCTTCCAACCTACGCGTCGCAGTTATGGACTCTGGTGAACTGCAGTATACATAGGTAATTTCTCGCTATTAATGCACGTTTGATTTTATAATTTTATAATGTTTAATACATTTAAAATTTAAAAAAAAATAGTGTTTTGAAAATCTGTAAGTCATAGTTAATTTATCAGTTCAGTGTTTAATCATATTTATTGTTATATACGTAAATTTATTCAAGATAAAGTTTTTTAATTTGAATAAACATAAATATTTAGAGATACTTTTCACTGTTTATCGAAGTGAAAATTATGTATGTATGTAACTTATGTACATACTTATATACATTAAGCGATTATATACGTTTAGCGATAAGATTGACGTGAGGATAAATATTTCTCAGTTGCTGATAAAATTTTGCGGTTGTATGTAGCGCTTACATTTGCAGAAAATATTCTCAGTCTGAAGTGGATCGGACCTCGGTATTTTTTGTATTACTCTTTGATAATAGATAAAAGAATGGCATCAGAACTTCCACCTACACTGAAAAATTTATTTAGGTAATTAAAAGTATTAATATATTATATATACATACATATGAACAGTATATGTGTACTTATGAATCTATATATCCATATACACGCCCACTTTAAATATACGCCGTATTTTTATATCCATTGTATAATATAATATTTTGATATTTCATGTTTAATTATTATACTTTTATTTGGTTTTCAGTTACATTGATAATCATAAAGTAGAATATATCAATAATTTAAAGGAAGCAGTAGCTATAAAATCTGTCTCAGCATGGCCGGATCATAGAAATGAAATAACTAAAATGATAAAATGGGCAGAAGTTAGATTAAAAAATCTTGGTGCTACTACAGAATTAGCAGATATAGGAAAACAAACTCTTCCAGATGGAACTCAGATCCCTTTGCCACCCATTTTATTAGGAACTCTTGGATCTAATCCAAAGAAAAGGACCGTTCTTTTGTATGGACATTTAGATGTTCAACCTGCATTAAAAACAGATGGTTGGGACACAGAACCATTTACTCTTGTTGAAAAAGATGGAAAATTATTTGGTCGAGGAAGTACAGATGATAAAGGTCCTGTACTATGTTGGATACATGCATTGCAAGCTTACAAAGCTATTGGAGTTGATATCCCTGTTAATCTTAAGGTGATTTAGATTATAAATAATTCAATAATCTTTTAATATTATCTCCTTTATTAAATCTTCTTTGATTAAAGTTTGTTTTTGAGGGTATGGAAGAAAGTGGTAGCGAAGGCTTAGATGAACTTCTTTGGGCACGTAAAGATACATTTTTGCAAGGAGTGGATTATGTATGCATATCTGACAATTACTGGTTGGGCACCACAAAACCCTGTATTACATATGGTTTAAGAGGTATCTGTTACTTCAATGTGGAAATAACTTGTGCTGACAAAGATCTCCACAGTGGTACATTTGGTGGTATTGTGTATGAAGCAGTACCAGACCTGATTTACCTATTAAATACATTGGTTGATGTGAATGGAAAAATTTTAATAGATGGCATGTACGATAGTGTAGCTAAAGTTACAGAACAAGAATTGGAAAGCTATAAAAAAATAGAATTTGATGTAGCTGATTTGAAACAGTCTGTTGGAGCCAAAAAATTGGCTCACAATGAAGATAAAGTATATATTTATAAATTAATTAATTTAATATTAAACGTTAAGTGTATTTGATTGGTATTCATGAATTTTATTATTTTACTAGATTCAGCTTTTGATGCATAGATGGAGACAACCCAGCTTATCGCTTCATGGAATTGAAGGTGCATTTAGTGAGCCTGGTGCAAAGACTGTTATTCCAAAAAAAGTTATTGGCAAATTTTCAATTAGAATAGTACCAAATATGACACCTGAAGAAACCATGGAAAAAGTCAAAGCACACATAAACAAACATTGGGCTGTTAGGGGTAGTCCAAATACAATGAACGTCATTATGGGTCATAGCGGGAAAAGCTGGACTGAAAATCCCGATCATCCACATTACATGGCTGGTCGTAAAGCTACCAAACACGTATATAAAGTAGATCCTGATTTATCACGCGAAGGTGGATCAATTCCAGTTACTTTAACATTTCAAGAAGTAACAGGTAAAAATGTATTGCTGTTACCAGTTGGTGCCGGTGACGATGGAGCACATTCTCAAAATGAAAAGTTAAACATTCGTAACTACATTGAAGGCGTAAGTATTTTTATATAAAAATACAGTTCGTTGTAATTATGGTATTTAAATTTGATGATACTTTTGTTTTAGACCAAGTTACTTGGAGCTTATTTGTATGAGGTATCTCAACTTGCATAAAGTTCATGTTATGAATATGTGATCAAAACAAAGTTATTTTACTTTGTCCAATACATCATATATAAGTATAATTTCAGGGTGTAGGGTCAGATAATAAAAATGTTATTTCGTACTGTGTATGTACTTTTTTTAAGTAAATATAAAACGTATTTTTAATAAACGAATCATTGAAAAATCATTGTTTTATTATGTTTCAGTATTATTAAATATAGCATTTTATATTTGCTCTATTTTTAACACCCATGCTGGCTGACCTTTGTTAAGTTCTGCTGGTAGAAATACATTTAACTTTCCTTTATCTTGTTGCCACTAAAATGATAAAAGTGGTAATAATTATGAATTGCATTATTTATGCTAATTTTTATGTTTATAGTTTATCGTAATATACAGTCGGGCATTTATATTTTACAATTCTAACAGGACATCAAACAAGTCCGTGGATAACTGAAACCTCAGATACTGAGTCAGCAGATACGGGGCTCGGACTGTATTTTTAAAACTGAGTATATACCTCGATAGAATTCTTAGATCCAAGTAAGGAAATTTGTGAGACATCAGTGACTACCAGTGATCCTAAATGTAATGTATCATTACTTGGCCATTCCAGAATTATTGCGTAAATTTGCTTTTTATCTTTAGTGCATGTATACCAAACGTTGTTATTTAAGGTATCATTTTGTGCAATCCAAGGTTTTGTATTATAAATAGCTTCTCCATTTATTTTTAGCCAATCACCTGTTAGAAAAATTAGTAATAGAATGCCGATATATCTTATCTTTAGAATGTAGATATTAACTTTGACTTTATAATTATAATAATAAGTATACCCATTCCACGCAGCCTTTCTTCAAATATTGGAGAAATAATACCATCTTTTGTTGGTCCAACATTCATTAATAGGTTTCCTCCACAACTTACAGTAACCACTAATTCCTTTACCAATTCTGGTAAAGTGAAATATTCTGATAAAACAGCATTTCTACGAAATCCCCAAGATTTTCTATCAATTGTCATACAATTTTCCCATTTATGAGGTAAAAGTACTCCTAAACATTTATGTAATAAATATAGCATATTAAAAATATATATACAAAATCGGATTATGAATCCTAATATTTACCAGGATTATAACGATCGCTACATGTATAAAAATCACCGTGATGGCACGGAATATTTGCACCCCATCTATCATTCACAACAACCGTGTCTTTTACAGGACTTTCATTGTACAACCAAGCTAAAAATTCTTTTGATTTCCAGTATGTATCAGGTGCATCCCAGTCACCATCAGACCATACAACTTCTGGTTTATATTTTTCTACCAACTCATGTAATTCAGGGATAATCTTTTGCTGAACAAAAATCTCAGTTGTAAAGTTAGTTTCTTTGTCAGATAAATAGAGAGGATTATACCACTCATACATGGAATGATAAAGACCAAATTTCAAATTGGTTGAACTTCTTATTGCACTTGATAATTCACCTAATTTCAAGAAATGCTTATTAGAAATATAAAACTATTACAAAATATTTACAATAATAAAGTAAAGCTCAATTATTACCTATAAGATCTTTTTGTGGTCCTACATCTACAGAATTCCAGCTGAAAGAGTACTTTGAAGGCCATAAAGTATATCCTTCATGATGTTTGCTTGTTAATACAACATATTTTGCACCTGAGGCTTGAAATAATTCACTCCACTGAGTAGCATTGAAAAATTCAGCAGTAAAATCATGAGCAAAATCCTGATAGGTAAAATTTGGTGGATATCTTTGCTTCATAAAATCACGGTATTTGGTACTATCATGTTCTTCTAAAAATAATTAATTGAATAGTATTAAAAATGTGAAAAACTATATAAAAAAAATGTTAAAAGATACAAAACAATGAACTATTTTACAGGTACTACAATTGATTAAAAAAGATACATTACCCTTCCAATTATTCCAAAACCATTCTGAACCAAAACTAGGAACGCTGAAGACACCCCAGTGAATAAAAATGCCAAATTTTGCATCATCATACCACTGTGGAAGTGGACGACTGTCTAAGCTGTTCCATGTTGGAGAATATTCACCTACTTCTGTTTCTAAGGGCCACAATGTTTCATACTTTTCTTTATCACTACTTACTGATATATGAATATATTCACTTTTCCCTGGCATATATAATATTGAGGAACTCAATAAAATAAATATTGGCAGATTGACTATCATGGCTGGTACTTACTGAAAATAATTCATATAACATATTACAAAGGTATTTATACTTCCATCAAATAACAGATTAAAAATTGGGATAAAATCTAACGTGAATATTAACTTTGACCCATTATATCATTTCTGATTAGATTAAACATGATAGATAATATTGAAGCATTTTATTGCTTATTTATTTGATTAAAAAGTATCTATGCTTATTTATTGTTGAATTACAAAATAAGTTTTAAAATGTTAAAATGTTAAACTTATATACTATTCAAGTATATTTAAATGAAATAGTGTTAACAAAGTATTTATTATATATTAAATATCTTACTTTATACAATGTACAAAAAAAATTGATGAAACGTGTTAGCAAATGCTATAAACAACAGAGCATTTGTCATTAATTGTTTGAAGTTTTCTCCTCAAAAAATCTTATCAGTAACCAATAGCATGCTATGGGTGGGATCGATATATATAGATATACAGAATTTGACTGAAATTTGCGAGGGATACAGTTGATAATAGTGTGTAAAATTTGCTTATAATTCTTTTTTAACACAAGAAATATGTTGTTCTGAAATTGAATAATTTATTGAACATATTCATTAATGTAAAAATCCTCGTTAAAAGAATATTTATCATATAAATTTAAAATTATACGGTATTGAAGGAGCTGATATTTTATAGAATATATAAAATACATCATGATGTCTTGGATACCATTAGAATCAAATCCAGATGTATGAATTATCTGAGTTTTATTAAAAATTTAAATATACATAGGTTTTTTAAGCGTTATTTAATAATTTAATTTTTTTGTTTTAGGTTATGACAACGGTAAATCATCATGACTTTTAAATGTTGATATTAGTCACCGATATTATAATGTTTATATATTGCACTTTTTATTACTTGTATATATTAAGTACTTGAATGTTAATGTTAATAAGATAACACGTTTTTGTTTTTAAAGTAACTTTATGATTAAGTAAACTTGTTGATTTCATATTTATTTAATTTGATAATAAAACATATATTTTGTAGTTTTTACATAAACTAGGCGTACCAAAGGAATGGAGTATTATTGATGTTTATGGACTAGAACCTGATTTATTGGCACTTGTACCCAAACCAGTTCTTGCTGTCATTTTGCTGTATCCTCTACGTAAAAAGGTTGAAATTTAAAGTCACATGTAATGTTTATTTAAGTTAAGATGTAATATCTAACAGTTTTGATATTTCTAGACTGGCAATGGTTTAGAAAGTGAGGAAGATGTTAAAGAAAGTGATACAAGTAATCCAAGCCTTAAAGATCCATCAGTTTATCATATGAAGCAATATATTCATAATGCTTGTGGCACAATTGCGTTAATTCACAGTATTGGAAATAATTTAGATCGGTAAGTTTTCAGTTTTAGAAACATAGAAAGTGAATTTATTTTAAGGAAAGTCTTGTATATTGTTATGCATTGTTATTTGTAGTATAAATCTGCAAGATGGTGTTTTATACAAATTTTTGAATGAATCAAAAGATCTTTCCTTTTCGGAACGTGGAGAGCTTTTGATGAAGTCACAAGATATTGGTAACACACATGAAGAATTGGCACATGAAGGACAAACAGAGGTATAATTCTCATTCTGTTTATATAATCATTAAACTGTAATTTAAAAAATTTTGTAGGTACCAAGTCAAGAAACACCAATATACCACCATTTTATAGCATTTATCCAAAGAAATGGAGTTTTATATGAATTAGGTGAAAATCTCTATGTTAAGGAAATGTATGATACATAATAGTATGAGAATATCACGATTAATTTGATAAGTATTCAAACTTTCAGATGGACGTAAATCTGGTCCTATTGAGCATGGTGCAACTAGTCCAGAAACACTATTAGAAGATGCTGCACGCGTGTGTAAAGAATATATGGCTCGTGATCCGGAAGAAGTGTGTTTTACAGTTGTTGCTCTTGTCAATAGTGATGCAGAAGCATTTTGACTTAATACCTAAAATGTAATGTATACACTTTTTAAATAATTTATTTTCTATACTATATATACATATACATTTGCTCTATTAATTTGCATTTATTAACATTTGCTTGTTACTATATTGTAATATGTGTATTATTCATAAAATAAGTACATGCTTATAAATATTTGTCCTACTATCAACAAATATAATTCTTCTTTTTTATGTAAATGTTTAATAACAAAAAATATTCAAGTATTATTTGAATGCGTTTAGTTTTGAAAGTATTAATTTTGGTTTAGATCTTAATTTTTATACATATATATTTTTAAATCAATTGATATTTTGATAATTTAATAATATTATATTAATTGCTAGAATTCATTTTTATTTTGAATTTATAATTTAATGAAATTTGTAGTTACGATTGTTTGCTCATAGTTTTTAAGATTTATTATGAGCACGTAAAATTTAATGCATATTGAAATGATGAATACAAATATAAAAATATATTTTTTGTTCACAACTCGTACAGGGAAAATATCTTTGTTTCCTCTATCATCAGAGATCGCAAAACTTGTCGGTCACTGACCAGAAGCTAGCAAAAGCCTAGTTATTTTAGATCCTCTTCCGAGAGGGAGAAAGAGAACATCTTGGCACCACTCTCTAAATAGTAGCTTTAAAACACAAAATAAAATTGAAATGTAGGCCTGCAACTGCTTGTATGCTACATCTCATTATTTCTTACGTAATACGATGCAATTTACAGATAAATAGGAACAAAAAAAAGACGAATTTCATTACAGGAATTATTCGACCGAAGACGAACTAAATCTTTTAAAGTTTACAGCGACAAGATAGTCATCAACAAGGTATTAGTTACGTGTTAGTCATTGTTTGCCTGTAGTCCATTTCAAAGGAAAAACTTTCCATGTGAATCAAACATGTTTAACTTTTGTCTTTACTATTACTTCGTTCTAGAAAACTTTCCACATTCCCCCTTGGTGTGCCACAGTTAAATTCCTAAGTAAGATAACACCAATTTTTTTTTTATCTGTCACATCGTAACGTTATAATGCACAATTTTTTCTTATATCGTCTAATTATCGCGCAACCCTATTATGTAACAGTTGTTTTTTCAATTGTTAAGCAGTGTATTTTCAGTTGTCAACGAAATATGCAGTTGCCTGATTAATTGTAAAGTGCACCAAAGAAACTGAATACTTCGCAATGCAAATACCTTTGAGTCTTTTACATTGTTTCTCCATTGTAGCGGTGGGAAATTCTTGGCGTGATAGTCAAAGCGACAAAAGGTGATCATAGTATTTTACATAGGGACATTAAAACTGTAAAAATCATCTTTCATTGATATTTCAATTTATAAGATTGTATGAATTACTTCTTCCTTATTTTTCTTTTCTAGCAAGAATGGTTTGAAGATTGTGTCCATTGTATTAGATAAGACGAGTAACGAAGTTGGGTTGCATTTGTGCAAACACATGGTTCAATAGCCGAAGAATTCTGTTAGGTCAACTCAAATTTCCTTACTAATGCGTCACCAGAGTGGAAAATTTGGAAGCCCTTGCGTTTCGAGTTGAGATACGACGATAAAACTGATCGTACTTCCAAAAAGAGCGCGTATCAGTGATCTCCTGATCAAATAACATGTTCAATTATTTGATCCGTTGAATGGCGGGATGATCAGTAGTTACCGATACCAAAAACCTTAAATAATCAAGTAATTATTTACTCGAATCGAGTATCCTCCTCCTTTTCGAAGTCGGATAATGTTGTATCGATAACGCGCTCTAATTAAAAGCTTGAATTATTAATTATCTTTATTATAGTTATATGAAACATAATCATTTTCAATATGCAAGTCATCGTGTAAATAGCAACAAAAGATATGCATAGGTTGTTGTTTTTAATCTGTTGAACGGTACATCGAGAATATTTATATCTAGTACATTGACTGTACATATAAACGAAAGACGGTGGACCTGGAAGATTTGATATTCAATGGAAAAAAACTGGCAAAGGATCGTCATACGTACATATATACACGCACACGGAAAGACGAATCTTATTTTTACATGATAATCGTATTTACGTGGACGTAAAGTTTAAACTTTTACAAATCGAGGGTATCAATTTAAATTAATGTTTCTTAATTGATGCAATATCGCTTGAAATCTTGACATTTCTTAATTTTTATAATAATCAGAGATATGTAATTCTATTGTTAATTTTGTGTAAAAAAAAATTATAAAACAGTTGCCGCGTTTTATGGGCGCGCAATTTTGAATTTCAATAGATGGCGCGTGCTTTTATTGAACCGGGCACGCGGTAATTGTTCAAAGTAAATTGACTTACGCTATTTTTTCCATAGAATCGATGATTCGCCATATGAGTTCTACTAAGAAATTGATATTGGTTATTAAATTACAGAATGAACAAAATATTCTATATTTAATACATGGCTGCTTTAATTTAAGGTCGTACCGCGCCTATAAAAATGTTATGTACATACACGTACGACCTCGATTCCATTTATGGTTTACGTTATACAGGATGTTTCATGACGTATGGATATAACTTCATTGCTGAATGTTTGAAAGTTGGAGATATTAAGATCTTTGTAAACACACGTGTACTATGTATGTACTTTAGTTATAGGCATTAATATTTCAATATTTATAATATCAATATCTAGGTATTTATTATCATTTTTTAATTACTCTAACGATAAGTAAAAATGCGATCAATTAATCTTGTTTACGAATGTCTAGTTTAGTTTAATCTCTTTATCTATGACATTACATGAAACATAGAAATGATGAAATAAGGAGTGAAGTCTACTGTATGTTCACGCAAGCAAAGGATTAAATCGTCCAGAAAAATAAAAGGAAATAAATGTACGAAATCTCAAAGAAATCCGATAAAAAGAGATAAAGCGGACATAGCAATAAATTTATTGCACCGATTATATCGTTGGATTATGATCCTTCTGTCTCTGATTGTGAGATAATTTCAAGAATGTTAGTCAGCGACTTCATGGAATTTTAATAGAAACACGTAATATTTCGTTCGACGATACTTAACGGCATTGGAATAGACGATAAGGAGGTAAGAAGAAACTTGAATTCGCAATTACTTATACGCGAGCCGGTCACTTGGTACGCAATAATAAACATTGTATCAATGAAAAGGATACTTATGGAGGTCGAAGAGTCATTGATTCCATTGCTTATAGCTTATAGAGCTTCGTCCTTACAATTAAATCCGTGCCGGAAGTAACTTCAGAAGGTACTCTCGCTTATCCAATAAGTTTAAACCTTTGCCATCAGCTACAAAATTATTTGTAAAATAAAATTTAAATAAAAATAAAAATTTCCTCCATCGGATGAGGGTTCAATTTAATTGTAAAACATTTCAAAACATACTTTTCTATTTATTAAATTCATGAATTGTTGTTATTATACAGGCTTAAGATCATGCACGAAAAGAAGTAGTGACATTCTGTGGTTGCTACGGAAGTCAGTTTTCCAGCGGTTGGAAACGTGTCCACGACCCCGAGGATGTACAGTTCACGGCATAGACAACGGAAATTCATGGGTCGTTCGCGTTCCACGGCTCGTCAAGGAGGCGAGCCAAGAATGACACGGGTCGGGGTAAGCAACGGCAAAATAACAACAAGGAGCAAGCAGCGGTCTTTGCTGGTTGCCTCGAGGCTCGAGGCTCGAGCGTCCTCAGTAGCGCGACTTCGTTTCAGTCGCGCGGAAACAGCCGACCGTTGCACGTGCTTACGGACAGAAAGACGATTATCGCCACCATCCATGGGTTACCAGTACCCGTTTACACATTTGGATATTTTAAATTGACCTTAACAAAGTGAGTACTATCTTGCTTCATTTTTATTTTTTTAATTTTATTTCGGCATCGACCCGTACCCGCGTTCAAAGGAGATCAGGGTGATTACAGATTAGGCAAATATTTTATATTCTTCTTGGTTCAAACAACTGCGAGGGTAGACGTAAAAATTAAGAAATATTATTCAATTTAGTTGAAATAGAACTTACGTCAGACTTAGAAATGCTTTGTTCGCTAAGTGTTAAACGGTGTTTCGTTGAGATTTTAGATAATTTTTAAACATTTTAAATTATTCTTTTTAAATATATAGAAGTTTGCCGTTTAGAAATTTGAGTATCTAATTTTAGTCGAAGTACCGTTTGTATAGGTAGGTTTGGGTCGAGATTGACCCGGTACCGTTGTTCGATGATTAAACGACCAGTGAATGCGTTATTTGCGAATCTGTTATAGAATTTCTTAGAAATATTTTTTTAATTTAATTACGTCATTAATATTATTTAAATGAGCGAAATTATTACGACTGGAAAAGAAACATAGTACTAAGAGTAGAAAAGATAATTAAGAAATTTTTTTCAGAATAGTTGTTTTTTCGACACGTCAAAGACCCGGCCGCACTTGAAGCGACGAGGTAGATCAAACAGCACCATTATCAATGTTTACAGGATAATATGCTTAACAAAAGTGTCTCTTCATAATAAACTTTACTCGTTTCCTTAAACGATAAGTTCGACTTGGAACAAAATTACCAAGCGTTAAGATACAATTTTAGTATTTTATGACTAGCATTTGAATATGTTAATTCTGTCGAACAACGCCGGTCGGTTTTCTTTTATTATTAGTTCAACAAATTCTTAGAAAATCAATTTTAAACGATGCAGTTTTACAATTATTTCAATGTGGAACATTAGTCATGAGGTGCAAGCGAGCCGGTTAGACGGTTTGATTTAGAGAGAGTTTTAAATAAACTGTCTAACAATTGGGACGCGATTACATGCGTCGAACATCGCGCTTTTTTGTTGTTTATGCAATTTACATACGTATTCCATCGAATTCTAAAGAGTTGTTATAATTTTATAGCATCCTCGTGTTCATCAACTAGTGCGAATGCGAATTACGTATAAGCATTTGGTATTTTTATTCTTATCGGACAGTGGCTCTTAATTCGAGTAATCTCTTAATAGCCGCTATTATCGTGGATTCGAATGACAATAATGAATTGAATCGGGTGTGAAAAGTCCGATTTTTCTTGGATCTCGCGTTTAATCCGTGCGAGAAGAAACGGTTAATATAGCTTCGTGACCGTTGTTCTGATCCTGTGTAAAAATTATTCGGCTATTTGAACAAACCGAATTGATGTCTGTGTTTGCATTCGGTGTTTGGTTCACGAGGATCCGTGCATCTATGCTGTGATCATTCATGGACAGTTGTGTTTACATTTGAATTAGCATGAACAGTGGTTTGTTAGTATGATAGGAATGAACTTTCAGTTTACGAATTAACACTTTGTAAGACGATTGAAATTAATAATTGCGAATTAATTTACTTAATTACTTGAATTGCTCGTTACATTCTTCGGGTATGATGCGTGCGATATCTATCAAGAATGTAATCTCCGTTTATAGTTTAGGATATGAAAAGTCATGGTTATTGATATTCAAAGCAACCTGGTTATCAGTATTAGATGATAACGAATCAAAACTTCTCGTTAGATTATAAATGAGATGTTAATTTCGTGATACGCAATCTTTTTGAAAGGAAAGAGAGAACGAATAATCTTATCGATACATTAACTTCAAGGAGCATCGATAATGCTCTGATTACGTTTAATAAATATAAATTTGCATCTTTTTTTGCAACAAAGATGCAAATATTATTATTTAATTACAAAATTCAATTATAGATTATGCATATTAGAAACGTACGAATGTTGTGTCTTTTATAGATAATCAGTTCTTAATGTTTCGCAATAATTTGGCAATATTTATTTCGTTTTTTGGACTCATGCTCAATTTCAGTAATATTAAACATTTAGGGTCATCGATAACATTTCGGTAGAAAATTCACGATAATAGAAGTATATTATTATTTAAGTAAATGATTGAACACATGCTTGACAAAATTGGAATGTTGGCCATTTTTGGGAAAATAGGAATAACAAGGTGATAAATATAGAATTGTAGGATATACAAGTGAGTTACGTACTTGCGCTAGTATATTCATTTATCCTACTAATGTAAACTAGGACTTAATACTCTACTAACCACTTGCTCAATCGTTTACATAAGTCTAGTAAACGGATTTTTCCTATTAGTCTTACTCATTCCACCATTTATTCTAGCAATGTGATCTACTATCCTATTTTTATTGTTTTCAATACTTCAACAATCATTTATTCTACCTTTTGTACAAATATATTACAAATTTCGTCTATTTTTACCATTTGTTACTACCATTTGTTGACTTTACTACTTATCACTCTACTAATGCAAATTTTATCAATCATTAGCTCACTACTTTACTTAAGTATAGTAATTATAGCTTTACTTATTTTACCAATATAAAATAGACTTTAAATCTAGATTACATAAACGATTGGACAAGTGGTTGTAGAGTGCTAAAGCTAGCAAAAATTGATACAGTATACTAGTATACTTTAAACTAGTCCTAATACACACGGTAGTTGTACGACGAAGAGACGAGAGAAAGTTAACGGAAAACGAGTAGAATTTTTACACAGACATAGCCAGAGTACTTGTATTTTCACCAACTAAATCTAGACCAATGAGTACCCTCCATAGGTTCTTGCTAATTGGATCCCCATTAGGATCATTAACACACGTTACACCCGTATTTGTCTCATGTTTGTTACAACACGCGACGAGTCCACTGTACTCACAAACGATCGATGTGGTGCAACATATCCGTTGGTTGTCCGTCATTCATTTTTGGCGATAGTCCACAACGAATACCATTACCTTAAAAATAAAGCCAACAGAAACTATATCTGATTTTCCATTCATGCAAATCGATCTGATAATTCGCTTGTTCAAGAACGAACTGGTTAGAAATTATGCGACTGGAATGCGGATCTTTTAAATTATAATATGCTAATTTAATCAGCGATATTAAAATCTCTTCGAGACTATTTTACGATTGAAATAACGATCAGTTTGTTTTTGTTTGTCGAAATACCGATTCTTTAACAAATGGCCATTTTGACTGAACGATTTTTCTTCCAAACGATGCTAATTTCTGTTTACCGTTTAAATGGGGCGCGTTAATCAGATTTCTGTGCAAATCATCCTCCTGAAAGGATGATTGGTATAACTGGGTTAATCTTATCGCAAGAAAAAATGGCACGTCCAAGCAAATATTGACGATTGATTTGGCGATGAAGAGTTGACTGGTGAATCTTGGCTGATGATACATTGTGGCATGTGCAACAAACGTGATGGTATTGCGTCGTTTCTGCTACCTCTTTCTTTTTCTTTGTTCATTACAACGAACGAAGAAGGACACGAGTTTTCCGTAAATATATTTCTAAAGATAATAGGACAGAAATTTTTTCATATTGTAATTTATTTGTAGTGGAACGAACTACATTTGCCGGTATCTTTACATTGCAAAGCTTAGAGTAACTTCTTTTATTTATCCTTAAGGTAGTATTCAAGGTTTACCGTGCTAATGACTTCCTGTCACTCGTTGTTATTTAAACAACTGGCAGTTTGTTTCGTCTATCCGTGAATCGATCGATTTGCAAAATGAACAGAATACTAGGAATATTTATTGAAAGTATCACAACGAAACAGAGACAATGAGTTCGATAAAGGGTGTACTGGTATACTGGTATCCTAATTTCTTATCAGCTTCTCAATAGTTCCTAGGAAGTTGCGTTGGCTAGTGTTGATTGAACCTTCTTAACAATAATTTCAATTTTATTCCCAACAATTTCATCCAACTACTACTTTTTATTTTCCACGATTAGATACATTAATTTTATCGTCCTTACATAAATTTAATTTTCAACCCCTTCGCGCAGGACGCATATGGTGTGTCATAAGACGCACGCGTTGCGTCCTCGGTTGCATCGGCACAGGACACACCTGATGCGTCATCGGTCGGGAACGACGTAAATGTCTGTTGTGTCGAGCGAGGTCGGTCAATGCTGAAATGCAGCAAACCAGTGTTTCTTGTTCCTTGCGTTTTTCTGTCGAGCGAAGTTCAGCTGCGGCTACGCTCGCTTTCCTATTACTACGGAAGGAAAGTGTGTCGTGTTTCGTCGGAGGGAAAAATCGTAAATGGTAAAGGAATAATAAAATCAGAATCTGGTCGATTATCTAATCCATTGGCTAACGTTAGTTTCCAAAATCCTAATTCGAAGGATCAATTTTTTATTTTATTGCTTCGTAGCAATCGTTTAATACATACATCATCTTAGCTATAAAACTTTCTTAAATCCATGCGCCAGCCAAGAGTCAATGTAAACATTCAAACAATGTATATAGTGTGTTTCTTAAATGGCGTATTTCGTGTACGTGACGCGGCTCGTGCTCTTAAAATAACGCGATTTTCTAAATTAGTACCTCTCATTTACACCTCTTTTCGGTCTCCCCTTGTATCTTATTAAAGACGCCTCTTTTGTAAGTAACAAATCATCCTTCAACAATAGCACAGCTTAAGTTTCGTCACAGTGTCGGTATTGTAATAAACGAAAAAGAATTTGATTGAGTTATAAATAACAATAGCAATTCGTGTAGGAAAATTTCTATAGAAATTTCTCGATATTTAGTAAGTTCCTTTGGAAAAAGACAATGAAATGTTGCTTAAATGTTAATTGAATCGGAACAGAAGAAAATAAGGTCCAAAAGAAACTGGTCCGTATAGCACCCAGCGAAATGTTAATTAAAAACACGTATTGGGCTTGTATCAAGAGTGCGAATGGATCAAAGTCAGGCTAATAGGAAGGCTAATTCTAGACGAGACGATGTTCTGGCTCAGACTCGTGTGTTTCTTCCTGGTGCGATGCACGTGGTGCAGAAGCGAATTCCTTAAGTTCAACGGGGGCGCCGCGTTATCGAACGCCTCTGCTATCCTTGCAACGATGAAAGTTCGATGCAAAAAATATCTGGCATTGGTTATTTTCGATTGAGCTCCGTTTACACACGCGTATGACTATGCAATTCCTGTCATTTAAAGAAGAAAATAACAAAAAAAAGATGATGCTATACATGTCTTGTGATAAATTATTACGACAAAGATATATTACTTATACGTGTTGCATTCTTTCTTTGAATTATTTCTTCTGCTCGACAATTGTTTCAAAAGAATTCTGTATCTTTCATAGAGCGTTAATTGCATCGATTTATTCGTTAGTTAATTTCAATAAAATTTGTAGGTCCTTTCTTAAATACAGCCGTTGTTCAATCAATTCAGAGCTATTTATATCGTTCATAGGAATCATTGAGTGAATTAGATTGACATAAATTTCGGACGAATCGCAATAACGTTTATCGTAATTGTACCGAGAACCATAATCGCGTCAAGAATCGCATTAGAGGGGTAATTGAGTTAAAAGAATAATTCATGCCCTTTGCCACTGTAATAAGGCGAGTACGCCTCTATGAATCGAAGAATGGGCCACTAATTTATAATTGGAAACGTGTACTTCAGTCTATTTACCATAATATGACCCTTTTATTTGTGTCCAATTTTAGGGTCAATTGCTGCTTAATTTCCTGCCTTGCTTCTTGTCTTTTCTTCAATATAAAATAATTGCAAAAGAAAAGTAGTTAATCAAGATAATGATGTGTAAGCTGTGCGTTACAAAGAAAAAATATGGTAGACATTTGTTTATTTTCTCTTCTGTTTCTTAGACATATACGATATGATTGATTGTTTAAATAATCCTCGACAGATTGTATTTCTGTCCCGTATTTCAATCGAGTACAAATGGATATCTTATAATAGAAATTCAACGCTAGAATATTAGCAAAGCGGAGAACCGTGTTTCAAAATAAATATGAAATAAGAAAACTTCTTTTTCTAGATCGTTCACGTTGCTGGATTAATTTTTATTACCATTGTGTTTTCAGTTATAACACGAATTACTGTACGCGCGTTTGTGTTTTATCTGTTTCGTTCCGTTTGTCTTCTCGCCAAAAGATAACCGTTAATTAGTCTCGCGATGGAGACTAATCGCGAGTTATCACCGGGATGAAATTTTCAAACAAATCTTCGTCAACGAAATGCAAGAAAATGACGTTACATTTTCCTTGAACTAGACAATTCCTGGAGATGAGAATGTTTCAATTTCGAGTAAGTGAGATTTATCGTTTCATTAATCCTTCGAAGTTGTCAAATTTTTCGAAGATATTTCATTAATACGTTAAATCGTAAAAAAAATTAGAATCGTTAGAATGATTGCGACATGTACACAAATTGTCGATAGATACGCAAAGTGCGAAATATCGATAATCGCAATCAATTAAAACCTCATTGATACGTAAATTAATACTCGAGATATGTTTTTATTTACTTAGCCGCTTTTTTATCCTTTTAATCGTAAATGTAACTTTCTCATCGTTATGAAGTCAGTGATAACGCTTATCACTGTTATCTGCAATTGGCCTACCAAATAACGAATTCATCCAAACGTAACTAGATGCAATTCGCGTTAGATCGCAATACCGAAAGGTTTCAATTGAATTTGAAACACTGGAACAAAACGTAAAAGAAACTATTCTGCTTAAAAGCTGTAAAATTACATGTTTTTACGCTTTGGCTCTTAACTGTCCGTGTAATCGTCACGTAAGGTGCTATTACAAACGATAATCTTTGTGATAAAAAAAAAAAGAACGATTTTACCTAAACCGTTTATCGCCAGAGCGTAGGACGTAATTACTGTCGAATTAGACACCTAAAATGGTACTAGCCCTTTTTTCACTGATTGAATGACACCTGGCATAATTGACTTCTTCCTTGTTACGAAATCCTCGACCTTCCAGAAGGAAACGATTAGCTATTGTCAAAGCTTTTGTTACGCTTCCTGTATTTTGTTGTTTGTTATAACATTGTTTAGCAATCATCTGAACTATTGAAACAGAAAAATTAAGGCTTGAATCATTTTTCTATGAAAATACCCTTTCAGAATACGATTGTTCCATATTGTAATCGAAATTTTTCATTGAAATTCTTTTGCAATTAATATTAATGCTATGTACTTAGAATCTTCTTAAATCTTTTCTCCTTCAGTTATTCACAATGTTCGTTATTAATGAGCTCGCAGTCAACGTGTTAATAATTACAATTTCTTGTTTATACCAGCAGGGATGAGATTACAATTTTTGTTTCATTTCATACACGATACGAAGGTAGTTGTGTTGCAACACGATTGCAGAAACCTTTGATAAATGAGTCACGATTTGAGTTCAACGAGTCTGCAGCGGAATTCGGTCAGCGAGTAGGATGTTCCAAGCGTATCAAACATTGTACAGCGTGTTGTAACTAAGCGATTAGAAACAGGCACGTGTTTCTTTTTGCGATTTTAGTTATCGTCCGTTCGTCGGTTAAGGGAGAAGATTGCTTGTCTCAATAGCTATCTCGTTGAAAGTTTTCCAGCGTGAAAGCAGGGAAGAACCGGTTAAAAAGTGATTCGTGTCCGCGCGATGATAACACGCGTTCATGCTTTCGATCGCTTCATTAGCGCGGAAAATGAGTGGGTGTTAATCAATCGCCGCGTCACTTTAATTATAATGAAGTTTCATTGTCTCTCAGTTCTTTCAGTATCGTGTCCAATTTATCGTCAGATATTCGAAAATATAAAACCTTCAGTTCTTGTAAAATTTAATTACAAAGCATTTAGTACCACTAACGAGAGAGTTGTTTCTATGATACTCAGAATTTTTCTTCTCTCCTCATATAGTAATTAATTGAACAAATTCGAAGAAATTCCATGAACTCTTGATCTCTATTGTAACACGTGAACAGTTCGGAATTGATGGATAAATAATTTTATTGTTCGCTTGATCGATTCACGCGTACACGTGTTCAGTGCGTACATCGGGCATGTGCTTGCGATTTCTCGTGGTTCAGCAAGCTTCTTCTCGGTCTCGAAGTTCAATTTGCTTCGCAACCACGCACCGATTACTTAAGAAGTCAATCAATGACACTCATCAGTGTCGATGATTATTCGAAACGAGTCAGAAAAAAAAAGAGCAAGCCTTGGGTTCTTGCACGAAACGTGTTTATTTATCAATTTTTATCACTTCATTGTAGGTACAAAGTTCTTGCCACAAAGTCTGGATATGCTTAATTTCGATTATTTTATTTATACATAATAATAGAATTTCAGAAGTTTTTAATTTTGAAATTTAATTTGGAATTTTAGAATTTTAAAATAATGAAGGGACCAGTTTACATTTTTTTAGGAAGGGCCAGGCCCACTATTTATCCGATTTTACAGTACGGAAAATTCCGTAACCTTCAGTTATATTTTCCGTTAATAATCTTTCCTGTAGGTAAAGCGTTAAGAAACCGCTTGTTCTTGAATGAAAAGAGATGGTTCTTTGCACGATATTTCTTTATCCGATCGCTGGTTGTTCGTTCATGAGGATGTCTAGTTAATAGCGGAATATTACTGGAGAAAATCGAAGGAAGCCGGTTAACAGATGTTCGGTCACGTTTCCGTGAGAAACTGTATCGTCTGATGTATCTTCCATTGAACTCCTTGCGACCTCGACTCCGATTGTTTGCCGGCGAAGAAAAGGCGGTTACGTCGTGGTTCGAGAACTTAATTAGACTTTGCAACGTTGAAGTAACTATGAATTGAATTCCCAACAACATGTCTGTTTTTATTCGTTGTTTTACGGCTAGCAATAACGTTATATCGATCAGAGTTATTGATTGGTTCCGTTAATTGGAATTTTTTTCATTTCCTGTTACAGATGGAAATGCACAAAAACACCAACAGCAAGAAGAGTTCCATACGGGCAGACGAGATGACGCTTAAGGAACCTCATAGGTAAACGAATATATTTCTAGCTGTAGAAATGCAATTAAATTTTAATTTAGATTTGGCGCGATTCGATGACATAAAAATGTAAATTCGTTTTTTTTTTTTTTTTTTTTTCATTTATACCTGTACACTTCAGTTTCGATCAAATCGGTGATTGCAATTTATCCAGTTCATCGATGACCGAAATAGTCAGTGGAATGGAGCGGCGATATTAAACGGGCAAATTGCGAAACCCGCAAGTCTTATATATACGGTGTTCCTGTTTCAATGGCAAGATCGGAGCCAAGAATGACGTAGCTCCTTGGCACCCAACAATATTCCTTCGATCTAGTATCGAACTGTGAAATTTTCCGTGTTACTTTATTCGTTCGTTCGTTCATTTTGAATTCTGAACTAAACTCGACCAGATATTAATTTTTCGTCTAGATATTTTAAAATTGCCAGAATTCCATCATAGATAATAACAAAATTATCACCGATATAACTTTCGTTGAAATTTTAATCAATTATTCCTGAAGGTCGGGAATTATTTGCCAATGTAATATTAAGTTAGATAACTTATTAGAGAAACGTACAAGTACAGTTTCCGACAAAGATGACCATAGTTGAAGGATTCAATTGACCATCGTGGCATTCGACATATGAAAATTTTAATACATTTTCCAACACGCGTTAACGTATTAAGGTCGAGACTATAATCAAATGGAAATGTGATTGCACGTAAAGTGATGGAGGTTTTCCCATCCTGTTAATCGGTCGAGATCTTGTTACGTAATCGATATTGTTATCCTCTGGGATTTATACATACTTGCTGGCTTTAAACCAACAGTGTAATTATTGCACGCGATCATTATAAAAGCTTATCCTTAATGGCATAACGTCACGCTCATCGAGGGGAATTCATTATTTTTTTTTATCTCCATTAGCGATTATAAATAAACAACAATCTATTACTATTTCATTTTCACATTTTGTTCAACGTTTACTTGGTGTGCAAGTTATAAATTGCTCGTTAATTATTCGCCTCTTCAAGGATCCCTCGATTATCTATCGATGATTGTTTTTACTTGTACACGTTTTTCATTTAATCTCTGTCGTAGTATCTCTGTTTACGTAGACGGAATTAACACTGCAATGTTTCTTTTTTGTAATTCTTTTGATAGGGGAGAAACGCTTGATGGATGAGGTGTCCTGCAGATATTTCAGGATTTAATTAATTACAAAGAAACAATGAAGAGTAGCTTAAATATAGTATAAAGATAAAAAAAAGAAATATGTAGCCTTACGTTTTTACAATCGAGATGATTAATAGTTTAATTATAAGATTTGTTTCATTGAACCGAAACGTAGGATGCTGCGTGGGTTTTGAAAAGTGAAACAACCGGGTTGCTCGAAGAATTATAAATAACGTATGATAAATTCGATGGTTTTTAGTGCCCACGCTTACGGACTTATAAGGAAGGTACAAAATACTTGTTCAGTTTAATAAAAAAGTATTTTTCACTGGTCTCGCGAGGCTCACCTTGAGACGTTTATATCTGATCTACAGTGTATAATAGGACCCAGACAAAAATTAAGTTAATTCTTTCAAAACGAAGGTTTCACCGGATATAAAAATATTTTTTATTTCTGTAGAATGTCCATAATTTTTATGCCGCGGTGCTCTTCGATCGGATATCTCATTGCGATTACGTTAGTTTCACCGAAGTAATTCTCAAATTGCTCGTTAGCCAACTTTTATGAGAATCCGAGTGAAAGTAGAACGCGATCACGTGTTTCAACGTTGGATACACGTTTACGTAGAACTATGGTAATTGTAAATCTTTCGAACAACTGGTTTGACGTTCATGGGAAAAGGGTAGACGTAACTTTATACAGAAGTAGACAGACCGTCGATGCATTCTTGCTGCTACTAGTATCAGATTCATTTCATAAACGAAACCTTCGATAATTACGGCAATATTTATTACTTAACACTTGAATGATGAACACTGGCTCATCGGAGATCCATTTTGGCGCAGTAAAAGAATGATCTAGAGCAAACAAGAAATGCTTTGTTTATAGAAACACATTTTTTATCACATTTGCGAATTTTATTGTGTGTATCTAAGAATTCACATGGTAAATATTGTCTTTATAGTTTACAAATGCATTCAATTCAATAGCTCTTTGTAAAATTATAAATATTGGGTTATTCAAAAATTCGTTTTTTTCTAAATAAAATATAAATTTATGGAGATACATATAAAAAGTATACACTTGTTTCCTTTTGGCTAAATTATAATTAAATAGTAATTAATTTTCATACGATCAAAAATTCATTTATCGTTTAAGTAGCAATTTTACTATTCTTTTTTTTTTGTCAGGAAAGAAAAAATTCTTACAAATCAGGACACAGATTGAACATGAATTATTTGATGTTTCAGGAATGGCAGCACCTACGGAGCCTTTCAATCGAAGGATCCGATTTTGGCGGTGGAAAAAGGATCTGAAATTGAAAGTGTACATAACGAGCATGGAATTTCCGTTCACCATCCGACCTCGTAAGTTCAATTACCTCGCAACTCTCGATTCTTATTTGCTCGGGCTCGTTCAACGTGTCCTTCTAACAATTTTTGCCAAGACTTTCGTGTAAACCTTCGACCGGATAAAAACAAAAATATACGACACTCCTGGGCTCATTGTCAATTGTAGGATTTTAGAGGAGGAACACGTTTCATCGTGTTCACATCATTGGACGTGTAGGTGTGTTTGCTTGAACACATATGTGGCAATGTTACACGGCCACAAGATAAGTTCCGCTTTGCGGTTCTGCTTTACACGGTACACTCACTTTCTGTTGCCCACTTGATTTTTATCCTTAGGTAGGATTCTTGATGCGTACACGTGTTGAAAATTAAAAACATGAGATGTTATTTATGAACACGTTGATTAGTGATCTTACGTAAAAGAAAGAAATTCCAATTTAGTGGAATTATGTACTTTCTTTTATATCAATCGAAGCGTATTTTTATTCTCTACAATAAAGTGTTAAGGTGCTTGGGTCGAAAATTGATTGATTTAAAAGATATCTTAGGGAGAGACAGGGAGAGCCTCGAGGTCTCTCCCTAAGATATACTTCGAATTAATCAATTTTCGACTCAAGTACCATAATAGTTTTTTATAAAGAATAATAATAGGTAACGATTAACGTTTACAAAAATATACAATTCCATTTAAAGAAACGAAAATGACCTGATAATCTTTGAAACGCCTCCACTTCCGGTGCCACCATATGCACTACCTCTATGCTTCTTTCGACACCATTCAATTTTTCCTGACATTTATTTCTATCCTTTACCATTTTATAGCCAAGCTTATTGTTAGATCTTTGTAAGCAGCTCAAGGATTAATAAAATATCGTTACGCCTCCTCTTTCCATTATCCTTTCAATAAAAATGTTTCCACGTAGGAGGAAGGAAGTAATTTCGCGGATCTCGATAGTGGATAATCGTAGATTTCCGTGAAGCATCCAAACATCATTTTCCAAGAAGATCCGACGAGCATAAATTCGACATCGTTCAACCTCTTCCTTTTTTCCTTAAAGTAACAAGATAATTGTGAGATTCCCGCGAAGCAATTGCGAAATACCGCAAAACCTATCTCAACTGGATCTAGTTTCTTTGTTTTACCTTCCTGCAATTGTTACAAATAATTAGAGCGTTAAAATCGAGGAACCTTGAGGTGCATTGTTTATTTCAAATAAATGTTGTTAACCTTGCATTCCACTTACTGCTGAATATTTGAGAGAACGATGAACAATATTGATAATATAAACGATGATGCTTGCAGGAATACTATCTTTGAGATAACAAGGGACACTACACTTGAGCCATTTAATTCTTCGTATTTTATTATCAGTTATAACATTACAGTATGTACCTATTATACTTTAACACTTTATTCATTTCCATTCAATCTTTAAATGTTAATTATTTCCGTATTTTACACTTCTACTTCCTTCAGGAAATCATTTCCACTGATTCGAATATATTTAACCTCTGACTCGTCTTTTCTCGAGATCTTAAATTATAGGAAGAACTAAATTGTCCACTTTTTTAATTGCAACATTATTGTTGATACACTCAGACGTGTTCATCCGGACGAAATGATACCAGATTCTGTATTACAGTCACGTACAAAGGGTAATTTCCTTAATTTTCTAGCAGGCTCAACATTAATGCAAATCACGATATGAAATAATTGGCAGGGAAGTAAACGAGCGTAACTGTGTAAGTTACTTTCATGAAAGTATGATTGTCATTAGTATGCTAGTCCGAGAAAGTTTTGTTCCTTTGAAAGAAAAAGTTCGTTTCAATGAAATAATTAATTTCAAGCAACTTTATTTAATCGCGAATAAAATATCATTAATCTTGATAAATTATTTCAATAATGTAAACATTTCTCTTGAACAAATAATATAATGAATAACATCAGCGAACATGATTAATGGTCAACATCGAGGCTAGGCTTTTCCTACAGCCGCAAAAGCCGAAGCCGATTCTCGAAATAAATATGTTGGCATAAGTTCTCATTGGTTCGCGTAATTTCCACATTTAACTTGTCATTTAGCCGTGAATCGTTTCTCGTGACGTATTAAATACCTTTTTAATAGATTGTATAATTACACGATCCATAACGTAAACTCGGAAAATTGTACGCGAAAGATCCATCCTCCTCGATCAATTATTTCGAATAAGTCTAGAAATAATTTGTTTCTAAACATACAAATTGTTTTCTATTTTAGAATTCATCGTCAGGATGGAAAAAAGAAAGAAATTAAAATTCCTCTGGAATATTTATAGACATTTCGAGCGAGAAATTCACCAAATTTATTCATTCAAGTTTGAATAAGGATGTTTATGAATTAGGCTAGTTTATGCAAAGCATCGAATTTGCAGCCGAACAGACGTAAGCGAACGTTTTCGAACCCGGTCGGACGGTTCATTCGCCGGTGATTTTAAATTAGCTCGCGAGACAGAACACGGGAATTCTTGAGAAATTCGTTGTCAACTCTGGCCAGCTTTCCGTTGACAAACCGCACGATGAGAGACAATCGTTGTGCGAAAATGTTCATAGATAAACGAAGTAACTTTTTACTATCTTTCATTCATGTTTCTGAAACGATATTTCAAGATAACACACGGAGGAATAAATTTCGGTAGCGAAGAAATGTTTGACAATCGGATGATAGGTGATAGATCGTTCATATTCACTGTATAAATTTTATTATTCAAAGTCAAACAGCGATAGGAATACGTTGAATAATGTAGAAGTATATTTACAATAGTTGAATTATTGCAGGTATTTAGAAACAATGATGCACCTGTTCAAAGGTAACGTCGGGTCCGGTATATTTGCATTAGGGGATGCTTTCAAGCATGCCGGACTATTGCTGGCTCCACCGCTTACAATCTTCCTTGGGGTTATTTGTGTTCATGCCCAACATATTCTGGTACGTAAAACCAAATTCTTGATTTCTTAACTGAAAAAGAATAAGGGATACTTAAAATACATTTTTTGGGGGTATTTTTCAATCACCACGATCTCGATTCGTTCACCGTCCTTAGTCAATTGAAAAAAAATTAATTAATTTTCATATTTAAAATTTCTTAAAAATAAAGATGTCTCGAAAATTAAGTAGATTATTCAAGGGTTAATTAAGTATCATAGAATTGTTCAAAACGATTGCGGTTTCGTGTTTCTTAGTTGATACAAAGAAACAAAATAAGTAGTATGTATTTAATATGGTAAGCTTCTCGTATTTGATATCATGGAATTAGAAATATCAGTTTCTACAAGTTCTCGAGTAACATCAATTTATTATCGAGACCAGAAAATCGTACAAGAAACAGTATCTTATTTCCTTATACGAAATTTCAGCTGATCTTTCAAATATACCATGTTACACGTGTAATGTTGGAAATATATTGAAAATAGAATAAATGTGTAAATATATCATTGTATATTGTACTTACAGATTAAGTGTAACGAAGAGGTGACGCGTCGTGTTGATGATGTGAGTGCCTCGACTGGATTCGCTGGTACCGTAGAATTGTGCTTTGCTACCGGGCCTCTTGCACTCCGAAAATACTCCGTATTTATGAGGTTCGTACACGAGTAATAAGAAGGAGACAAAATAGGGACACCATCCTACCATTTGCCTCTGTTATTTCGATACTTGTCGGATCTCTTGTTTCAAAGCTCCTCGTTCACTTGCGTTGAAATGGGACAAACGGTCATTCGTGATTGAAAAATTTCAATAACAAATCTCTTATTCAGTTTCAAATAATACACTGAATGCCTCATTGTCGGAATTTTGAAAGACTTCGAAAGAAAAATCATTTGTATTCGTTCGTTCAATTTCAATCACGATACATCATCGTCCAATTTCTACCAAGTATTCGACCATCATTTATATTACCACCCGTCGCTCTGTTCCAGACAATTGGTTAATGTATTTTTATGTATCACGCAACTCGGATTTTGCTGCGTTTATTTCGTTTTCATCGCCACCAATATGAAGCAGGTGAGTGCTAAACAATCTATTCTTTATTTTCAGTCAAAAATTGAAGCATCATATTTTGTTAAAAAAATCTTGAAAGATGATAGTTTTGATTAACGTACTCTCGCATTTTGTTCATCTATATTTATTCTTAAATAGTACGAAAGCAAACGGCATAATTTATAATTTTGTACGTGCGGCAGGTGTTGGACGTGTACGGGATCGAGATGGACGTTCATCAACACATGGCTGTGATTCTGATCCCCATAATGCTCAGCACGTGGATCAGGAACCTGAAGTACCTGGTGCCGATTTCCTCGATGGCAAATTTTCTGGTCACAGCGGGCTACATCGCCACAATGTATATAATGTTCCACGATTTGCCACCCGTTCAAGAGAGACGGTACATAGCGGATTGGCACGATCTGCCTCTATTCTTTGGCACTGTGATATATTCTTTCGAGGGTATCACTTTGGTAAGCGTCAACACAAGTGCGTCCCCTGCGTTTATGTAACCGTGTATAAATTTGGCCAGACGCTAACTTCGTCGTGGTTCCCACGTCTAATGATAAAAGAACCCCTTCAGGGTTTCACCTTTTTACGTAACTGTCGTTGAAGTTAATATTTGAAGGAACCAGTCATTTTTCGTCGTCGCCCTTTGATTAAAAATATTATTCACAACGAACCTTATCGTATTCCAGGTTTTACCCCTGAAGAATGAAATGAAGAAACCGAGTAATTTCAATAAATCGTTCGGTGTTCTGAACGTGGGAATGGTTATTGTAGGCGCGATGTTCGTCGCGATGGGTTTTATATCGTATTTAAAATATGGCGATGCAGTGGCTGGATCTGTAACGTTAAATCTCGAATCCACTGAAGTGTAAGTATAAACTGAATTTTTCTATACTACAACACCCATGTTACGATTTCTTCTCGGTCAATAAAATCATTTCCAAGCCAGTACACTCTCGGTGTACCTGTTAATCACTCGCTAAATTTGTTAAACTATTAGGTAAGACATTTTTATTTCAATCTTGTTGAAGCATCATACAGATCAGTTGTGAAAGAAAAAAATTATGCAAGTGGTTAACAAATGTAATTTTGCCTAAGGATAGCACATAAAAATCCAATCTACAGTAGACTGTTATGCGTCCAGGTGATAAATCGCGGTCCATTAAGAATAATCAAAATTCTATCACACAAAATGATAGCGAGATGCAAACGTAGTTAAGAAAAACTGTAACATAATTTTCTGTTGCATACAAAGGGTGGATGGAAAAATCATCGTCACGCATTCAAGGTTTATATCATACATAGGTTTTCTACAATTGTTGTGTTCCTTTTTACAGTATCTCGTCCTTGTTATAAAATCAATTAACAATTACAGATTTTGATTTTTAATGTTGGATTAATTATGCATGTTATCTTCTTTAACATTTAGAGTGGCGGTGGAGTTTATTGCTTGTAGATTTGAAGAAGTTGATGGTGTATGGAATTGAGAAATTCATAGCGTTTGTCATTTCATTTTACAGCTTACCACAATGCATTAAAGTTGCCATCTCGTTGAGTATATTACTCACGTATGCATTGCAATTTTACGTTCCCATTGCGATCATTTGGCCGAAGATCGTCAATCAATTTGGCCCTTTCCAGTGGCCAGTTATAGCAGAGACTGTTTTCCGTTCCGCGGTTTGTTTCCTCACATGTAAGTCGAATGTGTTAATTAAATAAATGAACGAGATCCAATTCAAGAAATTTAATGGTAACTGTTTTTATTAACTGTTCCAGTCATCCTAGCCGAGGCGATACCTCAACTGGGTCTGTTCATATCATTGGTGGGCGCAGTGAGCAGCACCGCCCTCGCCCTGGTATTTCCACCGATCATTGAGATGGTTGTGTGTTGGCAGAACGCATCTCTTAGTCCTTTCACGATATCAAAAGACATCTTGATAGTACTGATCGGTCTCCTAGGCTTCGTTACAGGAACGTACGAGAGCCTTAACTCGATCATTCGGGCGTTTAGCACGTAATTTAAAATTAGTTCGTTGTATAAATCGTCGTTATAAGTATAATTAGCAGAAGGCGCGGAATTAATGGATCATGACATGAACGCGAACGTATAGGCAATGATTGTTGATGATAAGAAAAAGCCGGGATTCATCGAAATTTTGTAAATTATTGTTACTATTAATACTACTTTATTATTATCGATAATAATGTTATTTATTAGCCTAGCACCATGTTGAGTTCATGTAAAACGGATCTTACATCTTAATTCTTGCTACGTAATATTTTCTGTATTATTTAGAACGAGGAAACTTATCATCTGTGATTTGTTTTACTGTCGATAAAATGCTTAGGATTCTGTATATGTACAAACAGGGTAAACAAATCTCGAGTTTTTTGTTTTTTTTTTAGAAACGATTCGCGGTTACCAATTCGAACGAGATCAGTAAGTTATCGATTAAAAATAATGTTACATATAGTGATATTTTAATTGTCGTGTTATTCACAGGAATTTGCTATTTATTTTATTTGTAATTGTAAATAATTCTACTAAGTACTTGAAAGTATAATTAGTGGAAACAGTTAAATATGCTCAAAAATATAATCACTGCTTAGAGTTTTGGCCAATTTAACATGATAGTTAAATTATTATATATTTTCATTTTTATGCTTTTAACACGTTGAGCGCTACTCGAAAGTTGTTCAAAGTTTTATTAAATAGTATTTTTATTATCCACAATTTCATGTATCTAAAAAAATCCTAATGAATTCCTATTCAAAACCAAGGGTCATCCAAGTATGGATGGCACGGCAGTCAACGTGTTAAGGATTTGGTAATCGTGACCGGAAATTCGAACTCGTACGTGATGTATCATCGCCTATATTACAAATTATGGTAATTGTTTGTGTCCTGAATGCGACGTAAAGTTAGATATCTATCATAGTTTTGTAGGCTGTCCGATTAGCTGTACGGATTACACGTAGAAGTAAACGCTGACTGTTACTGCAATTACCGTGATATACGTAGCTCATATGAATTAACAAAGAGTTTTAAGAGATGTAAAAAAAAAAAAAAAGAAAAAATAATAGAAAACAGAGAATCGACACGACGAACAAAAGATGAATGTTGATCGTCGTGATCATTGTGAAATGTAATATCGTGTTCGACGATCATGTGATATAAAAGACATACGCGTAAGTTATACAGGAAACGTACAAATGCTTTTTCGTCGAGGATCGTTGGTTTAAGATTACGGAATGTTGATGATTCTACAGCGTGTCGATTTGTAATTTTATGTATTATAGATGCGAAGATGCGATTGTATTATAGTTGTGCCAGAGGGTGACCATCGTTTTGGCATGAACAATTTTAGTCGTATTTATATCATTATTTATTAAACACATTTTTCTAAATATAATACATTATCTTATGTTTTAATTGAAACACATACAATTTCCAAAATCAATGTTAAATTGAATATTAAAAATATTTAGTGATATTGGTCACCCTGGGTCACAATGAATTATATTAGTTCTTAAACGAATCACCACGAATTCTCTTATATACAAGAGAATCGAATTTGTTTTTCATTTTACAGCGACTGAAGAACCCTCGAGGGGATGAATTATATTTGTTAAGCAACGGATGTAACGTCGATTCGATGTGTATATATAATGTAATTTACTCACGTTCTTTCTCTCGCAGTGTGACCGATTTATTTATAAACAGGAAGATTGACGAAAACGACGAGAAATTGCATCAATTTTGTACGCTGTCACTGATAGACAATACTTTACTTTAATACCGAACTTTTTATATGTGTACATAGATATATAGTGTGAAAAAACGAAACGTGATAAAAAAAAAAGACAGAAAAATTCAGCATAAATTAAAAGTGTAAAACTTCGATACCCGTTTTTAGAATTAGATCGACGTTATCGTTTGCTAAAACTAACGAAGATTAGTTAGATAATTACTAACACGTTAGTTCATTCGCGTTCATCGACAAAACGAAAGTCTGTTGATACAGATTCAAATGTATCGAACGAAAAGAAAACAGTATTTCAAAAAAAAAAAGAAAAAAAAAAGAATTTGAAATACAAATGATACAAAAAAAAAAAGAACAAAATATCCCACTGTCATACGTAGAAATAATTAAGGGTTACTTGTAAATTAGTACAAGAATTAGAAACATGGAGTACCGTTGCGGAGATATAACGTTAATCGTGATCAATTGTTATTCATTTGCGCACATCCAGGATTTATACTTGTGCCCAATGGTCTGAGATTGATATCTAGGATCTCCTGTAGACCCATTGTACCGACATAGTATTAATTGAACTTCTGGATGATACCAGAAAAAGAAAAGATACACAAATGGTGCAACTGATGCATCATATTGTGGAGTACAAATTCTCTCAGGGATACTTTATACACGTAGATTGTGTTGTTAGGTGTCTTTTTTTTTTTTTTTTTTAATAGTTCTTTTTTTTAAAACGGTGTTCTAAGTGATACCTTTCGTTCGTTGCAGGTTGATGAATGATGAGAGTCAATGAAACGTGCGTGATCATGCGTACTGTCTGTTCATGTACCATTGAGCTCAGTGATGCTCGATTTTTAATTGATCATTGACTAAATAAATGATTCGAAATTGACTGGCTTTAGTGAATACCGTTTGGACATGGGAGAGATTGTGCTTGAACACTGATAGCCCTTAATTTATCTAGAAAAATTTGTTCGAGGATGTCTGAACATTTTAATTCATTAATTTTCATTTCTGAAGAGGATTTTCTATTTTATAATTATTTTCTATGGACCCTCGTATCATTTATATTTTACAATAATCCTTAAAGAAAATTCTGCTGGAAATTATTTATAAATAATTCGAATTTGGATGAATTTTCTTGAAGTTTGTCGATTATACACAGATTTCTGTGGATTCTGAAGTTTGAAACGCTAGAGGGTTGTTTGCGAAAAAGAAGAATTAATTAAAAGTTTTGCAAGCAAATTAGAAATTTTAGAAATGAATTGCACAGAGGAGGAGGTATTTTTATTTAATTTCTTATTTCTACAATTTCTTGTTAATTATAATAATTGTAATTATTTTTCTTAGCTGACGAAGAGGAATGTTTTTCATTTGAATATCTTGAATCCTTTGATCAAAATTTTTGAAAGTTATATGATAATTAAGAAAGAACTAAGTCCGGATGAATTTTGCTTAATGTTATTTGCGAAGAAAGAAGAGAAAGAACGATGCGAAAATGATTACGATTTGCTCAGGGAACGTTTTGATAATCTTGAAGATCTTAAGGTTACATTGAATCTTTTATATTAACAAAAATTTTGGCAGAAAGATGTGACAATGATGTTTCAGGTTTTAAAGGATTTATCAATCTCGGAGCAGAATATAATTGCCGATTTGTTTATAAATATTGTTCGTTACGAGTCGGTCTTGGAGGCAATAAGCAAGGATTTTTTGAACCATCTTCATTATCGCAATAATAACGAGTTGTATCAAACTATGGGTGGGTTATTCGTTAAATTTATGCTAATTCCAAATACTATCAACGACTTAAACAAATTAATGTTTCAGTGCTGGTGTACACTCTCTCATACAGAATTTCCAATCTATTTTTCGAAGAATCTATCGACTGTTTCGTTCACTTTAAAATTAAGAAAATTTTGTCTTTGGTTTTGTATCTTCTTCGTTCGGAAACCTCGAACCTTTATTACGAGAAGGGTCGTTTAATTTTCGAGGAAGATTTTGTGGAACAGAAACTTGTACTACCATTTTTAGAGATTACGTCGTGTTTAGAGGTTTACCAAGAATTCTTCATACAATAATCCGTATGTTAAAATTCCATACTGTTTAAAGTAAATTTTATCAGAAACTTCGGGACCAATTAAAGGAGTATCTGCGAAAGATGAAGAAGCCTAAACCAAAATTAACAATTCCAACGTTTATGAACGTTTTGAATCATCCGAGGCACCCAACCAGAGCACCTCCTCCTACACCTGAAGTGAGTATCATAATTTGAGGACTATCTAGGAATAGTTAACGAGCTACTAAATTTTGAAATAAATTCTTTGATACCTGATATTGTTAGTACAAATTGAATTTTTTTTATATTCGTATTGTAACCCGATTTAAAGTGGTCGGATCAACGGAACTTCGAGATTTCCTTTTTTGAAGACTACTCGTATCGTGGATAGGACTTGTCGGCGATGAGATTCGCCCGAGATGTACCGAGGACAAATTACGTTAAACCATCGACTGAGATGAGATTGGAATCGTTGCGAGTTGCGAACAAATTGCAAGCTATGAATTTATTGAAGGATGCGAACGAGAATGCACCGAGTTGTCTGAAACGTTGCAAAGTTTTCGTGAAGTCAACTGAGGAAGAAAAACCGAAAGCTACATTCGTAAGGAAATCGGCTCCGACGTTCAAGGTTTCTTTTTAATTAATTATTCATTATTAGAGCTTTGGAGTTTTGCCACGTTGTTTAATTAATAATTATTCGTTTAACAGCCTGTCGTGGTGAAACACACGGCAGCTTCGACTTTGAGGGAATGCGCTCGTGTGATCGGTAACGAAGAGAAAGAAATAAGAAAGTAATTATTAAAAGATCTATTGTTTCAGTAACCAACAGTCTCGTGATTTCTTTTTTGGTGAAATTGTAGATTAAAGGGTTTATTGGAAGGAGGGCTGGATCCATCGGCGATATCAAAGTTCGAGGAAGAGAAACGGCAACAACAGAAAGAAGAAGAATTGTTAAAGATTCAAGAGAAACATCTTTTAGGGTTGTTAACACACGAAGGTGCTTTTATTGCAAAGCAATCGTTGCTAAATGACATTAAATCCCACGCTGAAAGTGTACGGAAAGAGGTACTCGAACTTTTTTTTAAATTAATAAACAGTTATTAATTGTCGAAACGATTGCTTGCTTTTCTTTTTTAAAGAAACAAGAATTGTATGAAAAATTAGAAAAATGGAGAGAAGATCATAATAAACAGATGATAGAAATCGTCGAAAAATGCCGTGAAGTTGAACAATCATCTCGCGAAGCTTTTAACGCTATGATCGATGAAAAACGACAAAAAGGTGAATTATTTCTAATTTTGTGTTATTTATATAAATTTTATTAGATATTCAAATATTACCAATGAAACAGCGGATTCTTCGATCAGTTCTATTTGATAAGTAGTTGAAGAAACTTTTCAATTTAATGTTCTGTCAACAATATAAGTAAGTATTTGAAGAATTCATTTACTTTAATTAATTATTCATTCTAGCTGCTGAAGTATCGGAAGAATCACGTCAATTGAAACTCCAGATGATAAAACAGAGAGAGGAAGAAACTCAGAGAAAGATAAAATTGATACAAGAAATCAAAACGCTTCAATCATTACGAGCTTTACCTTTTAAAGATTTCGATCCTACCGAATCCAGTGGGTTGGGTCTTTTTTGCGAAATGTCCTTAGTGGAGGTTTATGATAATTAGAATCTATAACAGTTAAATTGTACGTATGTTTTCATAAGTAATAATAAATCATTCTATTTTAGCTGAAAGAACGATTATTTTGGACGAAGATGAAATTGAACGAAGAGATCCAGAACCGGAAGTCCGCCATTCGCCAACAACGCGATCGACAGAAAAATTTGATCAAAGATACTCGTAGAGCACTCGAAGAATATAAAGCAAACAAGTTAGTTATTATAAATAACTGTACGTAAAGAAAGTAATTCCTTTGGCTCTATCCTCAGACAAGCTGCTCCATCGATGAAATCGGAGCTGAAGGAAGTAAGTTCACCGGAAATAGAGGCGTTGCGAAAGATGTTGGAGGAACGAAGAGCTTTAAGATATCAAAAGAACAACGTCTGTAATTCTAGTTTTAACAAGTAAAATGACAGTGTTTCGTGATTTATTCTCCTCATGTGTGTTATGTAGGAATTGAGTAACAATTGGAGGATGCTGAATCATTGTTATGCACTGACAATATTCTTATCACGTTTTCGACGCTGTTTTAGAGCATAATGAGTCGTTAAATATTGTGCTATAAACTATAGTTAAAAATTGAACAGTCATTATCTCGATATTGGTATGCTTCTTACGAAAGTTTGTTCTTTAGACTTTAGATAAAAGATTTTAATAATTTTTGTTAAAAAAATTTGTTGACAAATTATCGAATGGATACCATCAAAAAAATGTTTGTATAAAATATTTTACAAAGGGTTAATAAAATTTTAGGGGTTGCACTTATGACATCATTAAAAAAATTTAGAAATAATCCTGAAGAAAAAGGAACGTTTTAATAATTGTTACATTGTACAATTGTAATTGTTAATAGTACAATTTCTTACTAATTAAGTACTGTTCAGAAGCCAGTGAAATGATGATATAATGGAGCTAGTCACTGCTGACATACAAGTCATCAATGCCTTCAGAAACGAGCGATTACTTGTAACAATCTGAGACTACGATCTAACGTAAATACAGGATGCTAAGAGGGGAGAGATCATATTCTATAGGAGGATTTGCAACAGACATTGATAAAAGCCTGTCCATCGAACAACTCTCGCTGCAGTCGGGTCAGAATCATTGTTAAACGCGAATCTTTCCTTTTCTTTGATCAAACAGAAAACTATTTCCTATTGTGTCGAAGAAAATTCCTGTATCAGTGTGAAGGATAATTCAACATGGTCGCCGATAGTGAGATAAACAACGTAAGATATTTCATTTAGAGAACGTAGTTCCCTGTTGTTTATTCATTTTATTTCATTCAAATAAACATTGTACCATATAAATAACAATTTGTTTAACAATATTATTGTTAATAGGTCGAGCTACCTTTTAGGATCGAAAACAATATACTAAAGGGGAAAGTGATACCATTTAAATCCCAGTATACAAGCGTTGGAAAGTTGCTGTTCGACTTTTTGAAGAATAACTTGAATTTCGTGGGACAGGTATGTAGAATTTTTTTCCATCGATCGTACACTTTAATGATCTCGTCATTCGTGAAATCTACCTGTATTTTCTCATACGTATGATCTAGTTTACGTATTTTCTGTCGTTTCTATTCTTCAGGTAGATGCACTCACTGATATTGAGGACACTTTCGAAGAGATTCTAGATCGGTCCATAAAATGTGCACTCTGGCTGCAGAAGCAAGGAGTGGGAAGCAACGACATTATCGTGATTTCATCGCACAATCATCTTGATTGTTTTATTCCTTGCATCGCTGCACTCTTTATCGGTGCTATATTCAATCCATGGCACTCTGATGTAAACACACGTAAGATTTCAAATTCTGAATCGCGAATGCTTCAAAGTATAAATATCTTTACAAGCGTTTCAAGAAGCGCACGAACATAAATTCTTTAGAATATCTGTTAGAACATAATCCGTTCGTTTTACATAACGCGCGGTAATTATGAGGTTGCATAACAATTGAATTGTTATGACTTTTTTGCAGAGTTGGCACGTCATTTCATGTCATTATCTCAGCCGAAAGTGGTGTTTGCAAACGAGAAATCAGCACCTGTCGTGTTGGAAGCAGCGAAAATCGAATGTCACCACTTGAAAGTGGTAACGTTCGGCGAATACCTTGGCACCAGCTCGTTCTCCGACATTCTAAAAGGTCACAGCAAATCGTCGGTAGCTAATTTTCAATGCGCCGAAATCGATGATCCCGAACAGACCGCGGTGATATTGTTCTCTTCCGGGACAACTGGTCCACCGAAGGGCGTGCAATTGCCTCATCGGGCATTTTTGAAATTCTTGGAATTGGACGTTGAATTTTCTCTTAAAAACCATGTGTCCGTATGGTTCAGTACTTTATATTGGCTCAGTGGTACGTTGTTAAATTTGAAGAGCATCGTTTCCTGTTCGAAGAAAATCATCGTGGCAAACTCCGATGAAGAAACCGCCTGTAAAATTGTAGAGAAGTACAAGGTATCTGCTTCAATTTCAATTTAATACGTTCGCGACGGGGCCTGAATTTAATGTCCCCGCCGAGAGGAGGGGTTAAAAAAACTTTGTTAATTACAATAATCAGTTATGTAAATGCTATGACGCGACACTAGTTTATGTACCACCGATATATACATATATTAAAATGGATAATTATATTAAATATTTATTGATTTAATTAATAAAAACAAGAATGTACCACCGGTGCACGTGTTAACGAACTTGTTATTATGAGACACGGGTTAAAGTTCTGATGTACCGTAATAACTTTGTTTGCGAGAGAAAGCCTCGATAACGTATCAATATGGATCACTGTTGTGTAAACATTTCGTGTTACACTCTGATTTCACGATGATTTGTAAAGTTTTATCATAAATTTCTATTTAATCGTATTGTTGTAAAGGTATCATGGATGATGCTGAGTACCAGCATGGTGAATCGTCTCGCTAGGTATAATAATTTGCAACATTATGATCTCTCGAGCTTGCGGAATCTCTACACCGGTGGTTCTTCCATGGGAAAAGAAGCCGAAGACCTAGCAAGAAAACGTTTCCCGCAAACATTGTTGCTACAAGCTTATGGTAAAACGAATAAATGAAATCATTCTATCTTAATTCGATGCAGCGATTATTATAAATGTAATTTTTCTTCTCAGGTATGACGGAACTTGGTAATTTACTCGCTACACAAGTGGAAGGTTCTACCAGCGGTTCCTGCGGCATACCCGCCACAAACTGTGAAATTAAAATTATCGATCCCGAAACTGGAAAAGTTCTGGGTCCTAATCAGAATGGCGAGATCTGCGCGAAAATTGTGTCGATGATGACGGGTTATTACAAGAACCCGGAAGCCACCAAAAACACTATCGATGAAGATGGTTAGTACGCAATGTGGAGCTTCAGAGAACATTATAATTTGACAATTCAATTTTCTTTGTTCAGGATGGTTGCACAGTGGAGATTTAGGATATTACAACGAGAAAGGGGAATTGTTCATTATAGATAGATTGAAGGAATTGATCAAATTCCAAGGGTTTCAAATAGCGCCAACTGAAATTGAAGGTGTCTTGCAATCGCATCCTGCAGTTTTAGAAGTTGCGGTTGTTAGTATGCCTCATCCTCTCGACTGTGAACACCCAGTTGCTTTTATCAGTAAAGTGCCAACCAAAGAGGTATGTTTAAATAAGTGTTAGGTACTCTTTTTTTATTTGCCATTAATGTTACGATACTAATTTGCAGGTAACAGCTGCAGAATTAATGATGCTGGTAGCTAATAATTTAATGGATTATTGTCAATTACGTGGTGGGGTGAAATTTTTACCATCTCTGCCCCACACTCCTTCAGGAAAGATCGCGAGGAATGAATTGAAGAAAATGGCAAAAGCCATGGCAGTTAAATAATTATTTTTGAAAATCAAACGAAACGAGTAGGCTGTCTCTAATATTTTATTAACAAAATAAGTATTAATCTCTTGTAATGTAATTGTCTTCACTGTTATCATTTATCTGTTATAATCAATGTTTTTATATAATAACAAAGAGATTGTGTCTTTGATATTCAAAGACTCCTTACATGCTGTATTACTTGAAAAATGAGATTACTTTCAATGAAAGTGCTGTAGTCAACTGTCAAGATCTTAATATTAAAAACGTTATTAGAAACTATTGTACCAATTAAATAAAATTTGTTAACTGATTGTACGAAAAGTCGGCTGTTTATATTGGTTTTCTAACAGAAATTCAACATCACTAATGGTTAACGATGATAATTGAGTACTCGGAAACGAAATAGTAAGTCAGTCTTTGCCTTTCAAAATTGCAAATCAGCAGATAGAAAAATAATATTTGCAACTTATTTTCCTGTATTCGATAAGTATACAAAGTCTGGTTTGAGGGAAATAAGAATGGAAAAATGCACTGATGAATAATTAAAATATATCTATGTAAAATAAAATAGAAGGAATATATAAATATGAAATATTGATCACTACTTAGATAAAAATTTACAATATATTCAGAACCACTTTGCAATTACAACCTTTTATCGATACACGAGATAAAAAATTGAAGAAGATAAAAAATGCTAAAACCGATAAAAGACCGTACGTTCTTCGATCTTTTTTACAGTCGTTAAAAAGTTATTGTTATACGCACACGTTTTACTTCTCCGGATTAAATTATTTTCCATTGCGCAACGGTCATTTTATGCAACATCGCTGCAATAAATAATTTCTTCTCGACATGGCTAATATAAATAAACAATATGTAAGACGTTTTCTTCGACGAAGAAACGAAACACTATGCGACATCAACAAATTTCTTTTATCGTTTAACAATATTACAGGTCGAGAAACCGTTTAGAATCGAAAACAACATAATGAAAGGAAAGGTAATGCCGTATAAACCGCCCTACAAAAGCATTGGAAAATTGTTGTTCGACCACATGAAGAAGCATCCGAATTTCGTGGCACAGGTGACAGTTTCTATTTAATTATTTCTAATTCAACATTCTGACGATCAATTATTTTCTACCGTTGGAACATTTACTCAAGATCGAATACTTCAGGTTGACGCGACCACAGGGATCGAGGACACTTTGAAAGAAATGCTGGATCGCTCGATAAGATGTGCGCTCTGGTTGCAGAAACAAGGCGTGAAAAAGAATGACATCGTCGTAATTTCGTCGCACAATCATCGTGATGATTTTATTTGTTGCATGGCTGCACTTTTCATCGGTGCTTCCTATAATTCATGGTACCATGAAATTAACTTACGTAAGTTATCGAATTCTGATATACAATCGGGCTCTCTCCATGGTTCGCCATTCGAGCGTTAACACGTTTCAAGTAAAACTTATAGAAAAAGAGTTATTTGACTGCAATTAATTGCATAACGATTAATCAACACTATGACATTGTTGCAGAATTAGCTCGTCATTTCACAAGATTGACTAAGCCAAAAATCGTGTTCGCGAATGAAATCTCGGTTCCTCTTGTGATAGAAGCAGCTAAACTCGAGGGTCATTATCCCAAAATAGTGACGTTCGGTGAATATCCCGGCACGACACCGTACTCTGAGATCTTAAATGGTCACAGCGAATCCTCGGTGGCTAATTTTCAATGCACCGAAATCGATGATCCTGAACAGACCGCGGCGATCGTTTTCTCTTCCGGAACAACGGGTATGCCGAAAGGTGTGCAATTGCCTCATCGATCGATTTTAGGATACGTGGAACTGGAAGATAACTTTCCTCTTGGTAATCAGATAGTCATGTGGTTCAGTACCTTATATTGGCTCAGCGGAACGCTGATGTGTTCGAAGAGCATCGTTCAGCTATCGAGAAGAGTCGTTACACCAACATTTGATGAGGAAATTACCTGTAAGATTATAGAGAAGTACAAGGTAATTGTTTCTCGATTTTTCGGGAATTTTAATGAAAGGTTTCACGGTCGCTTGTGAATCTGTCCAATGGTATCGTAAACTTGTTGATCATCATTCCAAAGGTGTCGTGGTTAGGGCTGACCGCCAGCATGATGAATTGTCTTGCTAGATATAATCGTTTGCAAGATTTTGACCTCTCGAGCTTGAAACTTTTTTACACCGGTGGTGCTTTCGTCGGGAAAAATAGTGAAGATCTGTTGAGGAAACGTTTTCCACATACGAGAGTGGTACAAATTTATGGTAAAGCAAATGATCTACGATATGTTGATGGATCGTTAACATTTATCCATAAAAAAGCGATCTATCTTTTCAGGTATGACGGAACTCGGCATGGTAGTTACCGAGCAAACGGAAGATTCTGAAAGCGGTTCTTGCGGCAAGGCAATCAAAAACTGCGAAATAAAAATTGTCGATGTTGAAACTGGTAAAGTTTTGGGCCCGTTTCAGAACGGCGAGCTTTGGGTGAAATCTCCTTGGATAATGACGGGTTATTACAAAGATCCAGAAGCAACCAAAAATATCATCGACGAAGAAGGTGAGTTAGGAAGTGTGAGGATTTTCGGATGATTCAAAAACATTTCTCTTCAGGATGGGTACACTCAGGTGACATAGGGTATTACAACGAGAAAGGAGACATATTTATCGTTGACAGGATAAAGGATATGATCAAATGCCAAGCACATCAAGTAGTCCCAAGTCAAATCGAAGAAGTCATACAACGTCATTCAGCAGTCTTAGAAGTTGCAGTCGTCAGTATGCCTCATCCTATTGATACTGAACAGCCAATTGCTTTTGTTAGTAAAATACCAAACAAAGAGGTAATTCATACAGTCAGGGTGTACGAGGAGCAAGGTGTTAAATTTTTCTGTAACTTGACATGGTAATTAATTTCCAGGTGACAGAGGAAGAATTGATCAAGTTGGTAGCTGACAATTTAGTGGATTATTCTCAACTACGCGGTGGGGTGAAATTTTTACCAGCTCTACCCCACACTCATTCAGGAAAAATTTCGAAGAAAGAATTGAAAGAACTGGCGAAAACGATGGCTCCTTGTTAAATGATTATAAAAGACGGAATATCAAATGTTCCTATCATTCTTATACTCTAAACATCAATATTTTAAATGATGTAAAAATTTCCAGAGAAATATGAAATAAAATCGCAGTAAAATACGAATGTATAAAATTGTGAAAATAATAAATTTATCTGTTTTACAAATTAAGAAATGACCACAGTTAGATAGTAAATTCATCTTCCTGTCTGTTTCTTACAAATTTCTTCAATCCTCGATTACCTACAGAAAAGATTATTTACAATGGAAGTATGATATTAAAAGGTTATTAAATACAATTAATATTATATTCAATAACCGTACATAATTCGTTCAATTCCAAGGCATAAAGTAATCAATAAACGTAATGAAAATAGTTAATTTTTATTCTGGAAATTTTCAACTTCTTTCAAATGAATAAAACGTTGCATATGAGTCTTACATAAGTTTAATAACAATTATTTAACTGAACAGAAGGTCGATTGTGATTATCTTATCAAACTATTATCGAGCAGAATTAATTTATCATTTCAAAAAGTCCTTGTTTGCGATTACAAATTTGAAATGATAAATTCCAAAATAATTTTTTAAAATGGAATTGTATTCTTTGTTACACATGGCTTTTTTTATTCTTTAGGTTTCATTCTTCTATCCTACCACCTGGGGATTGAAATTTAAGTAATTACTTGAAGAGTTTTCACAAACAAAATAACTTCCCATTCTTCACTTATCAAAATTACAATTTAACAGATAAAAAGTATGAATAATTTATTTTCTTCTATCTGATAAGCCTAATTTTTGATACGTCCCCTTGTTACAGTATAAATAAGTATATCAATTATTCCGTACACAGAGATAGTAATAAATAATTGAAATATATCTATGTAAAATAAAACAGTAAGAAAGTACATAAATGTGTACTTTCAGTTATTTAGATAGTCATCCCTGATGACATAACTATTTCAAACTTCTAGTGCCATTAGAAATGTGCATTAAATCAAGTGCATGAATAAATCAAGATGCAAATTCTTTGAGTAGGAATCAACAAAAGGGGGTGCAGCATATAATTCTATTTTCAGTCGTACGAAAATTATTGTTAAACTTACGCGTTCTCTTTTTTCTGATAAAACGAGCAATTACCTATTTAAACAACATCACCGTAAAAAATAATCACATTTCTTTTTAACATGTCTGTTAACAATAAAAACGACGTAAGACATTTCGTGGGGTGCATACAGTATTCAGTTTCCGGATTTTGCTTAAAAAAAATTTTTTTTAGGGCCAGCCACGTTTTACGATCGAAAATAATATACTGAAAGGAAGAGTGGTGCCATTTCAGTCTCAGTACACGCATATTGGACAGTTGCTGTTCAACTCAATGAAAAAAAATGCGAATCTAGTGGGGCAAGTAGGTTGACAATTTTTACAATAAAATTATGATCATTATGTTTAATATACATGCAAAATCGAATCCTTCAGGTTGACGCGATCACAGGTATCGAAGACACCTTTGGAGATATCCTAGATATGTCGATAAAATGTGCGCTTTGGATGCAGAAACAAGGAGTTAAAAGTAACGATATCATTGTTATCTCATCGCAAAGTAATTGTGAAGTATTCATTCCGTGCATCGCTGCGCTCTTCATCGGTGCCATTTTCAATCCATGGGACGATGAGAAAGATACAAGTAAGTTTTAGGAAGTTTTCAATTTTCCTTATTCTATGAAGTTTAATTTATCGCAAGCCTATTGATACACTTTTCAGTATTCTTGAATGTTGACAGAAATGACTTACATTACAGAGACGACTCGTTATTACATCAAACTCATGCAGCCAAAAGCCATCTTTGCGGGTGAGAAATCAGCCCCTATTGCGCTGGAAGCAGCTAAACTCGAGGATCATCCAACGAAGGTAGTGTGTTTTGGTGATTATCCAGGCACAACACGGTTCGCTGACATCCTGAAAGGTCACAGTGAATCTTCGGTGATTAATTTTCAATGCACCGATATCGAGGATCCTCGGCAAACTGCGATAATTATGTTCTCTTCTGGAACAACGAGTCTTCCCAAAGGAATACCATTGACTCATCAATCGTTACTGAAGTTGTTGGAAGTAAAAGAGGAGCCTAGTGTCGATACATGGATGTGGTACAGTCCTCTATTCTGGATCAGCGGACCGTCTCTTAACATGAAAAATATCATCTTCCATAGGAAGAAAATCGTCCCGCCACCCTTTGAAGAGGAATCAGCCTGCAAGATTATAGAGAAATACAAGGTACTTGTGTCTCTTTTCACATTCGTGTATAATCGTCTTTTAAACCGTGGATAATGATTTGATAGGTGGAATTAGTGTTATTGAATACCACTAGAATAAATCGTCTCATTCGACACAATCGCTTCTATGAATACGATCTTTCGAGCTTGAAGGTGCTGTATATTATTGGCTCCCCCATGGAAAAAGTAGTTCAAGACTTGGTAAAGAAGTGTTTTCCACATACAGTAATTGCACAAGTTTATGGTAAGATAAATGGTGTTAATCATTACTCATTTTTTTATACACATCGCTTCTTGATAGTTTCTTTTAGGTCTGACGGAAACGGGCTACATAATTACTGCGCAATCGGCCAATTCACCAAGCGGTTCCTCTGGGTTAATAAATCATAACTGTGAGATAAAAATTATTGATCTGGAAACGGGAAAGACATTGGGACCGAATCAGAAGGGTGAAATCTGTGGTAAATCGATAAGTATGATGTCGGGTTATTACAAAAATCCAGAAGCTACCAAAAAGGTCATCGACGAAGATGGTCAGTATACCTTGAGAAATGAAGAAACATTTTTCTGAACAATCAGAATTCTTCCAGGATGGTTACACACGAGTGATCTTGGTTATTACACCGAGGAAGGTGAACTATTCGTTGTCGATAGACTGTCCGATTTAATTAAATTTAGAGATCATTTAATAATTCCAAGTGAAATCGAGGCTGTCTTGCTGACTCATCCTTCAGTTTTGGAAGTAGCAGTCATTGGTAAACCTCATCCTATCGATGGTGAACATCCACTTGCTTTTGTCAGTAAAGTACCAAACAAAAAGGTAATCTAGACGACATAACACAATTTATTAAATTCAATGTTATTTAAATTAATATGATAATTAATTTGTAGGTATCGGCAGAAGAATTAATCGATTTAGTAGCTAGTAAATTAATGGATCATTGTCACCTACGTGGTGGGGTGATATTTCTACTATCTTTTCCATATACTCCTACAGGAAAGATTCTTAAGAAGGAATTAAAGATGATGTTGAAAGAGGTGACTATCCATTAAACAGTCACAGAATCTTTGAACTTATATTTATAGAAGTTATAATTATTGTATATAGAATATCAAATTGTTAAGTGTATTTGATTCCTTAATTACATCGAATATCCCAATTTCCTCTGAAAGTATTAAAATTGAACATGAAATTAGCAATAAATATATGGATTAGTAAAAAGAAATTGTATTTATTAACAGTTTAAATGCCACATCAATCACAGTCATCTGTGTTCCCATAAAAATCCGTCACTCATATCATTAGAAATTGTTTGATTTACTTAATTAGAAATACTTGTATTGGATACTTGTGATTATGGATCCAAAATATTTAATGTGACCTCGGAATGACTGTACCTTCCCCTGCTGACCTGACGTTTAGTCGTCGGTGTTGGGCAAATTGCAGGCTTCAGGCGCCTTTTATTCGAACTTTTAAACGTTAATTACTGGAAAACAAAGGTGCAAACGCTATTTGATTTTCGTCTTATTTTGATCCCTAGAATCACCCCTTAAAATTTTGCCTACTTGTTGTCGAACACCCTGTATATATTAGACACAAATGAAATATGGATTAAAACTTTAAGAACTATAATAAATCTTGGTTTTTTCCAATACCCTTTCCATAGATTATCATGAACCTTTACAACTTGATTTTATTGCTAATAAATTTTTTTTTCATATTCAATCGTCGAATCAACAGCCCCTGAAACCGGCAACCTGCACAGTATCGATGGATAGACGTCGAGTCAGTAGGCGTTTGTAGTTATAATCGAGATAAATAAAGGAAATGAAATGAAAATCAGATCCGCATTAATATTATTAAAAATTGCTTGCTAATATATAGAAAAAGTATTTTACTATTGTTTCATGTTTGAACTAGAACTCATTGTGCATCTGAATATAAGATCAACCATCACCTACGACTTAAAATCTGAAAGAGCACTTGAAGATTTTTTGGAAGCAGAATAACGAACCATTTCTTATCGTATAAAAAAATATATGACGTCTATTTCCGTCTGCTTGATAATTCTACAAAATTTAATTTAATATAGTGGGATATATATTAACTGTGATTAACAAAAATATACAAAAATCTTTGTCGATGTGCCACCGACACAAGGTTGTTTGTTCTCTTTGTTCAAAAAATAATATCACTGCTCGACCGACCACTTTATGGTTTGCCCCTACCTGGTATCTCTTACACGTTTCGAGAACAAAGTCAAACCTAATAGCATACATATCTGCTCCTTAAGAAGCAACTGTTCGGTCCCGAACCAGTCGATTATTTTATACCGATTGCAAATAGCAGCAAAATAATTATTGTACGTATAATCAAGGTATATCTATGCAAAATATAATTGTAGGATGGCACATATGCAAATATGCTGCAGTTTACAATTTCAAAATAGATGAAAGATGTGGAAGATTTAAAATCCTATAATTAAAAATCCTTTAAAATGGATGAATTAATGTAATCTATGCAAAATACAATTGTCGGAAGGCACATATGCAAATATGCTGCAGTTTGCAATTCCAAAGTAGATGAAGATCATGAAAGAATTAAAGACATATAATTAATAATCCTTTAAAAAGGGTGTAGCATACAGTACTCTGTACAGTCACTTGAAAATTATTGTTAAATGTACTCTTTCTTCTCTCTACCGTATTTTTGATCGCGCCGTATTTTATTTTACATAGAATCAATTCAAAAATAACTTCATTACTTTTCAACATGACTAATAACGATCAAAATAACGTAAGATATTTCGTTTGCTTCACAGTTTCCAGTTTCTAGATTTTGTTTAAATACATTTTTTTTATTAATAATATGATTGTTAACAGGTCCGGCTACCTTTTAGGATCGAAGATAATGTACTTAAAGGAAGAGTGGAGCCATTTCAGTCTCGGTACACGCATCTTGGACAGCTGCTGTTCAACTCAATGAAAAAAAATGCGAATCTAGTAGGACAAGTAGGTTGACAATTTTTACAATAAAATTATGATCAATATGTTTAATATACACGCAAAATCGAATCCTTCAGGTTGACGCGATCACAGGTATCGAAGACACTTTTGGATGTATCCTAGATATGTCGATAAAATGTGCGCTTTGGATGCAAAAACAAGGAGTTAAAAGTAACGATATCATTGTTATTTCATCGCAAAGTGATCGTGAAATTTTCGTACCAGCCATCGCTGCACTCTTCATTGGTGCCATTTTCAGTCCATGGGACGATGAAAAGGATACGGGTAAGTTTTTTCGAACCATGACTTATGAAATTTTCAATCGTTTTTGTGCCACAAAACTGTATCATCGTGTTACAGATATGTCTCGTCATTACATCAAATTACTGCAACCAAAAGTCGTGTTTGCGAATAAGAAATCATCTCCCGTCGTGCTGGAAGCAGCTGAACTCGAGGATCATCAAATAAAGGTCGTGGCGTTTGAAAATTGTCCTGGCACGATACCGTTCGCTGACATCCTAAAGGGTCACAGCAAAGGTTCGGTGGCTAATTTTCAATGCACTGAAATTAACGAAAATGATCACACTGCAATGATCATGTTCTCCTCTGGAACAACGGGTCTTCCAAAGGGTATAACAACTACTCATCGATCGTTACTGGCGGTCGTGGAATCATGGTTAGGTCCTCCTGTCCACACATGTATGTGGTACAGTTGCCTGTTCTGGTTGAGTGGCCCGTTATTTAATATGAGAAATATCATTTTCCATACTAAGAAAATTATCCCGCCACCCTTTGAAGAGGAATCAGCCTGCAGGATTATAGAGAAATATAAGGTACTTGCGTCTCTTTTCACATTCGCGTATAATCGTTTTCTAAACCGTCGATAATTATTCGATAGGTGGAATGGTTATTAATGAATACCACTAACATAAATCGTCTCGTTCGATACAATCGCCTCCATGAATACGATTTCTCGAGTTTGAAGGTCCTGTACATTGCTGGCTCTCCCATGGAAAAAGTAGCTCAGGACTTGGTAAAGAAGTGTTTTCCTAATACGGATGTAGTACAACTTTATGGTAAGATAAATGGTGTTATTCACTGTTCATTTTTTGATACACATCACTTAAATCTGATACTTTCTTTTAGGTATGGCTGAAATGGGCAACCTAATTGCTGCGCAATCGGTCAATTCTCCAAGCGGTTCGTCTGGGTTAGTAGCTCGCAATTGCGAGGTAAAAATTATTGATCTGGAAACGGGAAAGACATTGGGACCGAATCAGAAGGGTGAAATCTGTGGTAAATCGATAAGTATGATGTCGGGTTATTACAAAAATCCAGAAGCTACCAAAAAGGTCATCGACGAAGATGGTCAGTATAAAATGTGATACCTTGAGAAATGAAGAAACATTTTTCTGAACAATCAGAATTCTTCCAGGATGGTTACACACGAGTGATCTTGGTTATTACACCGAGGAAGGTGAACTATTCGTTGTCGATAGACTGTCCGATTTAATTAAATTTAGAGATCATTTAATAATTCCAAGTGAAATCGAGGCTGTCTTGCTGACTCATCCTTCAGTTTTGGAAGTAGCAGTCATTGGTAAACCTCATCCTGTCGATGGTGAACATCCACTTGGTTTTGTCAGTATAGTACCAAACAAAGAGGTAATTTAAACGACGTAACACAATTTATTAAATTGAATGCTATTTAAATTGATATGATAATTAATTTGTAGGTATCGGCGAAAGAATTAATCGATTTGGTAGTCAGTAAATTGCCGGATCATTGTCGCCTACGTGGTGGGGTGATATTTCTACCATCTTTTCCATATACTCCTACAGGAAAGATTTGGAAAATGAAATTAAAGATGTTGAAAACGATGTATATAAACGAACGAACTCGTTAAACAAATATAGAATATAAATTGCTAATCATATTTTTGTAGGAAGTATAATTACATATAAAGTCTTATTAAGTATAAGGATAACAAGTTTATTATTAGGGGTTAAAGAGAAGGAAAACGAAATAATTTTAAATAAAATTACCAAAATTTATTGTAGATATGAGTATAACAATAAATCACTGTATTCAATGTTGTATAAATTGTTTGAAAGACATTTTTGTTCGTTTATTCGTATCCACGTGCCTTGGATTCTTTGAACATAGCAACCAAAGAGTCGAGAGTTTCCTCAGCGGTGGGTTTGATCTGGTCAGCAGGAAGTACGAAACCATGACGACCAGTGTCCCTCAGTTCATAAGTATAAGTGATTGGTTTGTGGAAAGTTCCTTTCACCCAGTCAACTGAACTTCCACTAGCAATATCTGAAATATGAAAATATATACAGTTATGGATTTAATATTTTTTCCAATTCACTTTACTTTGCCTTAAACAATGAAAATGTATACTTACAGATGGTTTCAGCAACGTTTCCGGTCTGGTAACGAGTTCCATAACGTTTAGCAAGTGCTTGAATTGTTTTCTGACCAATTTGCAGCTGAAAATATCAAATATTATTTATTCCTCACCGTCACAAGTTCTCAATTTTAATTCTATTGTATTCGACTGATGAAATATGATTGCAAGATAAAGAATTAATGAAACAATTGATTAGTTGCAGTTCTGATAATAGAATCAAAGACAGATACGATCACGATAAGATAAAGTCATTTGCGATTTATTATTAATAATAAGTCTTTCAACATTTTTATTTCCGTCTAATCAAAGAAATCTAATTGTTCATTGAAATCTGAATCAACCGGTACAATTGATTTCAAGTGCAGGATAAATAAATAATAGGATATTGAATTTCAGAATTAAAACAAAGAATGATGCTTTTACTTACAGACGCGTCGTAATTTTCAAGGTGTTCCTTAGTGTGACCATAGGGGAACATCAAAAGTTGAGAGTAGCTGTGGAAAGAAATGTAGGCATAGAATTTGTTGGAAATTGATTTGATGTAGTCGGACATGGTTTTAGTTTCAACGTCGGAGAACGCTGCGCTTCCGGCGTAAGTCTCGGAGCAAGGGGTGCTGCTGGAACCACCAGCTGAAAATTAACGAAAGAAATTTTAATTATTTAACCCTCTTTATTTTAATACCTTCTATTATAAACGAAAATAGAAATGTTTCAGACTTACACATCCATTTGTAACCCCAGTTCCTGTTAGGGTCTGATCCGTAGCACAGAATACCGTAAGGTTTGCGGGTCTTTCTCCATAAACGGTTCTGAAATTCAAACAATTATTAAAAATTCATCGATTATCAAACTTTCCAACTAACATATCGTTCAATCTTTTCAGGGAACCAACCGTTGTATGGGTGTACACGTATCCATCAGGGTTGAAGACAGGGAAGATGTACCAATCGTGAGATTGTGCCAATGATCTGACGTCAGCTGATTTACTGTACAGAAGTTCGTTCAACATGTAAAGGATCGAAGCTGGAGTGATCCATTCTCTGGCATGGATACCACCCTCGATAAAGATTCCAGGCTTGTTGCCACCGAAGGAGAGCTTCACTCCTTTGATTTGACGGCCCTCGTACGTTTTTCCACCAACGATTACTTGCACCTTGCCAGGGTTGGATCTAGCCAAATCGTCCAAGTGTGCGTAGATCTCGTCGAGAGTGTGGTATTTGTTCAAGTCGAATCCAGCTAAAGGCTGAACCGGTGGCATTTCACTGTCGATCAGAGACTGAACATCCGGAACGTAGACGTCAAAGGGTATGTTGAATTGCTTCATCAAGTCTTTGAATTCCGGTTCCTTGTGGGGAGCGACCATCACATCAGCGTAGTTCAGAACTGTGCTTGGCTCTTTCCAGAAGGAATACTGTAAAATTCATTAACATTCTCAATTTTATACTAATTTCCATTGGAAAATATTTGAAGAAATTCTCTAAACGCTATATAATATTGCTACTTGTTAGAAATATGAATATTTATGATAACTAACCGAGTCAGACACTTCTTCCAGACCTCGCAGCATTTCCAGGTGCTCTTCATTCTGAGGTACAACACGGAACACCTTGTAGTTGTCGAACTTCACTTTCTCGGCTGTCGCCAGAGCGACTAAAACGACGAATAGTAACTTCCACATGGTGACTACCCTGAAAAATAATGAACAAAGTTTGAAGAATTAATCGAAGATATTAGAAGAAAATCTTTAGAAGCGATTAAAAAATTAAACGACGACAAATTGAAATCTAAATCACTATGAAGTCTAGGTACAATTAACACAGAACACTTGTGATCTTACCTTCAGCGGTCACTAAAGAAGTTTATGCCTCTCCTCTCTTTTTCATTGTATTTAAACAGTTCATCTGCACACGGCACCAACGATCAATCAATCAAACTAATCGTTATTCAAAAATCATATCGTTGATCAATTAACGATTAAGTATATTGGATCTACATCCATCTTATCAGATTTGTCTCGAGTGAACGTCTTTATCAGGGTGATCTTACGCCAGGCCACTCATTGTATCGTCGCAATTTCACAATCCACATACGACTTTTAATTCTATCACACTTCAGGTATATCCCGTGGATCATAATTAATACCAAAATCTATCATCTTCCTATGTTTACATTAGTGTCACTTTAATTTTCTTTTAGATTAATATTGAAGAATCGAATTCTATCGCGTGTACATTTTTCTTTATCTACATTCGATCATTCAAAATTATTTAAGCAACAATCATACGTGTCATTGTATGTAAAAGTGGAGTGGTACAATATTTATAAAAAAATTGCAGCTTCGTTGATTACGCAAATACTAGATAACAAGTGCGCGTTAATTATATGCTGTATCGGATACGATCATCTAATCATTGATCGTAATATTTTGGGACATTTATCTGAAATCGTTATAATGAACCGAGTAGAGTAAATTTATTTTATGAAAATAGAAGAAAGGGGCTCGATATTAAATAATACAACTGAATAAAAAATACATATGTTCTTTTTTAATTATTTTTATAAGTGATACATTATCTGCACGTACACCTAATCAGTAATTAAAGCTGAATAATCGTTTAATTGTTAATTGACACAATTGTAGCAGATATCAAAAACGCAAACTAACTATATTGATAACAGTGTCAGGTAATAAAAATTATTGTCGCGTCTTTACAGGGGATGATCCGTAGCCACGTTTTGCAGCTTCCTGAAACATTGCCACCAAAGAGTCCATAATCTCCATTGCAGTTGGTATAATTTGATTGGCAGGCAAAATGAAACCGTATCTTCCTTTGTCACGTAGCTCGTAAGTGTACGTTACAGGAATGTTGTAAGTTCCTCTTACCCAGTCCATTGAACCACCAGATGCAACATCTAGAAAAATTTTCATAAAAATTAACAGAAGGTAAACCTTTCATGAATTATTTTTAAAAGGATGTTAATTTTCCAGCTAATCTTCTAGAAGAAATTATATCATAATTTTATTTCAATGATAAAACATTTAATCTATTTCACATTACTGTACGTTCCTTTGCAATGCAAATTTTAACAAAACAAACTTCGGACCTATTTTGATAAATATTTACTATTTCTGTAATTTGCATTTGAAAAAATTTTTTTTTGCATTGTTTCTAACAATTACACACGGCCTGTCATAATTTCAATAAATTATTATAGATATATGTATTTCAATTACGTCATTTCGTCTATAACGTGTCAATTGAAAATTCACGTTTATCAATTAAAATTTTGTTGAATAATGCAATAGTCGTTTTTCCTGGTAGCATTTCCAATCGAATAGCAAATGCAGACCTTCGACTGTGGTCATTTCCTCATATACATACGATTAATTTACTCACATATAACGTCCACGATATTTCCAACTTTGTATTTCGTTCCGTATTTCTTTGACAGAACGTTTATAGAGTAGTTTCCAATTTGTAATAAATCATTGTAATTACTGATCCTCTCGTTCGAATGACCATAAGGAATAAGTAATAATTGGCTGTAACTGTGAAATGCTATGTAAGAGAATAATTTATCGTGGATGCTGTCAATGTATTCTGACATTGTTCTTGATTCTGTTTCAGAAAAGGGTTTGTCTCCAGGATATATCTCGCTGCATGGATTCGAACTGGTACCACCCTCTAAAACATAGGTAATAGTAGTAATATAAGAAAAATATTAATTCCTAATTAAGAAAATTTAAATTTAATTTATTTTCTCCTCTTTATACATCTTAGGGATGGCTCCATCCCTAAACAAGGTATCCTCCTTTAACTCCCCGTTTCATTTATTTATTTATTTATTTATTTATCTATTATTATTTAACCTTCGCGTTATTTTTGCAATTTTAACTGCAATTTAAATACCTGCCCAGTGGAAGTTCCAATTCCTATTTGGATCGGCACCATAGCACCCCCTTCCAGTCGGTCTTCTTGTTTTACGCCATAGACGGTTCTAAATATAAAAGAAAATGAATGATATTTCTCACTTTAATTTTATTTTTATCTATCATTCGTTCTGACCTCGTAATTATCACGTTTTACTGATACTAAACAAACTGACACGTTATTTTGATAAAAAGGAACCGTAATCGGTTCCTTCTTCACTAATTATAGCGAGCGAATGATAATAAACGAAGCGATTAAAAGCAGAAAGTCCCCGATTTAGTTGGTAAATAACAACATTATGTAAACAAATTAAACAACTTTGAAGATCAACCGCGAAACCTGGATTTATTATACAACTATCAATGATAACGATAAGCAGTAAAAGATTAACCATTGAATTAATTGAAATGAAAAAATCTCTGATTGCAGAGTACTGAAGTACTTCTGAACGAAAGAATCTCAGCAAATTGATTGAATTATTTAACAGAGAAAAAGAAGAATTTTCCAGGAATGCTTACGTTCGTGAAGTAATTTTATTTCAGTGGATATTATTAACACTTTACCTATGAACTTATTCTTACCGTAGTATGGGTGTATTCGTAGCCATCCGGATTAAAGACCGGAAAAATGTACCAGTCATAAGATTCGGCCATATATCTGACACGGGTATCATCGCTCAGTATCAGTTCGTTTAAAATATACGTCACTACAGCAGGTGATATCCATTCTCTAGCATGTATCCCACCTTCGATGAATATACCAGGATTTCCTTCTTTGTAAGATAGTTTCACACCTTTGATACTTCTACCTTCGTAACTACTGCCTCCTGTAATTAGCGTTACGATCTTAGGATGTTGGGTCGCCAAAGAATCCAACCATCGATAAATCTGAAATTGATGTATGATTAATAATTTTATTTCTTCTTCATATTTATTGATAATGGAAAATATTCGTTTCTTTACAACATCCAGTCGATGATAACCCAGCCAGTCAAAAGTACCCCTTAAACCAGCCCGAGGATTTTCATCATCAATATACTTTTGCACATCATCCATCATCAATTCTGCTTCAATCTTCGTTTTATTTGTAATTTCCATAAACTCCTGAAGTTTCCCCGGGGATATCATAACACTCGCACTGTCATTGATCTTTGGTGGAATCCAAAAGTTATAACCATCGTTCCCTTGCATATTTTTTAACAATTCAAGACCAGAAGTATCCGGTACGAAGATTTTGTATAATTTATATCCATCGTATCGCATTTTATCCGTGGCACGAATGCCGTTCAGAAGAATAGAAAGAAGAAGTAGAAGAGTGGTTTTCATCATTGAATATGCTTTCATTAATGCAGCAAATAGAAATAGAAAATTCTAATAATTTTTATGGAATTTAAATAATTTTCATACTAATCATTTTCTTCTTTGAAGATATTCAATTGTTCAATTTTGGATAACACAGTTTTATAATTTGCACAGTTTTCCAATTAGAAAAAAATTGAATTTAATAATGATTTTTCAAACACGAGCGATCGTTCCACGAAGCCGACGTTTTTCCACTGCGAAAGTTCCGCTTTCACGCGATCAGATCGAAGAGGAAAACCGTTCGGCACCGGTTTCCTTGTTCGTTTAAATCAACTTCGTGGCTTCGAGGTGCAACGCAGGTGTGCACGTCTATGGTGAATCCTCCCGTGTCTTTATATACCGTGGAAAGCCACCGTAGGAGGTAAAAATATCCTGGACGTGAGATAAGTGTAAACAAAAAAATATGGGCAAGCGCATTTGCATGCAGGATGGGCTATGAGAATTCTCGCGAGGTTGCAGACGAGTCGAGCTGTTGATGGTCGAAGACCTCGCAGGTACCGTTTGAAATTATCGATAAACCGAGGTTGTCGACATCCACGGAAAAAGAATATTCAATATTCGGACGATAATTGATTCTGCAATCATTTCCCTCATTTTCTTCAAACTTAATTAATTTAAAGGGTCGAGCATTTTATATAAAAGATCGTAATTGTTTTCTTAAAAACTGTACAGTGGATCCATTTTAAATTCTAAGAGTATTTTTATATACCAATTAATAAGAATAAAAATTATTTGATCAGAAAAATTCATTTTTCTTTAGTAGTTCTTATTAAATCTGCAAGTGCAACGACCCATAATCGAAGACTTCCGGTGCACAGGTCGATGAGTCGATGGGATAAGATAAGGTAATTCTTGTCTATTAATTGCGGTAGTGATGAAAAAGCGCAATGTACTTGTCAGATCTCTACTTATTTTGCATATTGTCAGTGTATTAAATAGGACAATGAACACCATTGAGCGTTGTCCTTCTGTTCCTCGGTCAGATGGTGGCATTATCGAGTAGACACGATTAAGCCAACGTGGAATGAATACTAATTTAGTAGTTGTGAGCTAGTAGACCTTTTTTTTGCAACTTACTCTGCTGTTTTCACTTATTTCTAAACCTGCTTATCAATGTTTTGATAACACTAAGTTTGCGTGTTTAGAATTGGTAAATCTTCCATGTTGAAGAATGATATACTTTCTAATAGTTTCTCATTTGTAATGTTATTCAAAACATCATTTCATTTATACTTTAATTCATTAGAAACACTTTAGCAGTGAAATTTTTAAAATAATTTTCTGCCACTTCTTCAAGTATTTATATACTCGTATGGTAATAAGTATTTTTACCATATCAGCTGAGAAACGTTTCACCTCTGAAGGTAACACTTTCCCAACAAGCTGCCTTACCATCAACGGATAAGGTAGATTTAATTCTTAATTGCAATAGTTATATATTTTTAAATATGTTATATTATATAATATAATATAAAAACACCAATAATGTTAAAAGTACAGAAGACTGTGATAAAAATAATTGCAAACTTTAATAATTAATACCTATTTATTAATACCTATGTATAATTAAAAATTTTATTTTTATGCATTATATTAGAATCTCGAAAAATTATCGCGTTTTTTATTTATAGAAAAGATGTCATTTATGGTTCGTATTTGTTTTTATCTTCCACGCACTTTCTCCGTAAATATCTTTTAAACTCTTTTTTGCCGAATTTTATTCCATTTAAGAATTATCGCCTGGAATCCCAGATAGATTAACAACTGAACAGTTTCTTCTTTTTATTCAGATATCTTTATTAGAATTTGCAGAACTTTGTACTGCACGTAAGCACCAGTGTGCTCGAATCAATTTAAAATATTCCATCATTGTAGAAATTGTTTCATGTTACGTTTGCAATTGATCCTTGGATCGAGTCCTTGCTGTACCATTCACTAATGATAGAATGCTTGTTAGATCCAAGATTAGTATCGACGATCGTTACATGTACACCTGACAAAAGAAGAAAAAATTGAGAAACTATAGTCGCACTTTAGATTGAAATATGCAAATTATTGTTATCTTAATCAGCCGTCGTCATAAATCCCAAGAATTAGCAGTCGTCAAAGTGTTGAAGGAAAAACTTCAACATTATTGATTTAACAAAGTTCTGAATGGACTCTGACGCATTATATAGCGGTCGTAAATAAAATAGATAAGCACTATGAAGATTGAAAGGTGTAATTTTTCCGGCAACCTAGACTTCCGGTAGATAAAGTAATAGCATGGAATTACAATTGAAATTGCAACCATTGTTACTTCAATTTTGCAGTTATTGTTTTTTAATAAACGTATCAACGTAATTTCCGATAGATAAAGTGATAGCATGGAGTTACAATTGAAATTGAAATCATTGTTACTTCAATTTTGCAATTATTATTTTTTAATAAACGTATCGACTTAATGCCTGTGCCGTTGGAATATAGAATGTCGTTAGTTCCGGTCTCTACATTATCAGTAGCAAGAAATCGTAAAGGTAAAAGGTAACTGGTAACAGATTGAAAGAAACTACAAATATGTATATCAGGCAAGCGGTAATTTATTTCACAAGTGATTGTAAGGTTGCAATTGCTAAACAAAGAACGTTGATTGCGGTATGTAAATGATTACTCAAGAGAGAAATAATTAAAACATTTTTAATTTTATGTGTACAACAAATTCTAATACCCAGAATTTTAAACATATTTCACACGGGCAAAATACATCAGTATGCCAATTTAGTGATTCAGTAAACGTGTGTTATTTGCGCGATTTTAAATTACAATGACGTAATTGAAGACGCCATTTACGCAGGCATGTAATTGTAATAGGGGCAGCGGTCATTTGTATTTGCAATATCGCTACTCATAGCTTCTTGAAAATCTTATTATCCAGCTATAATGAAAATAGAATTGTATGTAATTAAATAAAGACAAAGGCATCGTTAGCTTCATTGACATTTAAATTTAAGAAAATTCCTAATAGTCTAGACTCTAGACTTACACTTTACACTAGTTTCGCTTATGCGATATGCAGATGCATTTGAATCAAGAGGCTGGCGAGTATTTGATACAGTAAGTGGGACCTAACCTCTCTAATAAATTATTTAAAAAAAAAATCATCAATTTCTTTAATCTAATTTCTTAACGATACCTTTATAAAAACTTTATGAAATTTCACAAAAATGATTGCGAAATTATGTCGCGACAAAGTTGGCGAACTCGATCGCATATTAAGATAATTTGATATAGGATTTACTGAAATATTGTGTCATATAATATTTTTGTAATTAGAACAAGGTTTTCATTTTTCTTTTATTTACAGACTTCTGTTTTATTTATATAATTCAGTATAATAAACGTATTAGCAAGGTTACGATTATCGACCACGTTGATAAGTAGATAGTTCAAGTTATGCGCATCCGTGCTGCGCAGCACGCTGCTATACTGCTCAAAACAATTGAGTAATCACATTTCAAAACAGACTTATTCGAAATACATATCACAGATAAAATATATATTGCGTGCTTAATACGATAATATTTTTAAACGTCGAACGAAATATACAGTTTGCGTAGGACAAAGAAAAAAAAGATTGAAAATTATCAAACTTATCGGACGTTTATATCGCTTAACCAATTACCAAGCGTAATTATACTACGGGTCGTGGTTAATCGTTCAAATCGTACTAAACTTTTCTTTTTTTCAGCGTGTTTTCGCACGCGTGATTCAGATTTTAATTTACAAACAAATAGGGGAATATCATCATGATTTGTAGTAAGTACGTCCCTGGTAGGTTCCTTTCCTCCCGACGCTAACGACACCAACGTTGTTCTGCGCTTTCGTCAACTTGTTATTCAGTCGCGGTTTATCAGCTGAACCGTAACGTGAGAAAACAGAACGGAGGTGCACTGTTTTGAAAGTAATTTTTTCGTGCCTCCTCCGTTCATCTTGGATCTCGGCGTGTTCCGTCCTTACCCTCTGACAACGTAACCCATTTCAAATTAAATAATAAACGAAGATATACTCGGTGCTATAGTATCGTGGCTTCGTATCGAGCCCGCTGTTTTATCGATTGACCGACCACTGCTCGAGGGTCTCTTCAAGGGATTGTAGGATTGTAAAGGGTTAAAGCAAAACTTGACAAACTGATACTGCAAAGATGGCGGACGAAATATACTACCCCCATCCAGAGATTGCGAAAAACGCTTACTGCAACAGCATGGAACAATACAGAAAAATGCACGAAAAGTGAGTGATTCTGTTTGAATGAAAAAAAGTGTATGGCTTAGTCGATAACCGATGAATGACAGTGTAGTTTCGATTTTAGAGATGTCATTTTTTTACACCCTTTTTCTGTCAACTTTTTTAACTCTTTTTTATCTCTATTGTATGATCACTTATAATATATCAGGTTTAGCCATCTGTTAACATAGATATTTTAGTCGAAAGCTAGGTTTGACACGAACAGAATTTACAATTGTAATACTAGGAAAAATCTTTTTCGAAATCATCGAGCTTACTCGAAGGGGCTGACCTTTCGTTTGTGTTGTAAATGACAGATGACTTCTTTCACAAAGTGTGAAATACTAGGGAAATTATTAATGAATCATCGAGAGGGTGAATGGAAATGATTGATGACATTAATCGCAGGTGAAGTGACAAGCGTGTTCCGTATGCGGATGATAGAAACAATCTATCGAGGTGAATTTTAAATACAATTCGCGCCATTGCGTGTTTTACGGTCTCATATTTTTAATGACTTCTAAAATGACTATTCAAATGGGATTTTAAATATTTTTTAACGATTTCTGATATATTGTTTAGGTCATTTAAATTTGAATAATGACAGTCAAGATAACTTATTGTTAAAACCATTAAAGATTAATTAGAGATTTAAAGATTATGTATCATTTCAGCGTGAAAATATGGAAGTTTTGAATGAAAGCGATTTACGGAAACGATACTTTGGAACATCTATTATTTATTTGATAAGGAAGAGAACCTAAGCTCTATATGTATATCGTAGATATATTATACTATGGAAATAGAACGATGATATCGATTTCCCTAAGAGTGTGTTGTAGAAAACAATTACTATTTTCAGGACCTAAACTAGTATCTACAATGATTTAAAAAAGGTTTTTCAATGAACAATTGTATTAATAACCAGATGATCTAATATTTGTCTCGACAAATTAAATTAAAAATATTTGACTGCATTCTTGTTTAGGAAATATGTCGAGAAGAATGTAAATGAAACGTGTCACAGTGCACATTTATTTATAACTTAATAATGAATATCATTGCAGTATAATTCGTTGTTCAATTTTCAATTGTATTTATTATCTTTCCTGTACTACAATCGTATAGATATTAACAATTATCTTACCAATTTGCTCAGAAGGTGATTAACTTATCGTGAAAAAAAACTATAAGGAAACTGTGGGGACATTACACTTATATTATAATAATTATGCATAATTATACGTATAATTAGATATGTTACATGTATGTAGTACAATGAACAAAAATTATCAGTATTATAAAAAGAAATACTGATACCAATACTAATACCAATATTAACATCGATAAATCATAAAAGAAAAATTGTCATTAAGAATTAATTATTTATGATTGTTTCGCAGGTCAGTGAAGAATCCAGCGGAATTCTGGGGTGAAATTGCGAAGCAATTTTACTGGGAAACTCCAACTTCGGAGGATAAGTTTTATTCTTATAACTTCGACCTTAGCAAGGGTGATGTTTTCATAAAATGGATGGAGGGTGCGTCGACGAACATAAGCTTCAATTTGCTCGACAAAAATGTGAAGAGTGGAAACGGCGACAAGATTGCATTCTATTGGTGAGAACTACTTTTGTTCTAAAAACTTTATCTACCGGAAGTATATTAATAGGCTTTTCGACACTATCGTTTGTTGAAACAACAATTAATAATCTTTCGAGCATTACAAATTCACCTACATTCTAGATGACGTAATAAACGTTAAGTGATTGTATTTATCTATCGTTTATGACCGGTTGATAATTTGTGGAAAAATCTTGGGGAAATTGCAATCGTTATGCAATCAAAATACTTTCAATTGACGCAAATAGTTGGTAGAAAAAATAGGAACATCTAAACATTTTATATGATAACCCAGTTCGAGAGAAGAATATTTAGTATTTTCAGATGAAGATGATAAGCTAAAATCAGTTTCAAGCACTTCTTAGCGTTAAATCAATATTTTTATTCATAAAGCGAAATGGTCCATGTTTTGAAGAAATAAAACAGTCCGTAGAATTGATTTGAGTGGCACTGCGTTCAGTGGCTCATTATTATGTAAAATACATCACACGTTTATAGACGCAAGTCATTCAAGTATCATATAAGTGATACAGTTTTGACTCTGCTTTCATTATAGTATTACACACCGTATTTGGCCGCTATTTGGAAAGTTTGCAAGTGAAATTGTCGACTGAAAGATTTCGTTTATCGTCGGCTTAGACGTAGATCGAAAATTGTAACATGAAAATTTATACGATCGATCTGGCTGACCTCTCTGATTACCTTTTTGTATAATTTCTTCCATGATAAACGAACCTGTTTCAATGCTTAAACCATAAGAGGTATATTCGAATATGATTAGGATTTTGATTATTGCCATCAAAGTTTCACGATCGTAATTCAAATTCAATTAGATGCGATTATATTCCACTGATTGTAGTCGCCTTCAGATAGTAAAAGTGTTAAAATATTTGTCAATATCGATCAGTTTTACACTCGGTTAGTTTCATTAAATTCTATACATCATTCTTGTTAAGAGTACAAAAGCAACGGTAAAAATCTCATGGAGAAATGTTAATGCGACGCGATCAATGAGACGGACACGCGCTCTCTACATTCCGATCGTTCAGTCGTATCGTACGATATTCTCTGATTCGTCTAAAATTTGGCGTAGTGTCAGCAATCGCGTTTCAATTGGCTGAGTGCACGTGGTACGATCGCGTTAACTCGACCATTACTTGAAATCTCGTCTAGCATGTAAAAATCAAAGTACACGCACGGACACTGTTTACCGGGGTCGCTTACATAATACAAAAATCAATACAAAAAGGAGAAAAAAAAGTAAAATACTAGACATTCTAACAACGAATCTCTTTACTAAAATTATAACAATAAGAAGTACTCGAAATGCATTAATTTTAGATGCGAATTAGGATCAGAATTAGTTCACCGATACTTATTTCCTAGCTTTTTATCGGTCAGTTTTATAAATAAGCCGCATTATCAACTTTACATAACTTGGCATCGCGAGTGGCTTACCATTATACGTATGCTAGTTGGATAATACGAATTCGTTAATAACATTTTTCATTTTCATGTGTAATGGATTATCTCCTATCGCTAAACCCATCGATCGATACGATGATGTAGACTATAAAAGTAGGGCAACGGACAAATCCGACGAGTGATGTTTCCTAAACAATAAATAGATTATCGAATCGAAAATGATCGAAAAATATAGATGATATGTAACTAATGGAATTTATTGTTTCAGGGAGGGCAACGATCCGGACGATTACTCGCGATTGACTTACAGGAAGTTACTCGAGGAAGTATGCAGATTCGCGAACGTTTTGAAATCGAAAGGAGTGACGAAAGGAGACCGCGTGGCGATTTACATGCCAATGATTTTGGAACTACCCATTGCCATGCTGGCGTGTACCAGAATCGGTGCCGTCCATAGTGTAGTGGTAAATTAATTTTTTTCCATTAAATCATCAAAAGGAGACGAATTCCCTGTTTCTATTCGGAATGCTTATTAACATCGTGGTATTATTCAGTTTGCGGGATACTCGTCAGATTCTTTGGCAGAGCGTATATTAGACTCGAAGGCGAAAGTGCTTATCACGACCGATGGCGTATGGAGAGGTGAAAAACTTTTGCTACTAAAAGCTATCTGCGACGAGGCTTTGAACAAGGTGAAAAAACATGGCCACGAAGTGGAGTATTGCGTAGTGGTGGCTCATCTAAGGAGATTAACCAGTCCGCAAGGTGTTAAAGCAGACGCGACAGGTAAATCTTCGTTAATTAAATGAAACGATATAGAATAAGTAATTCGGTGAATTGCGTAAAGGAAAGACAAACGGAGTGAACGGTAACAGCGATGGAAATGGCGTGGACACTCCTCGTATTCCATGGGACGACGACCGTGATGTTTGGTGGCACGACGAGATGGAAGAAGCCGAAGACAGGTGTTACCCGGTCTGGATGGCCGCCGAGGATCCAGTATTCATTTTGTACACCAGGTAGATTCTAATAAAAAGTCTTCATTGGAATATTCCTCGATTTATAAGAATTATTTCCTTAAACTTGGTGTTTCTTTTTAAAAAGTGGTTCTACAGGAAAACCGAAAGGTGTCCTTCACACCACGGCCGGTTATTTAATTTATGCAGCGACTACGTTTAAGTATGTCTTTGATTATCATCCTGGCGACGTATATTGGTGCACAGCAGACGTTGGCTGGATCACTGGTCACACTTATGTTGTCTATGGTCCATTAGCGAATGGAGCTACATCGGTTCTTGTAAGTTCCTGTAAATTTTCATGGGTTTTATTTAATAAATAACAAGTATCAGTGGTACAATGTTGATTTATTTTTATTTCACAGTTTGAAGGTACACCGTTTTATCCGAGCAACGACCGATATTGGGTGGTCGTTGATAAATACAAAGTTTCTCAATTCTATACTGCACCAACCGCGATTAGATCGTTGATGAAGTTCGGAGATGAATTAGTAAAGAAACACGATTTGTCTACCTTGAAGGTAAATGAAATTTAAATGAAACTAATATTCATTTAATGGTGAATATTAAGTACAAGAATCCCGTTACCTTCTCTTTTCCCGAATTCGTGTGCCGTAACAGGATTCTCGTAGTTAATATTCACAATTAAATGAATATTTAATGAGCAAGAATGCCAGGTACGAGATTTCTCGTAGTCGGTAGTTAACGTGTTAAAGAATGAATGTGTTGTTATAGGTGTTAGGTTCAGTTGGAGAGCCGATCAATTCCGAAGCTTGGCTCTGGTTCTACAATCTTGTTGGCCACGGAAAATGCAGCATATCGGACACATTCTGGCAAACGGAAACCGGTGGTCACGTGATCACACCCCTGCCTGGTGCTACGCCAATGAAACCAGGCTCTGCAGTAAGTAACAATCTTCCTCGTCTTATAAACTTCCAAGAATTATTCGGTTAAATCATTCCTATTTTGCCAGACGTTCCCATTCTTTGGCGTTTTACCAGAATTGTTAGACGAGGATGGAAGATTGATCGAGGGCGAAGGAGAAGGATTCCTCGTTTTCCGTCAACCTTGGCCAGGAATGATGAGAACACTTTATGGAAACCATCAACGCTTCCAGAATACATACTTCGATAGATTTCATGGATTCTATTGTACCGGTGATGGTAAGTTAAATCATTTGGCCAAAGGATTTCTGAAATTTTGACCAGCGTATTTCGCATCTTTTCCAAGTTCTTCCTCGATTCTTAGCAGTTGATTGTACTTAGCGATTCTTTCGCTTCTACAGGGAGCTCCAGATTTGAATTGACCAGCGGATAAACCTACAGCTAAATCAGCTACGAAATTGTCCTCCGTTTCACCCTGACAGGCCGACACCACGTATCCCCAGTTACTGATTCGCGCCAATCTTGCACAGTTAATCGTCTCTGTCACGGTCCCAATTTGTAACATTCTCAGGACGATAGCATTGGCCGAACTCCTCTCGATCGCTTCCTCGATTCTGTCGATGTTCATCGCTGTCAGATCATCAGAGACAATTTGGACTTCTTCTTGATCGGCCATCGAGAGCCATCCCTCCCAGTCATCTTGATCGAATGGATCTTCAATGGATACGATGTTTGGATACTCCGATATATATTCCAAATACTGATCCCGGAGCGCTTCTGCTTCCATATAATCGTCAGGATCGGATTCTTCTGTTTTAAACTGCAAATCGTATCCTCCTAAATAGAGAAAGGCAAAATTATTGAAACTAGTAATTAGTTTCTAAATTACGATCCGTCGAAGTATGCGAACCTTCTTTGTAAAAGGCACTGGCTGCCATGTCTAGTGCTATCTTAATTCTTCCATCGTATCCTGCTTCTCTGATGGATTCGTCCAACAACAACAAAGCTTCTTTATCTTCTTCTAGCTCCAAAGGGGTAAATGCACCATCGTCGCTAACTGGAAGAGGTAACTGTATCTCCTGGGCAGTTGCAATTTTTCTTTCAAGCACTCTGTACACCTCTGTGCCCATCTTCATCGCGTCTGCGAAACTTTCCGCTCCTGATACGATTATAATCAGATATGTGGATAAATGTATCAATTAAAACGATATGTAAACATACCTATAGGTAGGATCAAAAACTCTTGGCACGGTATAACGTTGTTAGCGTGTCTACCTCCGCTGATCATATTGAAACAAGGGACAGGAAGGTAAAGTTCGGAATTTTCAGCCATCTCAGCAATGTATCTGATAGAAAAACGACGCGTTTGATGATCGTTATTGCATTTAACTGATATTTTGTAGATACCTGTAAACTGGAAGCCCTTTCTTGGCAGCGCCAGCCTTGCAGCAAGCGATGGAAACACCGAGGATCGCATTCGCTCCTAATTTTGATTTATTCTCGGTACCGTCTAGCCGATTTAGCAAACTGTCTATCTCCGTTTGCTGGCAGGCCTCCAGCCTAGATTTCAAAAGTTGCGGTGCAATGATATTGTTAACTACGTCAACGGCTCTGAACACGGATTTCCCATGATACATGGCTTCGTTTCCATCCCTTAATTCCTGAGCCTGATTAGCGCTGGGCGATACAACCGCTGGTACACATGCCCTCAACAGACCAACGTCTGTGATTATGTCCACTTCTAAAGTTGGATCACCTCTGGAGTCAAAAATTTGGCGAGCTTTAACCTTCTGAATGGGCATCTTGTTTCCTTATTTATATCTTCTTGTTTCTGAATAATATTTCTTGTAATTTTTTGGGGATATGGTATACTTATCGGGAAACTAGTGTATCTATTGTGGTTGTATAAGATGCATGATTTTTTGTGTTATTGAGAATTTTGGAGTTGAAAATGTTTCTGGATGATGAATCATGGTTATAGACATTTTCAACTGGAAACAGTTGAATTTCAACAGAAACTCATTTCTTTTTTTAATCTGGGAAAATTAAATTTCTATGCAACCAATCTTATATAAACAAGTGTTTCTTATTTATAACAAACGTGTGTAATTTTTAGGTGCCAGGCGTGATGCAGATGGATATTTATGGATCACCGGACGTATTGATGATATGTTGAATGTTTCTGGTCACCTAATGTCTACCGCTGAAGTTGAAAGTGTTTTGACTGAACATTCCTTAGTAGCTGAAGCAGCTGTAGTCAGTAAGCCACATCCTGTGAAAGGACAATGTCTATATTGTTTCGTCACACCCAACGAAGGAGCGTCATTTGACAAGAAGCTTCAGGACGAGTTGAAAAAAAGAGGTAAAGTATTATTATATAAAATAACATTTATATTTACTCCAAGTAACTCTTCGTTTCTTTTATTAATTTTAATGTATTTCTCTGTAATAGTACGTGAAAGAATCGGTCCTTTCGCTCAACCGGACATCGTCCAACATGCACCAGGATTACCAAAGACACGATCAGGGAAAATCATGAGACGTATACTCAGGAAGATCGCAGCAGGTGATAGAAATGTCGGAGACGTGTCGACGTTAGCCGACGAGAGCATCGTGGATCTTCTATTCCAATTAAGGCCGCAAGTTTAAAGAAGCATCGTCGATATAGCCATTATCAAATAAAACGTAGTTAGCTTAGAAATGAAAACGAAAGGAATGGCACACTTCCGGTGATCGATGAATAAGCGAAACTACAGAATTGTAGTTATTAACAAGAATAATGCTAATTACTGTTAAAACATTGAGGAAAGAACTACCGAGGTTGAGAATAATTAGTAGAATAATCGAGCTCTGAAGTAGTGTCCTATAAAAGAAACTTCCGTTTTATACGTTAGCATTGTTACCTCTTTTCTTAATAGCTTTTATTTATAACACTATTTATCAATTATTTTCCTAGATAATTATGACGCGGTAATAGTCATTGCTTTTAGTCGGACACAATTTCAATGCATTTTAATTTCATTGATTGATACTTGTTCAAATCAGAGACTTATTTAAACGATAATTATCATTTTAATTTGTACGTATAGAGATGAAAAAAAACGAAATAAGCAATGTGAATTATATAAGAAAGCTGAAGTGAACCTAAATCTATTTGTGATTTTTCAAAAAACGATTACTTCTATTAATCGTTGCACAGCGATCATCATCTTAGCAATATTTTGTGAACATAAAGTAATACCGAAATCGTATGATACACAGCCATTGTTCGACATTGTTGACAAAAAGAAAACTTTTATAAGGTGTGCGTCTATGATGTACACGTGTCTATGATAGAATGAAAGTATCTCAAAAACTTTTTGAAAGTTTACAAAACCATTTAATATAATTATATTTTCGATGATGAAATGTTATGTTGCGATAACATAATTTTAGGAAAGTGTCACAGTACAAGAAATTAATTTGGTTCCGTTTCGAACACGTAGCCAAGTTATAAATCATTTATAGATCTCGCGAAATTGTTTTTATTATCGTTTAAGTTCTGTAACGACTTCCTATAACGAAAGCGCTCGTAACAGGTTCTAATTAGTTCATCTGTAAGACGTTCGTTCGATTGATATCGTTGATTATCAAAGTTCGAACGCGTTTATAAAAATGTAAATTGTAAAAAATAATGACAGAAAAACATTGTCTATAGAATAAGAATTTTTGTTGTTGTTAAATCTCGATTACCCTTAAGTGTACCGTTAAGAATAGGTATCAAGAAAATGATAGAATTATTTAATTTGGATGTAATATTTTTGTTACAATGATTTTATTGTTCTATAACGAAGAACAAAAGACCTAATTATACGCACGATCATTAAACGCACTGTACAAGGAAGTCGACATTTTCCATAAGTTTTTTAGAAGGCTGGTTTTACAATGTAAATGTTATACTATATGTAAGCTGAGCCAAATGAAATGTTGCCTCGTGTCCCTTATTTGGGACGAAACATACATATCATTCCTCGCGGAACAAATCAACTATAGGTGTGATAATAATATATACATATATTTAAAAAATCTCTATATATGTATATTACATGAAATAATGCAAAAGCATCTATATGTAAATATATCTATGTTGAAGGACAAATAAAAATGGTCTGTTAAGTAAAATCACATAGTGGTACATTTCTTTTCTTCATAGAATTAGCTATCTTTACATCCCCGCAACCCTTATATCCCTAAACTCCTTACATGTAAAGGATGCTGGAATGTAAGGGGTGCAGAGATGTAAAGGAATCAGGGATGTAAAGGATGCACACAGGAGTAATAACACGTTCTTCCTCTTAATGAGTTTATTCAATAAACTAAGAAGATAAATACAGTAAATTAAATGAACGCAAAAAATAAAATAAGGATATATGTACGTTTAGCAGGTAGATCTACATCCCTCGGCGGTACCTACATGAAGCGAGCCGGATGGGATAATAAAATATGATTATTTTTAATTTTTCTTAGTGTATTTCGTTTGTAAATCGTTTGTGATTGATTGTGAGTCTATTTTTAATGTTAGTGACAAATTACTTCTTTTGTAATTAGCAATTTTATATCAATCATGATGTGAACCAAAACTTTTTAGTAATTTCTTATAATAAACAGATTTTGTGATAACTGATAACTTTAATTGATTGGAAATCGTTTGTGATTTACAAATATATCATTTTCATTGATTGTGAGTGAATAATTTCTTAATTATTTACAAGTTTGTTTTATAATAAACAATTGTAGTATCATGTGCTACAAATCCGGTCGTACCCATCACTACCTCGAACAAGTGAGTTTCGAGATTTGTTCGTTTTTAGGTCTTATATTTCGCTAGAATCGGTCGTACCCATCACTATCCCGAACAAGTGAGTTTCAGGATTTGTTCGTTTTTAGGTCTTATATTTCGCTAGAATCGGTCGTACCCATCACTATCCCGAACAAGTGAGTTTCACGATTTGTTCGTTTTTAAGTCTTATATTTCGCTATTTGCTCCGGGGTCCCTGACACCCCGGCGGCACAATATCAGTATGTAGCGTCACCTGTCTCGGGGTCTCAGATACCCCGAATGCCGCAGTGTCGGTAAGCAAAGAGTGTCATCGGTGCTTCGGTGTCCCTGACACCCCAGATGCCAAAATGTGGGTATGCAAACAGTTTCACCAGTAGTAAGGGGTTCCTGACACCCCAAGATGATATCGCAGAGATAGTCGCTGGTGCATCGGGGTCTCTGGCACCCAGGTGGCAAAATATCGGTATGCAGCGTCCCCTGTGCCTCGGGGTCCCAGATACCCCGAATGCCGTAGTGTCGGTAAGCAAAGAGTGTCATCGGTGCTTCGGGGTCCCTGACACCCCAGATGCGAAAATGTGAGTATGCAAACTGTCTCATCAGTAGTTAGGGGTTCCTGACACCCCAAGATGATATCGTAGAGATAGTCAATGGTGCATCGGGGTTCCTGGCACCCCGGATGCTATATTATTGGTATGCAAAGATAGTCACCAGCGTTTCGGGGTCCTTAATACCACAATATGATATCAGGTCGGTACGCAGAGGACATCATTGGCGCAGCGGGTTCCCTAACACCCCTGGATAATATCAGGTCTGTATGAAGAAGGCACAATCAGTATAATTTTCTTCCAGATTTTATTTAATTTATTTAATTTATTTTTTTTTGAGAAGGGGAATAACATTTATGATTATATCCCTCTTCTGGGTCTCAGCCGAGGACCCCACTTATTTTACTTTTTCCAGTTATTTATATAATTTTATCCCTCATTATAGACCAAGGCCACCTCAGTATCCCTTACATCTCTGCATTCCTTCCATTCCAGCATTCCTTACATTCCCGCAAGCCTTAAATACCCTTTTTTTTTTTTTTTTTTTAACATGGTGGAAATCTTCAGAAAGACACCTTCAGCCCCCCTGGGGAGGGGCCGGAGGTAGTGTGGGATTTTTACCCACTAAAACCACCACGGTGACCGGCACTAGGGCGGTACGGAGGGTCCTTTGACCCTCCGCCGACATCGGGGGCCACACCCGATGCCGGCACTCCTCGGGCCGCGTACAGTGGAGACCGGGGTCCCAGCCCCGGACCCTTACGTTATTCCTTTACATCCCTCGTTCCGTCACATCTCTGCATCCCTTACATCCGTGCATTCATTTCATCCCTACATTCTTTTCATCTCGACATTCCTTTCATTCCTACATACTTTACATCTCTTCATCCCTTAAATTCCTACATTCTTATCATCCCTACACTCTTTTCATCCGTACACTCTTTTCATCCGTACATTGTTTTCATCCCTACATTCCTTACATCGTTTCATCACTTCCATCCCTACATTCTTTTCATCCCTACATTCCTTGCATCCCTTATAATAAATATATAATAAAGACTGCTTCGAGAATTTCGTGAAAATTTCGAAAAGGCAGCGCCCCCTAGCGGCAAAAATGCGAACTAAAATTTCGATGTCGAATCAGCGCCCTCTGGTGGCGAAAAAAGGAACTAAACCTTGCTCCATTTCTGGTCCTCTGGCGGCAAAAATGTGAACTAAAATTTCGACGTCGAATCAGCGCCCCCTGGTGGCGAAAAAATGAACTAAATCTTGCTACATTTCTGGCCCTCTGACGGCAAAAATGTGAACTAAAATTTGGACGTCGAATCAGCGCCCTCTGGTGGCGAAAGAAGGAACTAAAGCTTGCTACATTTCTGGCCCTCTGGCGGCAAAAATGTGAACTAAAATTTCGACGTCGAATCAGCGCCCTCTGGTGGCGAAAAAAGGAACTAAATCTTGCTACATTTCGGGCCCTCTAGCGACAAAAATGCGAACTAAAATCTCTATGTCGAATCAGCGCCCTCTGGTGGCGAAAAGGGGAACTAAAAGGAACTCGATTTCAGATAGGTACTCGGATGTATGGAATTCAGGAATATAAGTGATACAAGGATGTAAAGGATACAGGCATGTAATGGATGCAGGGATGTAAGGGATGTTGGGATATAAAGAAGGCAGGAATGTGAGGAATGCCGAGATGTAAGGAATGTAGAGAAGTGAGGAATGCAGGGATGTAAGGGAAGCAGAGTTGTAAGGGATGCAGCGATGTAAGGGATGAAAAGGATGCAGGGTTGTAAAGGATGAAGAGATGTAAGGAATGTCGGGATGTAAGGGATAAAGAGATGTAAGGAATGTAGAGATGTGAACAATGCAGGGATGTAAGGGAAGCAGAGATGTAAGGGATGAAAAGGATGCAGGGATGTAAGGGATGAAGAAATGTAAGGAATGTCGGGATGTAAGGGATAAAGAGAAGTAAGGAATGTAGGGATATAAGGGATGAAGCGATGTAAAGAATGTAGGGATGAAAAGAATGCAGAGATGTTTTGCGCATGCGCACTACAATTATTTATTATAAAACAATCTTGTAGATAATTAAGAAATTATTCACTCACAAACAATGAAAATGATATATTTGTAAAATACAAACGATTTCCAACCAATTACAGTTATCAGTTATCGCAAAATCTGTTTATTATAAAAAATTACTAAAAAGTTTCGGCTCACATCATGACTGAAATAAAATTGCTAATTACAAAAGAAGTAGTTTGTCACAAACGTTAAAAATAGGCTCACAGTCAATCACAAACGAAATACACTAAGAAAAATTAAAAATAATCACATTTTATTATTCCTTCTATCTAGCTTCATGTAGATCTCGGCGGTCGCTAGAAGACTGCCTAACTGCACGTGAGATGTCTGGGACCCCAAAAATCCTGTTCCCTCGAGAACAAAGGCGTGTTCAGTTCTTATGTATCTGTAGTCACTGCAGCGATAATGCGAATGAGAATTTCTGCAAAGTGGGTCGCTACTGTCGCTTTCGTTCACGGGTGTCGGTGACGGAGGAACCACTTTTAAAAACCAGCTGACGAGATGTTACGTCAGTTAGACCATAGCCGTTGCCATTGGACACACGACGTGATTACTATCGTCGGTTATGACAGAATTCTAAACTCGTGTTGTTTCGCTCTAAATTTCAAACGTTTTGATAAAACATGTCCAATATCAACGAATACTACTTGGCGGTCCTTCGACTGGTGAAGGAAGCTGGCTCGGTAAGTGACGTTTTCATTGACGAAAACGAGCGGGCAACTTGTTTTTAGCATAAGGTTATTCTTGGCCGATAGCGGGCTACGTTTATCGATTTTATACGAAGCCTCAGATTTCAATCGAGTTCTCGCTTAACTTGCATATTGTTTTGACTATGTTCCCGCTATCATGAACGTTCGTGTAGCGTAAAACGCGGTGTCATTCGATGTACAGTAATGAATTTTAATAATTGTTTTCAGATACTTTCGACGTGATATCAGTTCCGATATAAAATTGATCGATATTATGTATTAACATAGTGATATTATTGTATTCTATTGCATCATACGTATTTTTTACAAGCATTCATTATTCTACATTAATAGTTAATTAATCTAATTCATAGAAGTGAGCGTGCACTTGTTTGGCTTTTTAGAAGCGCATTTATCAAGTTGACTGAATGGTACATACCTCACTGTTATGTTAGAAGGATTCAATATAACTACTATATACGTTTATAACCTATAATTTTGAATACTTGTACATTTGTATTTATGTAGAATAATAAAATAAATTCCAACGTTTCTTATTTTGTTTATCTTTCAAACAAAATAACGGCAGGGACGAATCCGGAAGTCTTGCTTACAATGTTAGAGGAAGCTATATATATGAAAGTATATTTTTAAGTCGTTTTCTGCACGATTTAAAACTTGTTTACGATTTGTTTCTTAACACTGTGATTTTATAGGCAAAAATTCAAGATGTTTAAGATTTCGTAACTCTCGGAATGAGACTTCATTTATCCTCCTCCGGATCCGCCATTGACTGATCTTAAATCTTTAACGAAAAATTAGACTATTAGTCATTATTCAAATACGATGGGATAAACATAGAAAATTTATTATGTTTTTTAATCGCAAACGGGTGAAATTAAACAACTACGAAATTTATAGATCGTAAGGGAAAAAATTAACCAGCCTAAAGATGCGATGATAAAATCCTGCGAGGTCGATCTCGTCACGGAATGGGATCAAAAAGTCGAGAAACTATTAATCGAAGGAATATCTTCCAAATTTCCGGATCACAAGTATGTTAAATAAATTATAATTAATATTCCATCGTTTAATATTAACAATTTCATTCATGCTTCATTAATAAAATTAAAAATTTTTAGTATCGTAAGTAACAGGACGTTTCGAGTGATTTAAAACGCGCCAAAAATCATTTTTAAATTAACAAAATATGCGATATGAAAAGTATTATTTTTACATAGCGTCTGATTTTCAAACGTTGCTTGAACGTATCGTTCATTGAAGAGGCAGCCGGCTCCAACTGAAGAACTTTTAAATTATATTTTTCTCATTATTAGTTACTTCCCTTGCTCTACTAAGGGTAATGAATTCAATGGAACACCATTTGACCTTGTCAAATCGAATATTCGAGGCATTTTATTCTCTTTAAGCTCATTATATGTGTTTGGAACAAACTCCAATGGCGGATGGAATTTTCCATTCGTGGAACTTACCCGAAGCTGCTGAAATTCATACCTGAAAGAATTTAGTGGGATCTTAGAATAAATATTTGTCACCCAAGAAGTCGAACTCTTCCATGTATAAATGATACTCTTTCTCTTCGTGTAATTTCTTTCTTATCATTTTATATGATCTGTTCTCTAGTAAATTAAAAGTAAAGAATCATTTATGCAAAAATACATATCATAAATTTGAAGGTTTTACGAATGAAAAAGATGTAGTTTTTAACGATGATAAAATATATTATTTCAGATTTATTGGTGAAGAAGAGTCCGCGCTTGGGAATAAAATTGAGCTAACAGACGCACCGACATGGATCATCGATCCCATCGATGGCACAATGAACTTTGTGCACGGTCTACCGCATACGTGTATATCAATCGCATTGTTGATTAACAAGACCCCCGAAATTGGAATTGTTTATAATCCAATCCTAGAACAGCTCTTTACCGCCTGTAGAGGTCAGGGTGCGTTTCTGAATGGAGCTCCTATTCAAGTCTCGGGGGAGAAAGGTGATTAAAATAATTAATTGGGTGATTAAGATAGACTGAAAAATTTACTCTTTATAATTGGCTTCTGAGCTTGACTCTTCTAGACGATTAATATTATATAATTGATGGGGTAATATTAGATGAAGGACATTTTAGATATGCAAATATATACATAGGTACTTAAAGATATGTATGTATCTATATAGAAATAATTTAGATAAGCGATGGTTTGTATCCTTTAGTTGTTTGCCTCGTTAATTAAATGATATTTCTTATAGAATTGCGGAAAGCTCTTGTAATGATGGAAATGGGTACAAGCAGAGATCCAGAGAAAATGAAAATTGTGCTGGAGAATGCGAACAATCTTACTTCGCAGGTTCACGGGTAAACAACTGTTAGATTTTTGAAATTCTAATGTACTTACATAAACTGTACTGCATTATATTTTTGTAGAATACGAAGTTTGGGTTCTGCAGCTTTGAACATGTGCATGGTCGCTCTCGGTGGGGCAGACATTTCTTTTGAATACGGTATTCATGCTTGGGACGTTGCGGCTGGTGATATAATCGTGAGAGAAGCTGGTGGTGTGTGCATAGATCCAGCTGGTAATTCATATTATTTCGTTTAGTTAGATGTTATAATGTAGTTTAAGTTCTGATCATTCTTAATGCATATTTTTAGGCGGCCCATTTGATGTAATGAACAGAAGAGTATTGTGCGCCTCGACAATGGAACTAGCTCAAGAACTAGCTAAAGTATTAATTCAGTATTATCCTGAACGTGACTGAAAATCTTGAGGTATCAAGAGAGATAAATGATTTGAAAGTCAGATGATGTTAACTGCGTCGATTGTGTACGTGTTTGATGTACAGAAGATTTATATTACATAATTAGGTTTCTTTTAATCGTAAAAAGCAGGTTCGATGTTTTTGTCGATTTTGCAGGCATTTAAGGTTCACGCATTAAAGCGATAAATGTATAGGTTTAAAAGAATATGTTTATTCATTAGCTTCTTGTATTTGAATCATATTTATTTAAAAGATAAATGTAAATTGAACATGTATTACATCCATATTAGCGACGAGTCAAATGTTTAATAACAATATTGTATGTTGAAATGAGAGGCATGCGAATGCAAATGTAATATGTCATTTATTCAAATATTATACAAAATAAATTTAATTATCTCATTATTGGAACGTGTCTTTTTTTATTCCCCTGATTATTCCTGATTTACACTTTCATATTATATTATTCATACAAAAATATTTGTTGATTACATTAAAATCATTTTTAAACATTGGTCTTTAATGATCTGAAAACTGAAAGCCACGAATATTAGTATTGTGTCATTTTTTAATATTACCTAAACTTACATAAAGAATACACTAAATAAAATGTTTAAATTTAACAAATATTTGTAACTCTTACATATATACCTTACCTGTACACATACTTACGGTTTTATTAATCTTAATGAAAGCTTAAGACAAACCTTCCTGTTGATACAAATTTAAATTAAATATTTGGTGATCCTTTCTTTCTGATAGGGCATCATATTTATACAGTTGTCAAGCTCTGCTGCCGTGAAGATATCAACCCATTCTCTCCATCATCATTGTTTTCCATCAACAGCTTTTTTCATCTCTTCCATTGTCTCCCCTCCTCACAGGGAGGGCTACAAGTGAAACATTACCAAATTGCCAATTAGAAAACTATATACTCAGTCTTGGTTTTTGTGTATTCATTTTATTTCTGTATTGAAATGTGCTCGAAACATCTATTTCCCCCATTTTATTTAAACTTAACAAATTAATCTTTCAATACTTTAGAAAAAGAGATTAAAGTGTTTATGATTTAAACAGTGAAACAATAAAACTTTACAAATATTTTTAAGCATGTAATTTTGCAATTATCTAGAGAAAATTATATGCAACTAAGACAAAAAAAAATATTTTATCTTTCTTCAAAGGAGAACATAGCAAGGATGATCGTTATAACGACTTGATTTTGTTTTATGATGTAATTGTGCAGCTTTCGATTTTTGCAATATTATGTCGTTTAACGTGAAATGGATATACTAAATATCCCATAAGGCAGTCCCCCATGAATACCTTGCAACGGGATCGCCGTTAAATGCCCATGATAGGTCCACCCGCACTTAACGATGCTTTGAATCGAAGACTCATCTGAAACATAAGCATCCTCGTACAATATTGCCACACAAAAATTTATATACCATGAACCATTCAAACAGCATTGACGTTCTGTCGCATCTTACAAATAAAGAATGTAATATTAAAATAAACATATTAAAAGAAAATTGACAAAGCTACGATACAAAATCGTATGCTACAGAGCGATGCGTCTGTTGAAAGCGATTATGTAATGTAATATCCGTTGGTAAATACTTGAAACTCCTATTTCTCAGTGCAAATATATACATTATTATTTTCTTATATATTCCTGTCTTTACATGAATTATCTAAATAAATGCAAGTTGTCAGATATGAAAACGATTATTTCTAATACTACAATTTCTAATCGACAATGTTAACATAATATAATAACTTATTTTGCACCACTTCCTAAAATACACTTTCTCTACCTATCTTCTTGTTATTAGATTAAAAACAGATTACAATCGGATCTTTTTTTTTCTTTTTTTTTTTTTAAATAAGTTGCGGCACGTGCTTCTAACTGCACGAGATATAGCGCGTGATTATTAAGACTGAAAGTATGAAATACAGGGCTCGTTTCTCATTCTGTTAAGCATGTGTCGTTTTATTTCAATAACCTACTTACTATACAATTTGTTTCTTCTCTGTCAGTACAAGTTTCCTTGTTACTAGACTTCGATGCCGTGCGTTATCTGCGCGACGACACAGAAGAAGAACAAAAAAAAAAATATTTGTTCGTGAATCGTACGATCAAAATTCGTTAAAGTTCATTATTTTTTTACAATTTCCATAAACACGAAATCCTTCGCCGCGAACGTAACATACCATTTAATGGATTTATGATATAATAATTTATACGAGATTAATTAGTCGTTAAAGAAGTCGCGCAATTTGAATTGAAAGATAAAAAGAAAAAATACTATGTACCACCATTTTTATGCTAAGTATCGATGGCCAGTTCATGCTGAAAGAGGCGGTCACATTTATCCCCAGTTCATTTTCATCCACGGAAGAATTATACCATGTAATTGCGGCAAGCCTCTTCTTCTAGTATTCGTCGTTGGTTTATTACTTATTGCTGCTGTGCATAAAGAAAGAGAAGAAATAAACCAAATCTTAAGCGGATTCAATTTCAAAATGAAATTACACGAAAAAGTGATTTTTACGCCCTGATACACTACATTATTTCGAGCTGTGTACAAACATGCATGTGTCGTTTTTTGATCGTCGATAAATGCATCGGTGAACTCCCAACATTTTTTTTTTTTAATTATTAGCTTTTTTTTATTCATCGCTCGTACTGGTTATTTAATTAATATAAAAATATTGCACTCTATTGACCTGCAATAGTTATCATTCATTAAATAATACAGTTCAGATTGATAGAGTACAATGTTATATGTGTGATTCAAATCATTTGTTTCCCTTATACGTATGTATTCTTTTATTTATCTGGAGAATGTTTTTTTCGTTCTGTTAGACGGAGCTAGTGACAACGTGAAACTTTTGCACCGCCTCTTTCTGCTAAAACGGATACAAGACATTCAATATAAGGAGACACCGCTTATGTTAGTATGTTTTTATAGTATACAACAAATCGTTAGCGGTGTCGTTTCAAGCATTTTTTGCAAATTACGTCAATGAATTCTCCGATGTGGAAGGACCCCGGACAGGGTTACCTAGATCTTTTCTTGTATAAAGGGATGCGCCAGAGCGTGGTTCACTGTAATTCTCTTTCCCGCGTCCAACATCAACGTTCGCTCCAACAGATCCTTCAATTGTCCAACTTTACGACTTTGTTCAGGTGGCAAAGAGTTTCCTCCCAATTCCGCACCAAGGTCACGAGTGGCGGGTATCGTCGACATCACTACAACTTTCGCCTAAAAATAAAGGCATTAGCAATTTTATAATCGACATATATTTTATTTGTCTATATATAATTGTTGAGTCACTTACCGCACGGCAAAGGACAAGGTTGGAAAAAGAACAGTAGAAAGACAACTTACCCGCTCAGTGACCTTATCAATTTCATGATACAGGAAATTGCAGTTAGAGTCAAAATGTAGATCCTTGAATGTGCCTTTCCTAATCAGCTTATTAGGAATTTTCCCTTTTAGGTCCATGAAGAATTTCAACATCTGGTTGTTGGTTTTCCCAGAGAACATTATTTTTCCCGTGTACAATTCGTATATGGTGCATCCCACGGACCACATATCAATGCCGAAATCATATGGCGTACCAAGAACTAGAAAATACCTGGGTTATTTCCACGATACACAATAATTATAATTAAATCTCTACGACAGTGGAGATCTCCCCAAGCTGGGTATGATCAATGTATTTAGAGCTGTCACACAAAGTTTCCGTTTACGTTTTGAAAAATAATGCGAGTGACCAATCGGTCGCTACAAAATTATTTTTGTTTCTATACAGTTTCGAATCATTTTGTACCATGTTTTAGGAGACACGCTCTTGCATGGCTATCAGAAGCTGGTTTGAAGTAGAAGATTGGTGAGTAAGCACAGATTAATCTCTTGAGTTTCTCAGTTTATACATTGTGATTACAAGAATTAATAAGTAACCCAAGAAATTAGTATTGTTGGTTAGACTAATGAAGACGTATTTAGATAATAAAAACGATCGATACTTACTGATCTCAGGAGCCCGGTAAAATCTTGATACAAGATACGGTGCTATTTCATTTTCATGAGCATGGGAGGCTGAACCGAAATCGCACAATTTCAATACTAGCTTGCTTTCACTGACTAGAATGTTATCCGGTTTGATGTCAGCATGCAGAATATTTGCACGTTTTAATAACTTCAGAGCAAGGAAAAGTTGCTGGGTATACGATCTTACCGCTTTTACGTGTAAACCAACATCTTTCCCGTACTTTTTTAAAACCTGAACACATTGTTTTATATAATACACAGTAACTGTAACTACTTGATGCATATAAAATAAATTATTTACCTCTCTTAAATTCATAGCTAAAGGTTCGAACACCATACATAAATGATTTTTGTGATAGAAATGCCTAAAAAGTCGTAAACAATGAAATCTATCTTCTGGATCCGCATCGTTAAGTTTTCTAAGAATTTCTAATTCTTTAAGGCCAGTCTTATGCCTAAAATGAAAAAAAGAAAGTGTTAAAATATCGATAGTTTTGATAATGTAACAAAAATTTATAATACGATATAATTACATTATTTCATTGTTCCTTATTATTTTTACGGCAACATCCAAATTTCCTCTAGCACTGTCTCTAGCTCTCACGACATTACTAAATACACCTTGGCCTGTATATCCATACACAACATATCTAGAATCTAAAGTTTCACCTACTCGTACTCTAAAAACGTTATATTAACATTATATTAGTTAAAAGATTATATTAAAATACAAAAAACAAGCAAGAAAAAATAATAGTTTACCGATAATATCCTTCCGCATCATCCCAATTATCTGTTAAACTAGGATTATCAGGTCCACCTTGTCGCTTCCCCTCGACAGTCGGGCTCTGAATAAAATATTAATATTTAAAAGAAGTAAGTTTAGCGAATGTATAAAAAAAAATTATAAACGTACATTAAAATCACCAATGTTATCTGCCTCAGCAAACATGTCCCATTCATTTGCTTTCTTTGCATTTTGTTTATCATCCTGCTTAACTTTCTCTGCTGGTTTTGTGTCTTCAATTTTATCTGCTTCTTCTGATGGTGGATCCTCAAATCTAGATTTTCTTGGTTTAATTAACGGTGACTTTGGTTTCTCAGGCAGTGGTGGGGTATGACTTTCTGAAGTCGATTCGTTATTATTAGATGGAATTTCTATGGATTTCTGTGATACGTTTGATTGACTTTCTGAAGGCGGAGTGGCAGGAACAGTATTTATATCGGCAGACATATTTGAATCTTCATTTGGTCCACCTAACCTCTAAATTAAAAATACAAGTATTCATTATGAATTATCCAATATTACTGCCAAATGATAATACTGTCCAAGAAATTGAACAGTATAATTATCCTAACATATGTATACCTTGAGAAGCGCCTCTCGCTGCTTTCTTCTACGTTCTATGATTGCTTCTTCATCTTCTTCTTCCTCGATATCAATGTCTTTGATATCCTCTTCACTCGAAGTGTCCGAACGATCTGCTTTAAGTCCCTCCGACAAAGAGTCTTTGTACTTATCACCGCGTTCCCTTTTACCATTTTTCTCTCTATCCCTATCGTGATCTCTAGCGTGTTTGTCCCTGTCTCTCCGACTTCGAGACAACGATCTAGAGTGTTTGTACCGATCGTTTCGATCTCTGTCTAATCTACTTCTAAGGGGGCTACGAGATCTTCTTGGACTCCTTGAACGGTCCCTAATTCTCTCATGATTCCGACTGTCCCGTCGAACGTCATTACGGTCGCGACTTCCCCGACTATCTCTGTGACGTTCTCGACTAGTATGACGTTCCCTACTGTCTCTTTTGTCGCGACTGTGCCTATCTCTGCTAGGAGGTCTGTCCCTACTGCGACGATCGCGACTTGCCGGTCGGTCTCTACTGGCATGACGATCTCGACTGGCGTGCCGGTCTCTGCTGGCATGACGATCTCTACTTCCATGCCTATCCCGACTAACATGTCGGTCTCTACTAGCATGTCGATCCCGACTACTTTGCCGTTCTCGGTTCTCTAATCTATCACGACTATCCCGTCTTGACTTATCGGATTTATCTAACGATTTATGTTCAGTTCGGGATCGTGAATTGTTGTGGTGATCTGAATCTCGCCGTCGATCTTCTTCCCTACAATTAAACGATTATTAAAATGATGAATGATAAACGTTTAATATTCAAATATTGTAAACATTTTTAATATAAAAATAAATTCTTCCCAGAATAAAAATTTTTGATCGTAAAATTTATAAAATATATTTTGCATTTAACATACCGTTTATCTTGTTCTCTTTTACGAGACTCATCTCTTTTAACAGGATCTTTACGTTTGTCGTCTTCTGATCTTCTCTTATTATCTTCCTTTCGGGAATCGTCTCTGTGCCTATCGCTTGGTTTCCGTACTTGCCTATCATCTTTTCTGCTGTCTTCTCTTCTTACTTCCTCCTTAGTGCGAACTTTATCGGAATCCCTCCTCCTATCGGAATCTCTTCGTTTCTCTTTATGCTCCTCCCGACTTCTACGATCTCTGGTCATGTCTACTACTACCCGTCTCTCAGGTTTCACTATCTTTTTACGTTCTCTACTACCAGATTTACTCCTAGCTCGTTTCTTAGGGGGTATATTGTCATTCTCACTATCATCTTCTACAAGGATGACATCAGGTGTTTCTGCAACTTTTACTTCATCCTGGTCTGGTTCTTTCTCCTCTTTCTCAGACTCATCCGAGAGGTATTGTACTAAACATGCTTGTAACCTTTCCTGCAGAAACATTAGATCATGATTAAAGTTTTATCTGTTTGCATATAAACTTCATTTAGTAATACACTGTACCTTTTGTTTCATCAACTCTTCAAGATCGATATCATCTTCAATGATTGTACAATCTACTTCATCTGAATCTAAATCTACTAATTTTTCATCTTCGCTTTCTTCTGTAGAAACCACCTCTAATAAAGAATTTTTTACTTTGCCATTTACACCTATATCTTTTTGAATTACACGAGATGATTTATCATCTAACGATCCATTTTCAACTTCTCTTTCTTTTTTAGGTCGTTTATGCTTCTTATGCCTTTTTCTAAAAAGCATACAACAACATTTAATACGATGAATTTAATAATATTCGTGATTAAGATACATACCTTTCTTGTCGTTCTATCCTTCCATCTTCCCTTTCAATTAATTTATCTTTTTTATGCTTATGGTGCTTATGTTTTCTTTTCTTTTTCTTTCTTTGGTCAATCAACATGTCAGATTCAGAATCAACACCGACAATATCTCTCTTAGATTCTAAACATTCTAAATCCGATGTACTGAAATATAATTCAAAAATAAATTATTGTATAAGAGACATTGTACACTGTAAGTGTGTTTAGTAACATATCATAAACAAATTCGACATAATATGGTGATCTATACATTAAACAATTAAATACAATTATTCAATAAATAAATTAATATTTCCGCTTTATAAATAAAATTAATGTTATTATCATACAGTATTTGTGTGAATTGGATCGAGCAGTATTAAACAGAGCAAGTTGCGAAATACTAAAGTTACAGAAAAACTAGGTTATTTTCTCAATGCATCTAAATTAAGGATCGCTGTAGAAAGAAAAGCGTTTTGTTGTGAACTCATTAGCTTCCTTACATTATTCCAAAAATACAAAGGACCTGTTAAAAGTAAACGACATTTATTCCGAAAATAAACAGATGATCACGTAAGTATAAACGATGTAAACAGACTAACTTAATACACCATTTTTATATACGAAAATTGAAAACATTCTTATTTGTATAATGATACACGTTGAAATTTCATACATACCCCATGATTACTATTTGTAAATTATTGTTAAGAAAAAACTATAGAATTACTGCACAAAACAACTACACGCATATATGCACTCTTTAACGGGCTGCCATCTTATATGTTCGATCGTGTTATTTCGAGATATCTCGTTGAAGTATCGAACTATCGATAAGGAAGGGTTCCTTCCGGTTTCTATATTCCCATTGTGTACTAAAGTTGATGCAACTCCATATTTTTTTCTCATTTATATAATTTGACCTGCTTTGTAAGTATACTAAACACTATAAAAATATAAATATTATAATAGTGTTTCAGTAATCTTAATAATTATATAATAATTAATATAAAAACACGAGAAACGAATGGTAAAATTATCGCGGGCTCGTAGTCTACGACGAAAGAATAAGTCTTTATTAAGATTTAATACTATACATAGAATAATTGCTCAATAATGTTAAAATTTATGTATATAGTACTCGCATTGCGTGCAATTTATTATACAAGCTGATGTATTGAATTGGGAGCTACTAAAGGTCTTTTCTCTGTATTTTAATAAACGGAAGAAAATTCCGTGTAGAATAATATAAATTGGTGGTAAGTATCGCATAAAATATTTTATACTTTATTTATATTAATATTAAATTTTTCTGTCACAGAGGTGTATGGAGATCGAGTGCAACGTACAAGTGAAAAAAAATAACATGGCAGGAGGCTACAACACCGAAATGCAATTACACGCTATGCGTTTATGCATCAAATTGTATCTTGTATATATTGTATTTTTTTATTTGTTATATTATTTGTCTGTTATATGATAGTATATAAATACGTAGCAAAATAAATTATGTAAAAATTATTTTTGTAAGATCCTCCTTCTTTGAGTAGCGCGTACCTACTGATCTGCTAGAGCGGCTGCGCACCTAATAAGTCTGCATGCGCGGCGCGATTGCGCAGAGGTATGCGCATGCGTACTTGATTAGAACCATTTAAACTACTTTTCCTATATTTTTTAATACGATATTGTTTTACAATTGAACCAAGGATCAAATTAAAATTAAAAACACCAGGGCATAATTTGCAATAATTTAATTCGCAAAATGTCTTACAATATAACGCGAAGTATGCAACACGTTGTTGGTGAATGTGATGTTGTTCTTGCACCTATATTTTGTTACGTCTCGCGACACCAACCACGCGTGGCATATCTTCGTGTTTATTTAATCATTGCTTAGGTAACAGTCGCATGAACCGTTGGTCTTAACGCCAACGTTTATCATTAATAATTATCATTAATAACGGCAATGGTAACGAGTAACAATTAAATTAAATACATTATACATTACGAATAAATACTAAAAACAGTACTCACTCAACGCGTGTGAGTGATTGACCGACGCTTTCCGTTCGCGGTATATAAATACAAAGGGAAATGGGGTGGGGTATGGGGTAGGGCGAGGATTCACGTGCCCTTCTTTCTAAATCATTTCTTTACGCAAATTATTCGATCATTAACGATCGATTATCACATTCTTCGACAATACGAGTCTCGGGGTTCTTTATCATACGAATATTAATATCTCGAAGAAGTCGTGACTTACTTTTTAATTCGTGAATAGCTGAAAATTCGCAAGAAATTTGAAATCCTTCGATTTTATGGCTATTTAATAATTGAGCTTTCAACATGAAACGAAGAAACGTTATATCAAATCTTCACAGTCGAATTAATAATCATGAATATTATATTAAAATGTGTGCTTAAAATAAAAAAACACACACACACACATAGATCTGTAAAGATTATATATAAAGTTTCTTAGTTTCTTTTGGAAGTTACCAACCGAAGGATTATTTCAATTCCAGTCAAATTTTCAGCAACTCGACTATCGAAACACGTTGATCAACTCGTGAAGAGGAAAATCACTCTTCAGTATACGAGGAAGTCTTGGTCCGTTGTTGAAGAGAAAAAAAATATATTAACCTATGCTGACTAGATTCTACACTCATCCGGTATCGTTTCTTACGATCTAGCCGCTACGCGTTTGCTTCTAATGGAGGAACGATTTAATGAAATGATGGTTGTTTTCTTAGTAAACAAAATTCCTGTAAGAGATCAAACATTGCAAATTTTCACAGTTAAGATTAATTCTTAACACGATGTAAAGTGTTCCTGGAAGAAGAGATTCGAATTTCGTTAATAAAAAAAAAAAAGAAAGAAAAGAGATTAAATTTTGATAATGTTTCTTATCATTTCCTTTCCGTTTATGGTCCTTGGTGAGAAGAAGGGGAACGAACTTGATTCGTTCACGATTGTTCCTGTTGTTAAACTGTAAAAATGCTTATTCGAAGAGTTTCTTAGCATAGTGCCAAATGCGGAAGAAGTATTCGTCTTGTCTGAGAAGCCGTGCTCTTGCATACGAATGTATGTCTGCATCCATGTTGTGCTCTCGAAGCCAAGAGCTTGTGTTCTCTGTGCTGAAACTTATCGAAGCGGTTTCACCTTTCTCGGTGGCTTCTGCGATTGGTTCTACTACTGTCAATTCTGAAGCTGGTATGATCTTGAAGGGTTCCTCAGACTCCAAAGGATCGCTGAGGCCAATCTCGTTCCTGGCGAAGATCCTGATAAGGTACATGTGGTTCTCTTGGAGGTCCCTGATGTTCAGTTTCTGTATTTCGGTGTTTACTCGGGCTACCTCCATCCACATGGTCCTCTTCGTATCTCTGATGGCGACTTTGTAGCCTTCTAATGGCGCACCGCCATCCGAGTCTGGTCTTCCCCATGAAATTACAACTGTGTTCGCTGCAATCTGTCTGATCTCCAAGGGTGCCGTTGGTGGAGAAGGTACACCTACGAGAAATGGTTTCAAAGTTTCAAAATTATAAGCACATGCAAATTTGTTCTAACGAATTATAATGAAAATATTGAAGACATACTGGCATGTGTCTTTAGGGTAACTGGTTCTGAGTTTGCAGGCACACTGAGCCCTTGATTATTCTCAGCGAAGATTCTGAAGAGGAATTCGCTTTCTTTTAAATTTTCCACGCAATACTGAAGCGTTGTTGCGTCCAGAGTAACAACTTTCGTCCATCTTGCTCCTTTTCCAATCAACGGCCTCTTCTCGATCACGTATCCTGTTAAGAAAAATTGTGCAAAATGTATAATCGAGTAATTATGGTGTCTCATAGCTTGGTACATAAATTTATTTAAAATTACCTGTCAGCTCTGTGCCTCCTGTGCTGGCTGGCGGAGACCAGCTGAGAGTTGCGCTCTTGCTGGTAATATTTGTCACATGCACGTGTTGTGGACTCGAGGGTGGTGCTAAAAATCACGCGTGTCATATCATTGATTTGGAAAAATAAAACGACGCGCGAACGATGAGAAGCAGGCTTACTTTTGCTGATCACTATTTTTGTCGGCGGGAATATACCCAGCAGAGCGTACATGCTGCTTTCGGTGAGCTTTGTTATTTCTAAGCGATGGTGAAAGCATTAAACAAGCGTAGAGCGCGTTAGTATGTAAATAAATTAACATATACGAAAGTATTTCTACTTTCAACATTTTATTTTAAAAAATAAATGCTGTATTTAAAAAATGAAATTAAATTAAGCGAATATTATGAGCCATTAGTGTTGCAATTCTTTACCCAAATTGTTTAAATCACTTACTTATTCGTCTGCCCGGTGCAATTGGTTCCTCGGCAACGTATGGAGGTCCACTGCCAACACTGTTCTTAGCTGTTATCCTGAAATTGTATGGTACGTCTGTCTTCAAGTCTGACACGCTGAAGTGTGTCGTTTCGTGTTTGGTGCTGCCGATCTGTAAGCAATATAATTTTAAATTTAAGGAACCTGTATTCAATGATAAATCTCGACTAACCTTCTGCCAAGTTTTCTTCGATTCTTCCTTTATCTCGATGATGTAATCTGTTATCGGAGTTCCACCGTCGTTTTCAGGAGGCTGCCATTTGATCGTGAAGGATGTTTTCGTCATTCCTGATACTTCCAGTGGTCCTCTCGGTGCTCCTGGTGGTTCTATTAAAAGATTCACGACATTGAACCAAAAGAACTTGAACAAATTTTTCATTAAAAATTAGGAATAATAGAAATATTCATACCGAAGGAGGTTCTCATTTTAACTGTGTCAGATTCCAAAGGTTCCGATGCTCCAACTGCGTTCCTAGCGATGATCCTGAACTTGTATTCAGCATTCTGTTGCAATTTGTGCACGCAGAAGCTTTCCACTTCTTTGTCTATATCGACAACCTTCACCCAAGTCTTTCCAGGCTCGCATTTTTCAATGGTGTATTTCTCGAGTTCGATTCCACCATCGTCTGCTGGTGGTCGCCATTCGAGGGTGACGCGATCTTGTCTGATTTCTTTGAAGACAACAGGTCCTTGCGGCTTGCTTGGTTTATCTAAATCATTTAAAATAAGATGATATACTCTAAGATCTAATTACATTTAGAATAAACAATGTCTAATCTCTTCAAGACCTTACCTATCACTTTGAGGTGTAAATCAACCGAAGAACTGCCAGCTTGATTCTCAGCTTTCGCCATATAAGTAGCAGTATCTTCTCTAACGAGCGAAGAAATTGATACGGTGGAGGTTCTTTCTTCCCTGTGAATGGACACACGTTTCTCGTCAACCTCCTTGCCATTCTTCGTCCACGTAACTTCTGGTTTCGGGAAGCCAGTAATTTGAATTTCAATTTTCCATTGACCGTTCATCGGTAGCTTCTGATTAGTCAAATTCTCGTCATAGATAATCTTAGGCGACTCTTGGATCTTTAATTCGCACGTTGTTTCCGCGCTTCCTACGTTGTTCTTCGCTTTTACAGTGAACTTTGCCGATGAGGTCTCTGTTGTTTCCCTGATGGTGTACTTTGTTATATGGTTCTCGTATGTAATGCTGGTGTCCTCGAAAATTTCGTCATTCCTTAGCCTATAAGAAAAGCAGCGAATTAAGAATTCTTTTCTTTTAGCAAATGTTGATAGAAAAGTTAGATATAATTATTGTACCAAGTAATCTCTGGAGCGGGTGTTCCACCAATCACGCACGATAGGGTGACAGTTTCTCCAAGGCCGATGACGATACTCTTCAAGGGTTCGAGGATGACTGGTGGTTCTGCGGTTGATGGTTTTGATATCTTCACGTATGGCGATGTCGGTGATGTTTCACCAGGTCCTGCTTCGTTCACAGCAGTCACTCGGAAGGTGTACTCTTTGTTCGTTGTTAATTTTGTCACTTTGTGAGTTGTCTCTGTTATGGTCTCTGTAATCTTGGTCCACCTTTAAATAAAAGTAAGAAAGATTTTTATATTTTGTGACCCTCACACGAAAGATAGTTTGAAATAAAAATTTTAAATATACTCACGTAGTCTCAGTCTTCTCTTGATGCTCCAAAATGTATTCAACGATAGGTGAATTTCCATCTGAATCTGGTTTCTTCCAGTGAAGCGTTACGCTGTCGTTGGTGGTCTCCAATGGCTCTGGAGCTCCAGGTGCACTTGGTACCTCTGCAGAGGTAAATAAATTTTCAAATTTATAGAATTTGTATTTAGGAAGGAACCAAGATAATTTTGAATACTTACGAACGATGACGACGTTGATTTCGATGCTAGTTTCTCCAACACTGTTCACTAATTTCAGAGTGTAATCACCAACGTCTTCTTCTTGGATCTTCCTAATAGTCAAAACTGCTGATTCCTCGTCAATCGTTGGTATCGCTCGTTTCGATTTTGTCACTACACGACCATTTACAGTCCATTCATCCTCTGGTTTAGGCGTTCCACTGAATTTCACCACAATATCCACGTCTTCATCTTTCCTTACTTTGTACTTCCTTGGTGTGTCTGGGCTGATCTTTGGCGGTGTTTCGATAACTGTAATCATCGATTAAAAAATAATTATCATAAGAAATTTTGTAAGGACTATTTCTATCTTTCTGTCAAATCTATCTTTTACCTTCTACTCTTAATCTTGATGACGTTTTCACGTTAGCAACCATTGCAGTGTATTCCGAAATATCTTCGGTTGTACATTTCTTCACGATTAATTTCTTCACCTTGCCCTCGTCGATGATCGTGTATTTCGGAGATTCCTTGATGACCTGCGTTTTCCTGTAATATCATTCAAATTTAATATTTTGGAAGAGACTAAAAATTTTTTAATAATTTTTCTTTTCTTACCTCATCCAAGTAACTGGAACATCCTGTGACAATTCGATAACGAAAACAGCGTCGGAATTCAGTGGTACCAGGGTGACATCCGGTAATTTGGTGATGAACTCTACAGCAGGTTCTTCGACCGTAAGCTTAGCCGACGATTTCTGTTGACCAACTTCGCAAGAATAAACACCCGCGTCTTCTGATTCCGTATCATAGATCTTCAGCTTCTGCCTCTTTCCATCAATTGACAATCGAACGTGCTCGGAAAATTGTAATTCTTGGCCGTCTTTGAACCATCGCACCAAAGCGTCACCCTTTGTTAATTCGATATCGAAGGTTGCCCTCTCGCCTCTTGCTATCGTCACGTCTTGCATCTTCGTGATGATTTCAGGTGGTAATTCTAAAGAATCATTTAACGACACGTGTTTACTCGTCCATTTAAAAGAACTTGATTTCTTTTCTCATTGGAATTCTACTTACCAATGACAGTGACTTCAGCTGTACACTCTTGATCCAAGAGGCTACAGGTGTATTCTCCTTCATCGTGAACAGAGGTGCTTCTGATCAGCAATTTCCTTACTGTACCTTCTTTCACGAATTCTAATTTCTCTTTGCCCGGTCCCAGTTGTTCGCCATCCTTGTACCATTTAACGTCCACCGTTTGCGACGTGATTTCAACTTCCAAAATTGCCACATCGCGCTCTTTCACCTCGCAATCTTGTAACTTCTTCACGAACTCTGGTTTGGTGGCTGTGAAGATAATTGAAAAATTATCATTTACCATTGAAATACTCATAAAGATTAATAAATCATTTAAATAATAATTCCTACCTTTTACAGTGACATTGCTGGACGTTGATTGATTTTTAACAGTGCACTTATAAGTTCCTTCGTCGGTGGGATTAGTTTTCTTGATCACCAACTTGTGCACACGTCCTTCCTCGATGATTTCTCGGTGATCCATGCCACTGATTTCTTTGTCATTGTGCCACCATTTCGTGGACACTGTGTGCGATGTTTCGCAGGTCAATTCCAGGGTCTTGTACTCGTCAACTACGACCTCTTTCTCTAGAGTCTTCGTGAATGTTACTTTGTCGACGTCCACGGTGACCCTTGCACCGTGCGAAGCTTTTCCTACGGGATTGCTAGCGACACACTTGTAATCCCCGGTGTCCACTTCCGAGTTCGCGTTCCTGATTTCCAGCACGATGTTCTCGCCATCATAGGTCTCTGTTATGTTCGGTGATTTCTCCAAAGGCTTGTTGTTTCTGTAAGAAACACAATTTATTTTATCACTTCGTTACATTAGAAATTAAAATTAAAAATAATTTATCGTACCTTAACCACGTGACTTCTGGTACCGGATTTCCGGTAACTTTCGCGACCAACTTGAAGGTACCTTTCTCTGGAACGGTAAGTTCTTGGAACCGTTCAGTGAACAATGGTGGCTCTGGAGCTCCGCTTGGTATTTCTATTGAAAATATGAACGTTAATTTATTATCCTTGGATGACAAATAATTTCATTGATTAATAAGATATATATCAGATAATGAATTAAAGCAGAAGCAGAGACATATCGTACCCTTCGTTACGCTGAAGTGTTCGAACGTGTGCTGTTGGAAATTAATGGCCAGCGAAGGTTTCAAGTTTACTGAAAATACATATTAGCCAAGCATTTTGCAGCATTAGTACAAGCACCTTCTAAAATTATCTAACGATTTCGCTGTGAAGCAATTTTTAGAAGCGTCTATTTCAATTAATTAAAAAAACACGTTATACAGTATTCTTGAATGAATATTCTTACTTTCAACTGTTAATGTAGCCTTAGTTTCAGCTGTGCCAAGATCATTGGTAGCCACCACAGAGTATTCTCCTGTGTCTGATACTTGAGGCTGAATAAGAGTCAATGTATTCACGTGGCCATCCTGTTTTGGAGTCAAGCCTTTCAGTGGTTTGCCATTCTTGAACCAAGTTACTTTTGGAGCCGGATTTCCAACGATTTGAGTAGATAAGACTACGGTTTCTCCTTCCCTTACTACGTAGGACTGTAAAGGTTCTAGAATCTCTGGTGGTTCGGATTTGCCAGTTTTCACCTGGGGGGTCATATCAATTCATTATAAATTTATGTTCATAAGGAAGAGCTTTAAATATTATTTTTCCAAAGACTTGATCAAATGTACAAACCTTCATAGGAATTTCAATAGTAGCTTCACCTTCCCTGTTCCTTGCAACAATGGTATATTTTCCTTCCTGTTTTTTCTGCACCTTTGTGATCTTAATTACACTGCAGTACATGTGCATGTCACTCTCAGTGGCGATTATTATATTTTCTTTGGTCGTGATTTGTGTGTCCTTATAGTACCACGTTATTTCCGGTTCAGGTACGGCTACTAATCGGCATTCGAGGATCACATCTTCACCCTCGTCCACGTATTTTGCTTTGGGTTTCCTGGAGAACGTGGGTGGTATCCCCTCCAAGATATCGGCGAGGGATGATTCTCTGCAAAATTATTGTTATTATTTTTATGTATAAAATTTAAATAAGTTGTAATAAGTAATGTTAGAATAAAATAACGAAGGAGTACCTGGAAAGGCTCTTTCTGGATGGACCAGTCAAATCTGACCCATGATCAGAAAGAGGTGCTTCCACGATCAATTCCGTGGTACTGGATGCGAATCCTGCTGCATTTTTAGCGACACAGGTAAAGGTACCAGCATCTTCAGGAAATACTTCCCTGATGATCAGAGTCGCTACATTGTCATCGTCATAATACATTTGGAAATCTGGGGATGGCTTGATGATGGCAGTCTGTCGGAACCATGTTATCTGTGGTCTTGGTACACCTTCTACTTGACATTCGAACTGAATTGTATAACCATCTGGCGTATGTATCGGTTGTAATTTTTCCACGAATTTCGGGGCTGATGATTTATCTCCAGGCGCAGGTTCTGGAAAATTGAAAGAAGTAAATAACTGTGTACTCTATGGAAAATTGATGGTGTTTGCGAGAAAAGAATTGCAAGTAAATTTACTTTCAAACACTGGTAATTTATCAATTTTCTCGTGCAACTTCCGTTGCAGATAAAGAGTGTAATGCACTTCGTTCAATAGATACTGCGCTGGAACCCAACCCTTTTCTTCTGTCAAATGTTTCTTCACGAACCACCAGTCCTGATTCGTATGATCTGAAGAAGACATCGTATAATATAATTTCTGTATTATCTTTACTATCTATTAATTAAAATAAAAAGGATCTTCAAATTTACCGATAACATAAACCCTTTCTCCTTCGACGAGATTGATGGCTTCATCAGTTTCTGCCACATACGAGCAAATGGAGAACATTGTGTCACCATCGCGAACGACATATTCAATTTCCACTGTAAAATTTAGAAATACAATACATTAATTTATCTTCTTCATTATTAAATAAAATAATAAAATATGTATACCATACCTTCCTCTGAGATATCCTCTTCTCTGGTGATGCTAAGTGTTGCTTCTTCTGTAACGTGTCAAATAGAATATTAATAAACGATCAACAGACAAATATCCGAATATTAAATATCCTAATATTCCAATATTAGAAACGCGCTAATCTTCATATTACTGAAGTACGTTATACGAAGTACCGATATGCTTTTCATTCGCAGTGATCTAAGAAGCAAGGACAGTAAAAGGTGAGGTATTCCAAAGTGACGAGGTAAAGAGGATAATTAGGGACAAGCATACTCACTAAATACCGACAGACTGGCGAGCAGCGTTAATTTCTATATTAGCTGAAAGCACTTTTAATCTGATTAATTATCATCTATTAAAATCGAAAAATTCTATCGAACCTTCGTCGTAGGTTGAAACGCGTCTCTTGCTCTTCAGCTTCAAAGCCAACGACTCATCCGCTTCTTCAATCGAGTATTTCCTCTCTCGTTTCAATTTCAACTTCACATCACCTTCCTCGATATCTTCCACCTTGTACGGTTTCGGTACCTTCTTCTTCTTTCTTCTCAATGGCAACCTCATCTCGTCTGTATCTAATTCTTCAATACTGTATTCATCTTTTCCTTCCTCGTCAGATTCTATGATTTCCTCGATAATAGGACCAGAATCGTCTTCTACTTCCTGTATGATTCTGATCGTTTCTTCACCAGTCTCTTCAGAGTACGTCAATGGCTTTTTCTTTGGTTTCAAACGAACCTTACCGGACATAGATATATCTTCTTCTTCGTAGGTGTTCAAAGAGATCTTGAACTCCTGCTCCACATCTTCCTTGGTTTTTGTAGTGCGTGGCCGGAAAGTGACGTTCTCCGTTTCGGTGATTTCTTTAATATCCGGCCTGGATTTCCTCTTCGGTCGCAGTTTTCGAAGAGTAACATCTTCGTAGATTTCTTCGATCGGTTTTGGAGGTAGCTTGGGTGGTTTTCGTTTGAACGTGAATTCTTGTACTTCTTCTTCTTCTTCCGGTTGTTCGACTTCTTCAATTTTCTTAATCGTCAGTTCATCAGCGGCTACCTCTTCAACCTTCTTCTGCGGTTTCTTCTTCTTTATCTGCACGTCTGTTGTTATTTCTTCTTCTTCCGTGGGTTTTTCAGGAGCACGTGCTTTCTTTATGGTAACAGCTGTTTCTTCGACCTCTTCAGTTACTTTCGGTTTCTTCTCTGGCTTCTTCTTCTTTCTGATGGTGATTTCTTCGGGAGCTTCATCAGGTTCTACGGGTACTGGCTTCTTAATAGTTACCTCTGCAGCCTCTTCTTCGATCACTGGCTTCTTCTTTGGTTTCTTCTTTATAGTCAGTTCACTTTCTTCAGGTTTCTTTTCTTCTTCGATTGGTTTTGGTTTAGTGAGAGTCACTTCGGCAACTTCTTCCTCAGTGACGGATTTCTTCTTTGGTCTTGGTTTCAGAGTAACCTCCTCAGGAGCTTCTTCCTCTTTCTTTTCTTCTACGACAACCTTCTTGATCGTGACCTCGTCGGCAGCTTCTTCTACCACAGGTTTCTTCTTCTTTGGTTTCTTTACCTCTACCTTCTCACTCACTTCTTCTGGTGCTTTTTCTTTCTCTTCTGGTGTTGGTTTCTTTATTGTAATTTCTTCGGTCACTTCTTCAGTAATTTCTTCTACTGGCTTTTCCTTTGGTCTCCTCTTCAGGGTAATTTCTGCTGGAGCTTCTTCTTCCTCCTTCTCCACCACTACAGGTTTCTTGATAGTTACCTCATCGGCAGCCTCTTCTTCAACTGGCTTCTTCTTCTTTGGTTTCTTTACTTCTATCTTTTCGGTCACTTCTTCAGGAGCCTTTTCCTCTTCTTTAGGTACTGGCTTCTTCAGTGTAATCTCCTCTGTAATCTCTTCCGGAACAGGTTTCTTTTCCGGTTTCTTTTTCTTTCCTAAAGTTATCTCTTCTGTAATTTCTTCTTCTTCTTTCTCAACAACCACTGGTTTCTTGATGGTGACTTCATCAGCGGCTTCTTCTTCAACCGGTTTCTTCTTCTTCGGTTTCTTAATGGCTATTTCCTCAGTTACTTCTTCAGGTACCTTTTCTTTCTCCTCTGGAACTGGTTTCTTTAATGTAACCTCTTCTTTCACTTCTTCAGGAACAGGTTTTTCCTTTGGTTTCCTGGGTTTCAAGGTTACTTCCTCGGGAGTTTCTTCCTCTTTCTTTTCTTCTACTACAGGTTTCTTTATTGTAACTTCGTCGGCAGCTTCTTCCTTTACTGGCTTCTTTTTCTTTGGTTTCTTTATAGCTATTTCTTCGGTTACTTCTTCAGGAGCCTTTTCTTCTTCTTTAGGTACTGGTTTCTTTAATGTAATCTCCTCAGATACCTCTTCCGGAACAGGCTTCTTTTCTGGTTTCTTTTTCTTTTGCAAAGTTACTTCCTCTGTAATTTCTTCCTCCTCCTTTTCAACAACTACAGGTTTCTTAAGAGTGATTTCATCGGCAGCTTCTTCTTCCACTGGTTTCTTTTTCTTCGGTTTCTTTATTGCTACCTCCTCAGTTACTTCTTCTGGCACTGGTTTCTTTAATGTAATTTCCTCTGTCACTTCTTCGATAACAGGTTTCTCTTCTGGTTTCTTCGGTTTTAATGTCACCTCTTCTGGAACCTCCTCCTCTTTCTTCTCCTCTACAACAGGTTTCTTTATTGTAATTTCTTCTGCAACTTCTTCCTTTACCGGCTTCTTCTTCTTTGGTTTCTTTATTTCTTCTGTAACCTCTTCTGGTGCTTTTTCCTCTGGTTTCTTCAGTGTAATTTCTTCAGTAACTTCTTCAGTTATTTCCGGAATAGATTTCTTCTTCGGTTTCTTTATAACAACCTTTTCTTCTTCTTTCTCTTCTTCAGTGACAACCTTTGTGACTGTCACTTCCTCAACTACCTCTTCCTCTTTAACAGGTTTCTTCTTCTTTGGTTTCTTTACAACAGCCTCCTCAACCACCTCCTCCGGTTTCTCTGGCTTCTTCTTCAAGATGACTTCAGTTATCGTCTCTTCCTCTTCTACTTCTTTCTCTTCTACAACAGGCTTCTTGATTGTAACTTCAGCTGGAGCTTCTTCAACAGGTTTCTCTGGTTCTTTCTTTAGAGTAACTTCTTCAGCCACTTCCTCTGGTTTTTCTTCTTCTGGTTTCTTAACTGTTACTTCTTCCTCCTTTTCCTCTTTAGGCTTTTCTTTAGGTTTCTTGGTCTTCGCCTTACGCTGCACAGTGACATCTTCTGGCTCTTCCTTTGGTGGTTTTGGAACCTTCTCTTCCTCCTTCTTCGGAATTTCCTTTTCTTTTTCCTCTTCAGGTTTTTCTTTCTTCCAGGGTTTCAACGTTATCTGCTCAGGTTCCTCTTCCGGTTTCTCTTTTGTAGGTATTCTAAACTTAACTTCAGGCTCTTCGTCAGGTTCTGGTGGTTTTGGTTTTCCTTTTATCAACGGAATTTGTTCGACTTCTTGATCCGGTTTTTTCTTCGGCTCTTTCTCGTACGGTTTTGGAACTGGTTCGGGTGCTGGTTCTTCCGGTTTTTCATATTCTTCAGGTTCATATTTTTCAAGCTCTGGTCTATCAAAGTCCAATGGCTTGAGCTCGTCATGTTCTAATTTTACTTTTGGTTTCTTTTTCTTTTCTGGTTTAACTTCCTCCTCTGGTTCTGGTTTCTTGGGCTTCTTCAGAGGTTCTTCAACTTCTTCCGGTTTCTTCTCAGGTACCTTCTTCAGTTTCACCTTTTCAGGCTCTACCTTCTCTTCTTCTGGAACCTTGCCCTTGCCAATAGGTACTTTCTTTGGTTCTTCAGGTTTCTCCGCAGGTTTCTTCGGTTGGCGTTCGTACACCGATTTGTCTTCAATTTTCTCCAAAGGCACCTTCTTCAGCTCCTCAAATTCTAGATCTAGTTTCTCCAATTGTGTCACCTCTTTTTCAGATAATTTCACCTTCTTCACTTTCCTCTTCAGAACCTTAAGAGCTTCTTCCGTGTTTCTGGATAGTATACCTGTTTGTACTGGATTCTCTTCGAAGTAAGTGATCTTTGGAATCTGTAATTCAGGAGGATAATCACCGACAAATGTCATCCTGCTGCGCAGCATGATTTTCGGGAACTTGGTTTCGTCGGCTTCTTTCTTCTTGGGTACTGCGACTTTCTTCAGTTTTATGGAAGCGAATTGAACGGTCTCTGCTGGCTCCGAATACTTCAGCTTCGTAGGTTTCATCTCCTTTCTTTCGATCTTTTGTGGAACCAGCTTCTGAAGAGATTCTGGTAAAGGCTTCTTTTCCTTCTTCTTCTTCGGCTCCCATACTATCTTCTCTGGCATGGGTTCCAATACAGGTCTCTCGTATTCAGGTTCCACCCATTCCTCAATTTCGTCCTTCTTAGCTGGCTTCTTCTTCTTCTTCTTCATTACTTTCGCTTCCTTTGGTTTTTCTGGAGCAGCTTCTGTTGGCTTCTCTTCTGGTACTTTCTCTTCTTTCTTTTCTGGAGCCTTTTCTACGGGTACCTCTGTAATTTCAACTTTCTCTTCCTTCTCTTCAACTGGTACTGCTTTACGCTCTTTAGGTTTCTTCGTCGGTATTTCTTCCGCTACGGTTTCTGGAATTACTTCAGTTGTTTGAACCGTATCCTTTGGAATAATTTCTTCCCGAGTCTTAACTTCCTCTGGTTTCTTTTCAGGTATCTCTTCCACTTTATCCTCAGGACGTTCTTCTTCTGAGATTTTAGGTTTCTTTTCTGCAGGCTTCTTCTTTTTAGGCTTCTCTTCCTTCGGTTTTTCCTCTTCGGGTTTCACTTCTGGTTTTTCCTCCTCAGGTTTCACTTCCTCTGGCTTCTCTTCTATTGGTTTCTTAGGCTTCTCTTCTTTTGGTTTTTTCTCTTTGGGCTTCACTTCCTTCGGCTTCTCTTCTTCCGGTTTTTCTTTTTCTTCTGGCACCTGTGGAACTTCTTCCTTTGGTTTCTCCTCAGGAATCTCTTTCACTTTAGGTTTTTCTTCAATCACTTCACCGTTCGTTACAGGTTTCTCCTTCTTCTTCTTTTCTTTCTTTTTCACAGATACCTCAGTTACCTTTGCTTCTTCTTCAACTTTCTCTTCCTCCTTGGGAACAGCCTTTTCTTCCTCTGGTTTCTCCTCCTCAGGTATCTCCTCTGCTGTAATACCAGGAATTACTTCAGTTGTTTGAATCTCTTCTTTAGGAATCACAGCCTTTTTAGCTTTCCTCTTCTTCGGTTCTTCCGGTGTTATTTCTTCCACAACCTCTTCTACTTGTTCCTCTTCAGCTTCAGTTGGTTTCAGTTTCTTTTTAGGAGCCTTCTTTACTGTAACCTTCTTCTCTTCCACCTTCGCCTTTTCTTCCTTTTCTTCAACCACTGTAGCCTTTTCTTCTTCAGGTTTTTCTACTTCCAACTCCTCTTCCTTCGTTGTAGTAACGACCTCAGTTGTTACAATACTATCTTGAGGAGTAACCTCCTTCTTCGCCTTAGTTTTCTTTGGCTTCTCAGGAACAAGTTCATCTACCTCTTCAGCTGGCTGTTCTTCTTCCCCAGGTACTGCTTCCTTTGGAGCTTCTTTCACCTTTACTTTCTTCGTGATTACCTTTTCTTCCGTTTCTTTAATTTCGGTTGCTTTCTTCTTTTTGGGTTTGGCCTCTTCAGGAAGTTTCTCTGGAGCCACCTCAGAAATTACCTCAGTTACTTCAATGCCTTCCTTCTCAGTGACTGTTGGTTTCGCCTTTTCTTCTTTAGGCTTCTCAGGCTTTATTTCTTCAACAACTTCTTCCTTCTCTTCAGCTTCGACAGCTTTACTTGGTTTCTTCTTCTTTGGCACTTTCTTTATCGCTACTTCAGTAATTTTTACCTTCTCTTCCTCCACTTCCTCCGAAGGCTTGGCTTCTTCAGGTTTAAGCTCTTCTTCAATTAACTCTTCGACAGATGTTTCTGTGATAACTTCTGTAATTTCCACTCCTTCCTTTGGCAGGATCTTCTTTTTAGCCTTTTCTTTAATAGGCTTCTCAATTACGATTTCTTCAACTTCCTCTTCAGGTGCTTTACCTTCTTTAATAATTGCTTTCTTTTTCTTGATCACTGTCTTTGTGGGAGTTTCAATTACTTCTATGATTTCTTGTTCTTTCATCGTTTTAGCTTCTTCTATGGTCTTCTGAATAACTTCTTCAACTATCTTATCCTTCTTATCTTTTGGTTTCTTCCGGACGATCCTCTTTGTTGGAGTTTCGATCGTTTCAATGATCTCTTCTTCTTCCTCGATCACCTCTTTCGGCTTTTCAATCACGATCTCTTCAACTTTCTCCTCAGGTGCTTTGCCTTCCTCGATGGTGGTCGTCTTTTTCTTGATCACCTTCTTCGTTGGAGTTTCAATTACTTCTACGATTTCCTGTTCTTCCATCGCTTTAGCTTCTTCTATCGTTTTCTGAATTACTTCCTCGATTATTTTGTCCTTATCTTTAGGTTTCTTACGAATAATCTTTTTCGTCGGAGTTTCAATAGTCTCGATGATCTCTTCTTCCTCTTCGACCACCTCTTCAGGCTTCTCTGGTGCTTTCTTCGTATCCACCTTCGTTACCTTGACCTTTTTCTTCTCTTCTTCCACTGTAGGTTTTGCCTTCTTCTTCTGCGGTTTCTCGATGATGATCTCTTCGACAAGCTCTTCAGGAACACCATCATCCTTCACCACTTCTTTCTTCTTTTTCACGATCTTCTTGGTGGGTGTCTCGACGACTTCCACTATTTGTTGTTCCTCCATCTCTACAGTTTCTTCTCTTGGTTTCTGAATGATTTCCTCAACCACGACTTCCTTTTCGCCCTTCTTCATCGGACGTATCTTCTTCCTGATGATCTTATGAGTCGGTGTTTCGATAGTCTCAAATATCTCCTCTTCTTCTTTAATAACCACTTCCTTCTTCTTCTTCGGTGCTTTCCTGACATCATGTTCGGTGATGATCACTGTCTCTTCTTCTTCTACGATCGGCTTAGCCTCTTGTTTCTCTGGTTCTTCGATTATTATTTCTTCCACCACTTCTTCCGTTACTTCGTCCTTAGCCTTAACGGGTTTCTCCTTCTTTATAACCTTCTTCGTAGGCTTCACTTCTTTCACTTCCTCGATGATCTCCTGCTGTTCGTACAAATCAAATTTAATTAAAAGTTTCTTGTTAATTAAAATTTGAAAAACAAATTAATTTCCCTACCTGTTCGACCGTCTTCTCCGTGACATCTGTGAAAAGAAGAAAATTGTTTTAATATCAATCAACAGTATTCTTCACGGTTAATCCCAAGCTATCGTTCAGCAAATCACAAACCATTTACGGATAAATCACGTACTGATATCAAGCAGATAAAATCATGGGAGGTTGTTGTCAGCGTGTGCACTGACAACTGTACACGATACAATTAATTCATAAATTATATGTATTTGTCGATTCATGTCTTTGTTTCCTGTTCTGTTAAATCGTATTTAACGAATAATAAATATATATATATATATATATATATACACATATATGATACAAGTAAACGGTGTATACGCGTCGATGGTGATAGTAATAGGTAAGAAATGGGCTTACCTTCGGCCAATTTCTCGTCTGCTTTTGGTTTTGTTGGTCTTTTGTGTTTAGCTTGTTCGTGTATTTCTGATATAGTGTCTTCGTGGAGTTCTATTGTTGCTGTTATGGGTTCTTTACCTTCCTCTTCAACAGTCACCTCTTCGGTGACACGTTCTTTACCTTCGCGTTTCTTCGTTACGCGTTTTTTGCGCACAGTTTTCTTTGTTCCTTCCTCGGTGATTATCTCGCTCGTTACGATTTCTTCTTTGATCTCTTCAACAGGCGCGGCTTTCTCGACGGACTCGACCGGCACGGCTTCGTATTTATCTACGTCAAACTCTTCGACTGTGACCACAGGTTCAAAACCTTCCTCTTCTATCGTGGTCTCTTCGATAATCTTTGGTTTCTCGTCTTTAGGTTTAGTGATAGTTTTCTTCTTTTTAATCTTACGCTGCTTCTTATCAGGCGTTTCTTCCACCGTTGTGGTCACTTCAACCGTTTCGACAATGTCGTCGTCTTTTGGAATGAACTTGATGTAGTCTTCAGGTTTCTTCTCTTCTTCCTCTGGTTTCTCACCCTTCTTCCAGGGTTTCAGTTTGATTTTCTCTGATTCTTCAGTAGGAGGTGGTCGTTCAGGAATTCTTCTCTTTATCTCTTCCTCTTCTTCAGGTTCCTTTGGTTTGGGAACACCGGGTACGATCGGAACGGCTTCAGTTTCCTGAGCAGGTGTCTTACGTTCCTTCTTCGGTTTCTTACCTGGAACCTTTTTCTCTTTAGGTTTCTCTGGTTCAGGATACTCTGGTTTCTCTCTCTCTTCAAGCTCAACTTCCGGTGCTTCTATATCGTAAGGTTCGAATGGTTTCAGTTCCGGATATTCCTTTTCTTCTTTCTCTTTCTTTGGTTTGTCTACTTCGTCTTTCTTCTTTGGTACCTTCTCTGCTTCTTCAGGAGCACTTGGAATCTTCTCGGGTATTTTCTTTAATTGTACAGTTTCTAAATCTTCTTCTTCGGCAGGTCGACGTTTACCTTTGCCTATCACCAACTTCTTTGGTTTCTCTTCCTCAGGTTTCTCTGGTTTCGGTTTACGTTCGTAGGGAGTTATTTCTTCAACCTTTTCCAAAGGAACTTTTTTCAGTTCTTCAAACTCCTGATCCAGCTTCTCGAGCTCTGTTAGTTCTTTCTCAGGAAGCTTCATCTTCTTATGTTTCACCTTCTTCAACTTCAATGCCTCTTCCATCGTACGAGATAGTATTCCATTTTGTATATAATTTGGTTCTAAGACAGATATTGCTGGATATTTCACAGATGGTGGCCATTCATGTGCTGTAATCCGACTACGCAGCAAAATCTTCGGGAATTTGCTTACCTCTTCTTCAGGTTTCTTCTTTGGTTTAGCTGGAGCTTTCTTCAGTTTGATCTGTGCGAACAGAGGTGTAGCTGGTTCCGCGATTTTCGGTTTGATAGGCTTTTGTTCTTTGATACTGATTCTCATCAGCTGAGGTTTAACCCCTTCCTTTGCTTTATCTTCAGGTTTCTTCTTCTTCTTTACTTTGCGCTCTGGTTTCTCTTCCAGTATAGGTTCTTCCAGTTTCTCCAATGGTAATTCTTTCTTTAGCTCTTCGAATTCTTGATCCAGTTTTTCAAGTTTAGCAATTTCCTTTTCAATACGTTTGATCTTCTTCTTCTTCGGTTTCGGTAACGCAGCTGCTTCATCAACGTTACGAGATAATATACCATTTTGGAGTTCAATTGGTTCAAATGTGTCCACTTTCAAGTTTTTAGGAGAAGGAGGCCATTCGATGGCAATAATATGACTTCTGAGGAGAATGCGAGGGAATTTCTCATCTTTTTTACTTGGACGTTTGGCCACTGGAGTTTTGCGTAATTTAATTTGAGCGAACTGAGGCTTGCCCAAGGACGTCTCTTGGATATCGAGTTTCGTAGATTCGAATTTAGAAACTTTGAGACGTTGAAGTTTAATGATTTTCTTAGTTTCTTCAACGGGAACTTCTTCAGGAGCTTCTTCAGGAGCTTCGATTCCTTCTTTCTTTGGTTTAGGGACTTTCTTCTTCACGATCTTCTTCGTTTTGCCTTCTTTGGTAACAACTTCGGTAACAGTCAGTTCTTCTGGTACTTCTGTTACTTCAGTAGGTATAACCAGTTCTGGTGCAGGTAATGCCTTCACAGTTTCTTCTACGATTTCTTCAACAGGGCCTTCAGTGACAGTGGTAACAGGGGCTTTTCCTTTCTCTTCGACAGTGACAACTTCAGTCACCTGTTGTTCTTTACCCTTACGTTTAGTAACCTTCTTTTTAATCGTTTTCTTAGGTTTACCTTCTTTCGTAACTTCTTGTGTAACAGTGACTTGTTCACGGACTTCTTCAACTTCAGATGGCTTAGCATCTTCAAGAGCAGGTAGGGCTTTGATTGTTTCTTCAACTATTTCTTCTGTAGGACCCTCAGTGACAGTGGTAACAGGAGCCTTACCCTGTTCTTCAACGGTAACAACTTCCTTAACCTGTTGTTCTCTTCCTCTACGTTTGATTACCTTTTTCTTAATAACCTTCTTCGGTTTACCTTCTTTGGTCAGTTCTTCTGTCACAGTCACCTGTTCTCGTACTTCTTCCACCTCAGATGGTTTCACATATTCTGGAGCAATCAATGGTTTGAGAAGTTCTTCAACTACCTCTTCAACAGGACCTTCTGTGACGGTGGTAACAGGAGCCTTTCCTTGTTCTTCGACAGTGACAACTTCTGTTACCTGTTGTTCTTTACCTTTGCGTTTGATCACCTTCTTCTTCGTTGTCTTCTTAGGTTTACCTTCCTTAGTGACCTCCTGTGTAACAGTAACTTGCTCACGGACTTCCTCAACTTCAGAAGGCTTTGCATATTCAGGAGCTGGCAAAGTTTTCACTGTTTCTTCAACTATCTCTTCTGTGGGACCTTCTGTGATTGTTGTAATTGGAGCTTTGCCTTGTTCTTCGACAGTAACAACCTCCTGCACTGTCTGCTCCCTTCCTTTTCGTTTGATGACTTTCTTCTTGATGATCTTCTTTGGCTTACCCTCTTTGGTCATTTCTTCTGTGACAGTCACCTGTTCTCGTATTTCTTCCACTTCAGATGGTTTCACGACTTTTGGAACAGGCAGTGGTTTAAGTACTTCCTCAACCACTTCTTCTACAGGACCCTCAGTAACAGTGGTAACAGGGGCTTTTCCTTCTTCTTCAACCGTAACAATTTCGGTAATCTGTTGCTCTGGTCCTTTGCGTTTGGTTATCTTCTTCTTAGTAGTTTTCTTTGGTTTGCCTAGTTTAGTCAATTCTTCAGTCACCGTCACTTGTTCTCGTATCTCTTCGACTTCCGATGGCTTAGCATATTCTGGTGCTGGCAATGATTTAATAGTCTCGTCAATTACTTCTTCAACTGGTCCCTCTTGAACAGTGGTAACTGGAGCTTTTCCTTGTTCTTCAACCGTCACGACTTCCGTTACTTGTTGCTCCTTGCCCTTTTTCTTGATAATCTTCTTCTTGATCGTCTTCTTTGGTTTACCTTCTCGAGTTACTTCTTCTGTAACTGTCACTTGCTCGCGAACTTCTTCAATTTCTGATGGCTTAACAAATTCTAGAGCAGGAAGTGGCTTTATTTCTTCTTCAACAACTTCCTCCACAGGGCCTTCGGTTATCGTCGTCTTTGGCGCCTTTCCTTCCTCCTCCACCGTAACAAATTCTGTAACCTGCTGTTCTTTGCCTCTCTTTTTAATGACCTTTCTCTTGATTGTCTTCTTTGGCTTGCCTTCCTTCGTCACCTCTTTCGTGACAGTTACCTGTTCACGAACTTCTTCTACTTCTGATGGTTTTGCAAATTCTAGTGCAGGCAACTCCTTTATGGTTTCATCGACTATTTCTTCGACTGGTGCCTTGGTTACAGTGGTCACTGGAGCTTTACCTTGTTCCTCAACAGTAACAACTTCTGTTATCTGTTGTTCCTTGCCCTTTTTCTTGATGATCTTCTTCTTGATCGTCTTCTTAGGTTTACCTTCTCGAGTTACTTCTTCTGTAACAGTCACTTGCTCGCGAACTTCTTCAACTTCTGATGGCTTAACAAATTCTAGAGCAGGAAGTGGCTTTATTTCTTCTTCAACAACTTCCTCCACAGGGCCTTCGGTCATCGTCGTCTTTGGCGCCTTTCCTTCCTCCTCCACCGTAACAATTTCTGTAACCTGTTGTTCTTTTCCTTTCCGTTTAATGATCTTCTTCTTGGTAGTTTTCTTAGGTTTGCCAAGTTTCGTCATTTCTTGAGTCACTGTTACCTGCTCACGGACTTCTTCAACCTCGGATGGCTTAGCATACTTGGGCGCAGGTAACTGTTTTATCGTCTCATCGACTACTTCTTCAACAGGACCTTCGGTTACGCTTGTTACAGGAGCCTTACCTTGTTCTTCAACCGTAACAATTTCAGTTACCTGTTGTTCCTTACCCTTTTTCTTGATAATCTTCTTCTTGATCGTCTTCTTTGGTTTACCTTCTCGAGTTACTTCTTCCGTAACAGTTACTTGCTCGCGAACTTCCTCCACTTCTGATGGTTTGACAAATTCTGGTCCTGGAAGTGGTTTTATTTCTTCCTCGAGAACTTCCTCTACAGGACCTTCAGTCACAGTAGTTTCAGGAGCTTTTCCTTCTTCTTCGACCGTGACAACTTCAGTAACCTGCTGTTCTTTTCCTTTGCGTTTGATAACCTTCCTTTTGGTAGTTTTCTTTGGCTTGCCCAGTTTTGTAATTTCTTGAGTTACTGTCACTTGTTCTCTTACTTCCTCTACTTCTGATGGTTTCGCGTATTTAGGAGCAGGCAAGGCCTTCACCGTTTCATCGACCACTTCTTCAACTGGTCCTTCCTTCACAGTGGTCACAGGCACCTTACCTTCTTCCTCAACCGTGACAACTTCCGTAACTTGCTGTGCTTTGCCTTTCTTCTTGATGATCTTCTTTTTTATTGTTTTCATTGGCTTACCCTCTCGTGTTACTTCCTGCGTCACTGTTACCTGCTCATGGACTTCCTCAACTTCAGATGGTTTAACAAACTCTGGTGCAAGGAGCGGTTTTACTTCTTCTTCGACTACCTCTTCTACAGGCCCTTCAGTCACAGTCGTCTTTGGAGCCTTACCTTCTTCTTCAACTGTAACAATTTCTGTAACTTGTTGTTCTTTACCTTTGCGCTTGACAATCTTCTTCTTCGTAGTTTTCTTTGGTTTGCCCAATTTCGTTACTTCCTGCGTCACCGTCACTTGTTCGCGTACCTCTTCAACTTCTGATGGTTTAGCATACTCAGGAGCAGGCAATGATTTAATAGTCTCATCAACTACTTCCTCCACTGGTCCCTCGGTTACTGTGGTCACTGGCGCCTTTCCTTGCTCTTCGACAGTGACTATCTCTGTCACTTGCTGTTCTTTTCCTTTGCGCTTGATAATCTTCTTCTTTGTAGTCTTCTTCGGTTTTCCTAGCCTAGTTACTTCCTCTGTGACTGTAACCTGTTCGCGAACTTCTTGAACCTCGGTTGGTTTAACAAACTCTGGTATAGGAAGTTCCTGTATTTCTTCTATCACTACCTCTTCAACGGGTCCTTCCATCACAGTAGTTTTCGGTGCTTTACCTTCTTCTTCAACTGTAACAATTTCTGTGACCTGCTGTTCTTTTCCTTTACGTTTGATAATCTTCTTTCGGGTAGTTTTCTTTGGTTTTCCTAATTTTGTGACTTCTTGGGTCACTGTCACTTGTTCGCGTACTTCTTCTACTTCTGATGGTTTAGCATACTCTGGAGTAGGCAGTGCCTTCACTGTTTCTTCGACTACTTCTTCAACTGGTCCCTCAGTAACAGTCGTTACTGGTGCTTTACCCTGTTCCTCTACTGTAACAACCTCTGTGACCTGTTGTTCTTTACCCTTCTTCTTAATGATCTTTTTCTTGATCGTCTTCTTTGGTTTACCTTCTCTAGTTACTTCTTGAGTAACCGTCACTTGTTCACGTACTTCTTCCACTTCCCTTGGCTTAATAAATTCTGGTTTTATTTCTTCTTCGATTATCTCTTCTACAGGACCCTCGGTCACAGTCGTCTTAGGAGCTTTACCTTCTTCTTCAACTGTAACAATTTCCGTGACCTGCTGTTCTTTTCCTTTACGTTTGGTAATCTTCTTTTTGGTAGTTTTCTTTGGTTTTCCTAATTTTGTGACTTCTTGGGTCACTGTCACTTGTTCGCGTACTTCTTCCACTTCTGATGGTTTAGCATACTCTGCAGCAGGCAGTGCCTTCACTGTTTCGTCGACTACTTCTTCAACTGGTCCCTCAGTAACAGTCGTTACTGGTGCTTTACCCTGTTCCTCTACTGTAACAACCTCTGTGACCTGTTGTTCTTTACCCTTCTTCTTAATGATCTTTTTCTTGATCGTCTTCTTTGGTTTACCTTCTCTAGTTACTTCTTGAGTAACCGTCACTTGTTCACGTACTTCTTCCACTTCCCTTGGCTTAATAAATTCTGGTTTTATTTCTTCTTCGATTATCTCTTCTACAGGACCCTCGGTCACAGTCGTCTTAGGAGCTTTACCTTCTTCTTCAACTGTAACAATTTCTGTGACCTGCTGTTCTTTTCCTTTACGTTTGATAATCTTCTTTTTGGTAGTTTTCTTTGGTTTGCCTAATTTTGTGACTTCTTGGGTCACTGTCACTTGTTCACGTACCTCTTCTACTTCTGATGGTTTAGCATACTCTGGAGCAGGTAGTGCCTTTACTGTTTCGTCGACTACTTCTTCTACTGGTCCCTCAGTAACAGTCGTTACTGGTGCTTTGCCTTGTTCCTCTACTGTAACTACTTCTGTGACCTGTTGCTCCTTACCCTTTTTCTTAATGATCTTTTTCTTGATCGTCTTCTTTGGTTTACCTTCTCTAGTTACTTCTTGAGTAACTGTCACTTGTTCACGTACTTCTTCCACTTCCCTTGGCTTAATAAATTCTGGTTTTATTTCTTCTTCGATTATCTCTTCTACAGGACCCTCGGTCACAGTCGTCTTAGGAGCTTTACCTTCTTCTTCAACTGTAACAATTTCTGTGACCTGCTGTTCTTTTCCTTTACGTTTGATAATCTTCTTTTTGGTAGTTTTCTTTGGTTTGCCTAATTTTGTGACTTCTTGGGTCACTGTCACTTGTTCACGTACCTCTTCTACTTCTGATGGTTTAGCATACTCTGGAGCAGGTAGTGCCTTTACTGTTTCGTCGACTACTTCTTCTACTGGTCCCTCAGTAACAGTCGTTACTGGTGCTTTGCCTTGTTCCTCTACTGTAACTACTTCTGTGACCTGTTGCTCCTTACCCTTTTTCTTAATGATCTTTTTCTTGATCGTCTTCTTTGGTTTACCTTCTCTAGTTACTTCTTGAGTAACCGTCACTTGTTCACGTACTTCTTCCACTTCCCTTGGCTTAATAAATTCTGGTTTTATTTCTTCTTCGATTATCTCTTCTACAGGACCCTCGGTCACAGTCGTCTTAGGAGCTTTACCTTCTTCTTCAACTGTAACAATTTCTGTGACCTGCTGTTCTTTTCCTTTACGTTTGATAATCTTCTTTTTGGTAGTTTTCTTTGGTTTTCCTAATTTTGTGACTTCTTGGGTCACTGTCACTTGTTCGCGTACTTCTTCTACTTCTGATGGTTTAGCATACTCTGGAGCAGGTAGTGCCTTTACTGTTTCGTCGACTACTTCTTCTACTGGTCCCTCAGTAACAGTCGTTACTGGTGCTTTGCCTTGTTCCTCTACTGTAACTACTTCTGTGACCTGTTGCTCCTTACCCTTTTTCTTAATGATCTTTTTCTTGATCGTCTTCTTTGGTTTACCTTCTCTAGTTACTTCTTGAGTAACCGTCACTTGTTCACGTACTTCTTCCACTTCCCTTGGCTTAATAAATTCTGGTTTTATTTCTTCTTCGATTATCTCTTCTACAGGACCCTCGGTCACAGTCGTCTTAGGAGCTTTACCTTCTTCTTCAACTGTCACAATTTCTGTAACCTGTTGCTCCTTACCTTTGCGTTTGATAATTTTCTTTTTGGTAGTTTTCTTTGGCTTGCCTAATTTCGTCACTTCCTGAGTCACGGTCACTTGCTCGCGTACTTCTTCCACTTCTGATGGCTTAGCATATTCAGGAGCAAGTAGTGGTGTGATCGTTTCTTCCACTACTTCTTCAACTGGTCCCTCTTTTACAGTGGTAACTGGTGCTTTTCCTTGTTCTTCTACAGTGACTACTTCCGTCACTTGTTGTTCCTTTCCTTTGCGTTTGATAATCTTTTTCTTAATGGTCTTCTTTGGTTTGCCCATTTTGGTTAGTTCTTCAGTTACTGTTACCTGTTCTCGTACTTCCTCGACTTCTGTTGGTTTGACAAATTCTGGTATAGGAAGTTCTTTTATTTCTTCTATCATTACTTCTTCTACAGGACCTTCGGTCACAGTCGTTGTTGGTGCCTTGCCTTCTTCCTCAACCGTAACCACCTCCGTGACCTGTTGTTCTTTTCCTTTACGTTTGATTATCTTCTTCTTGGTAGTCTTCTTTGGTTTGCCTAATCTTGTCACTTCCTCCGTTACCGTCACCTGTTCACGAACTTCTTCAACTTCTGACGGTTTAGCGTATTTCGGGGCGGGTAATTTCTTTATTATCTCTTCAACTACCTCTTCAACTGGACCTTCGGTGATACTGGTTATCGGAGCTTTACCTTGTTCTTCAACGGTAACAACTTCGGTAACCTGCTGTTCTTTTCCTTTACGCGTTATCACTTTCTTCTTCGTCGTCTTTCTAGGTTTACCTTCTTTGGTTATTTCTTCTGTAACAGTTACCTGTTCCTCCACTTGTTGTACCGTAGGTGTCAACTTCTTCCGTGGTTTCAGAGGTATAGTTTTTTCCTCAGGTACTTCTTCCACTAGATATTCCTCTTTTTCTATTTTAGGACGTTCTTCGATGTCTTCTTCAATAATCTCTACGGGTTTCGTCACCACTGTTGTTTCCGGTGCTTTCCCTTCCTCCTCTACTGTTATCTCTTCCGTCACTTGACGTGTTTTTCCACGTCTCCTTACGAATTGTTTCTTGGTGACCTTCTTTTTCTTATCTGTATCCTGAACCTCGGTTATTGTCACCTCCACTTTCTCTTCTTCTTTCGGTGCGATTTCTTCAGCCTCATCGATTCTTGCCGATACTATTTCTTCTACGTCCGACACTGTTGTCACTTCTTCGATTGGCATGAACTGTTTCTTCGGTATAGATGGTATTTTCGGTTTTATGTCGTCAAGTTCTTCTTCGATTACCACGACAATGTCTTCTTCGCCCGTTGTCTTCGGCTTCTTTCTAACTATCGTTTTCTTTGTTTTAACAGCCGCGGTCGCGTCCTCGGTACTGCCGCGCCTAAATTTCGTTGTGTACTCTTCGATCACCTCTGTATCAGATTCGATCGATTGTTGCTGTGGCAAATCGTGTTTTGTTGTGTGTTGTGTGATTGTGATGTGATGTTGTTGCGCTGGTGCTTCTGTGGTTTCTGAAATGTATACAGAACAAAGTGTGATACGATTAACTTGTGTCCACTAGTGTCATTATTCTGCTCGATTGCTTTTCTTTACTTTTTGGTTTGACTTCTCATTACCCTGACAAACCCACTTTGTTTCTTTTCTTTTCTCACCGGGCCATTGTATGTTGTATATCGTGTCATTACCATTATAATGTTCAGTGAATGATCTGTGGATGTGTCCTGTGTGTCTGTTACCGTGTGATGTCCACCATGATGTCAATACACATGTACCTACCTTTCATATTTCCTAATATACCTACACCATAACCACCCTACGATCCGTAAAACCTGCAAGCGCGCGTTTTATCTTCACCTTCGTTCGACCATCTCCTATATTCTCTCAAGAAACTTTAATCTTCATTTCGTTCTCCAGTCCGTTCCTAATCGTCAACGTAACAGTCCGTCCCGTCCATGGTAGTTTCATACCTTGATAACAATAATACTCACCCACAATGTGTTCCAGGTGGTCAGCTTGGATAGAAACTCTGGCTAACTTAGCGAAAGGTAATACAGACTCGGGCAGTTCTGACTCAAATTCATGGGCAGTCAGGTGTTCAGTTACTATTACACCTTGTTGAATTTCATCGACACCTTTGGCGGTTTTGCCTTCTGGCTTTTTCACTTTGAACTCTGAAGCCATGTCCTCCGGTTGAACCTCGGTTTTCAACGCGACCTTTCGTTCGATCACGTCCGCTTGAGCGGAAGCCTCTTTAGCTACGCCTTTGATCACTTCCTTCGATTCTTTCTCTGTGGCGGTCACCTGGGTGACCTCGAGACTCTCAGAAACGCGGAAGGATACTTCAGCCGTGGCAGAAGTTGTTGTCTTTTCAACGACGAAAGTGCTCTCCCTTTCCTGGGTCAGAGTTTGCGACTGTTCTATGCTTTCGAATGGAATTTGTTCAGGGATTATCTGTTTTGTGTCCGGTTTAATCGATTCCTGCAATTCTCCTGTGATCGAAGATGCGATCACTTGAGACTTCTCGGCAACCTGGATACCCAGAAGACTGGGTTTAGCGGTTTCTTCGGTTGGTTTGTCAGGAGTCGGCAGTCCCTTCTCCACCTCTCCAAGAGCTACTTCTGATACCGATAGCGATAACAATTCTTCCAACTGTGGCTTTCCTTTCTGTTCCTCGGGTGCTTTCGGTTTCGCAAATTCCTCGGTCATCGTCATCGTCAGGACCTCTGATTTTTCAGCTACCTCTATACCAGACAGTTGTGGAAGAGCCTTGCGTTCTTTGGGAGCCTCTGGGGCAGGTAGCTCCTTCTCAGCTTCCGTGGAAACTACTTCAGAGACAGTGATGAAACTCATCTCTTCCACATCTGGTATTCCCTTCTGACCTTCAGGTTTCTCAAGTTTCTGCATCTCCTCGACGTTACTCACCGTTAAGACTTCTGTCTTTTCGGCTACTTCTCTGCCGATCATCTGTGGCTGAGCGACCTTCTCGCTAGGCTTCTCAGGAGATGGTAAGGTTTCTTCAAGTTCGTTAGAGACAACCTGGGAGACTGTAATAGATGTCAATTCATCCAGCCGTGGTTTTCCTTTCTGTTCTTCGGGTAGTACCGATTTCTCAAACTCTTCAACGTTGGATACCGTGAGAACCTGACTGGTCTCTGCCACTTCTCTTCCTGACAAAGCAGCTTTAGCTGTTACTGTACCTGGTGCTTCAAGTTTTTCTAGGATCTCCTCGGTTTCGTGGGACACTGCCTGGGAGACTGTAAGCGAGGTAAGTTCTTCGACGTTCGGTACACCTTTCTGTTGTTCCGGTGCGCGATCAGTCGTCAGTTCGGTGGCACTGATCATAGTCAATATCTGTGTGGTTTCTGCAACGTCCCGACCAATCAGGCTAGGCTGAGCCATTTTCTCTGTCGGAACTTCAGGACTTGGTAGAACGTCCTCCTTTTCAGTGGAGACTGTTTGCGACACAGACAGAGAAACGAATTCTTCCAAACCAGGAACTCCTTTTTGTTCTTCAGGTATCTTGGATTCAGCCATGATGTCCACGTTCGACATACTCGTTACGAGCATCGTTTGTGCAACGTCTCTGCTTGTCATACTTGGCTGAGCTTCTCTTTCCACAGGTACTTCAGCCGATGGTAACGCTTCTTCTGCTTCTTGAGAAACTACCTGTGACACTGTCAATGGTGCCAGTTCCTCGATTTGTGGTTTACCTTTCTGTTCTTCGGGTACTTTGGCTGCTAGAAGCTCTTCGGCGCTAGCCATGGTTAACACCTGGCTGGTCTCAGCAACGTCCCTTCCGAGCAGACTAGGTTGGGCCGTCTTCTCTTTTGGAATCTCTGCAGTGGGTAATGCTTCTTCAGCTTCTTCAGATACTACGTGGGAGACTGTGAGAGGAGTCAATTCGTCCAGTTTCGGTTGAACCTTCTGTTCTTCGGGTGCCTTGGATTTTAGAAGCTCTTCGGCACTGATCATCGTTAATACTTCCGTTGTTTCAGCTACTTCGATGCTGGATAGCTGAGGAAGCGCTGTACGCTCTTTAGGAACTTCTGGACTAGGCATTTCTTTCTCCATTTCTGTGGAAAACACTTCGGAGACTGTGATGAAACTCATCTCTTCCACGTCTGGCTTTCCTGTTTGACCCTCTGGTTTCTCGAGTTTCTTCAATTCTTCGACATTCGTGACAGTTAAGACTTCCGTCTGCTCTGCTACTTCTCTGCCAATCATCTGAGGCTGGGCGATCTTCTCGCTAGGTTTCTCTGGAGACGGTAGTGTCTCTTCAAGTTCATTGGACAAAACCTGGGAGACTGTTATAGACGTCAATTCGTCCAAACGTGGCTTTCCTTTCTGCCCTTCGGGTAGTATTGATTTCTCAAACTCTTCCACATTGGATACCGTTAAAACCTGACTCGTCTCTGCTACCTCTCTTCCCGATAGTGCAGCTTTCGCAGTTACTGTACTAGGTGCTACAGCCTTTTCTAGGATCTCTTCAGTTTCGTGAGACACTGTCTGAGAAACTGTTAGCGAGGTCAGTTCTTCTACGTTTGGTACACCTTTCTGTTGGTCTGGTGCATGACCTGTTGTCAGTTCCATGGCACTGATCATCGTCAGAACCTGCATGGTCTCTGCAACGTCTCTTCCGATCAGACTAGGTTGAGCCATCTTCTCTGTTGGTACCTCAGGACTGGGTAAAACATCCTCCTTTTCGGTGGAGACCATCTGAGACACTGACAGAGGAATGAATTCCTCCAAACCTGGAGCACCAGTTTGTGCAGCAGGTTTCTTGTCTTCGATCAGTGTATCTAAACTAGCCATCGTCAACACCTCCATCGTTTCAGCTACGTCTCTTCCTGTCAGATCAGGTTGGGCTGTCCTCTCTGTTGGAGCTTCAGGTATTGGCAAAGTTCCTTCTGCTTCTTGAGATACTACCTGAGAGACAGTTAAAGGTGCCAGTTCCTCTACTTGTGGTTTGCCTTTCTGTTCTTCAGGGACTTTGGGTGCTAGAAGCTCTTCAGCACTGGCCATGGTTAACACCTGAGTGGTCTCTGCTATGTCTCTTCCGAGCATGCTCGGTTCGGCTGTCTTCTCTTTTGGTTTTTCAGCTTCTGGTAAACGCTCTTCAGCTTCTCCAGATACTATCTGTGATACTGTAAGTGGCGTGAGTTCCTCCAACTGTGGCTTACCTTTCTGTTCTTCTGGTAATACATCTTTCTGTAGTTCTCCAACAGTTGTTACGGTAAGAACTTGACTGGTCTCTGCAACTTCTCTTCCCAAGAAGGCGGGTTTAGCTGTCGCTTCGCTCGGTGCGACAGCTTTCTCCAGGATATCTTCAGCTTCGTGAGACACTGTCTGAGAAACTGTGAGCGATGTCAATTCCTCAACGTTCGGTTTTCCTTTTTGTTCTTCCGGTGCTTTAGTTGTTAGCTGCTCTTCGCTAACCATCGTCAAAACCTGAAGAGTTTCTGCTACGTCATGACCAGTCAAGCTTGGCTGTGCCATCTTGGTTGTAGGCACTTCAGGGCTGGGCAGCACGTCTTCTTTTTCAGTGGAGACTGTCTGTGACACGGACAGAGGTACGAATTCTTCCAGACCAGGAATACCTCTCTGTTCCTCAGGTTTCTTTTCTTCGATCATGATATCTACGTTCGCCATACTCATTACCACTGTGGTTTGTGCCACGTCTCTTCCTGTCAGGTCAGGTTGTGCCTTCCTCTCGGTTGGTGCTTCTGGCACTGGCAATACCCCTTCAGCTTCCTGAGATACTACTTGGGAGATAGTTAATGGAGCTAACTCTTCGACTTGTGGTTTTCCTTTCTGTTCTTCTGGTGCCTTCGGTGCCATCAGCTCTTCAGCACTGGCCATGGTTAACACCTGAGTGGTCTCTGCTATGTCTCTTCCTAGCATACTTGGTTCAGCAGTCTTCTCCTTAGGAACTTCAGCTGTCGGCAGGCCTTCTTCAGCTTCTCCAGATATTATTTGCGAAATCGTAAGTGGTGTTAATTCTTCCAATTTCGGTTTACCTTTCTGCTCCTCGGGTAGTACATGCTTTTCTAATTCTCCAACGTTTAATACAGCGAGGATCTCGCTGGTCTGCGCGATTTCTCTTCCGGTAAACGCAGGTTTAGCAGTTGCCTCGCTCGGTGCTGCAGACTTCTCCAGAATCACTTCCGTTTCCTGCGAGATGGTTTGAGAAACAGTAAGCGATGTCAGCTCTTCGACATTGGGTTTCCCTTTGTGCGTTTCTGGCGCAAGAGCAGTTATCAGTTCTTCTTCGCTCGTCATTGTTACCACCTGCATAGTTTCTGCTATGTCACGACCAGTCAGACTTGGTTGTGCCATCTTCGTGGTAGGTGCTTCAGGACTTGGTAGCACATCCTCCTTCTCAGTGGAGACTGTCTGTGACACGGATAAAGGTACGAATTCTTCCACACCAGGAACACCTTTCTGTTCTTCAGGTTTCTTGTCTTCAATCATCACGTCTGCGCTCGCCATACTCATTACGACTGTGATTTGTGCCACGTCTCTGCCTGTCAGATCAGGTTGTGCCTGTCTTTCCGTTGGTGCTTCAGGCACTGGCAACACTCCCTCTGCTTCCTGAGAAACAACCTGGGAAACAGTAAGCGGTGCCAGTTCTTCGACTTGTGGCTTTCCTTTCTGTTCTTCTGGTGCTTTGGGTGCTGCAAGCTCTTCAGCACTGGTCATGGTTAACACCTGAGTGGTTTCTGCAATGTCCCTCCCAAGCATGCTCGGCTGAGCTGTCTTTTCTTTCGGTTTCTCAGCCTCTGGCAAACGTTCTTCGACTTCTCCCGACACAACCTGCGACACCGTAATAGAAGTCATCTCGTCCACGCGAGGTTTACCTTTCTGTTCTTCAGGTAGTATTTGTTTCTCCAGCTCTCCTACGTTCGTTACGATCAACGTTTCACTCGTTTGTGCAACCTCTCTTCCGGTGAACGCAGGTTTGGCAGTTACTTCCCCAAGTGCTGCAGCTTTCTCCAGAATCTCTTCAGTCTCGTGTGATATGGTTTGAGAAACTGTTAGCGATGTCAGTTCTTCGACGTTGAATATACCCTTGTGCTGTTCAGGGACACGAGCTGATATTAATTCTTCTTCGCTGGTCATGGTTACAACCTGCATGGTCTCCGCTATGTCGCGACCAGTCAGACTTGCTTCTGCTACCTTAGTCGTGGGTGCTTCAGGACTGGGTAGAACCTCTTCCTTTTCGGTAGAGACCGTCTGCGAGACAGACAGAGGTACGAATTCTTCTAAACCTGGTACACCTTTCTGTTCAGCAGGTTTCTTGTCCTCGGTCAAAGTATCTACACTCGCCATAGTCAAAACCTCCATCATTTCAGCAACGTCTCTTCCTGTTAAATCAGCCTGAGCCTTCCTTTCGGTTGGTGCTTCAGGTACTGGTAATATTCCCTCTGCTTCTTGAGAAACAACCTGAGAAACAGTTAACGGTGCTAGCTCTTCAATCTGCGGTTTTCCTTTCTGTCCTTCAGGTGCTTTGGGTGCTTCAAGCTCTTCAGCACTGGTAACAGTTAACACCTGAGTGGTCTCTGCGATATCTCTTCCTAAAATGCCTGGCTGAGCTGTCTTTTCCTTCGGTTTCTCAGCTTCTGGTAAACCTTCTTCAACTTCGCCTGATATTATTTGCGAGATTGTAAGAGGTGTTAATTCGTCAAGTTGTGGCTGACCTTTTTGTTCGTCAGGTAGTACCTGTTTCTCCAGTTCTCCAACGTTAGTTACAATCATTATCTCGCTAGTTTGTGCAACTTCTCTTCCTGAGAAAGCTGGTTTAGCAGTTACCTCGGTTGGTGCTGCAGCTTTCTCCAGTATTTCTTCAGCTTCTTGCGATACCGTCTGCGACACCGTGAGTGGTGTCAGTTCTTCCACGTTCGGTTTGCCCTTGTGTTGTTCAGGAGTTTGAGCTGTTATCAACTCTTCTTCACTGGTCATTGTTAATATCTGCATGGTTTCTGCAACATCACGACCTGTTAGACTCGGTTGAGCTATCTTCGTGGACGGTGCTTCTGGACTGGGTAGAACATCCTCCATTTCGTTCGACACTGTTTGAGTCACAGACAGAGGAACAAATTCTTCCAATTCCGGATGTCCTTTCTGTTCGTCAGGTTTCTTATCTTCAGTGAACGTGTCCACGCTGGTCATGGTCAACACTTCCATCGTTTGAGCTATGTCTCTGCCTGTCATGTCAGGTTGAGCCTTCCTTTCGGTTGGCGCTTCAGGTGCCGGTAATATTCCCTCGGCTTCTTCAGAAACGACCTGAGAAACAGTTAACGGTGCTAGTTCTTCAACTTGTGGCTTGCCTTTCTGTCCTTCTGGTGCTTTGGGTGCCGCAAGCTCTTCAGCACTGGTAACAGTTAACACCTGTGTGGTCTCTGCGATATCTCTTCCTAAAATGCCTGGTTGAGCTGTCTTTTCCTTTGGTTTCTCAGCTTCTGGTAAGCCTTCTTCAACTTCGCCTGATATTACCTGTGACACTGTGAGCGGCATCAGCTCGTCCAGTTGGGCTTGTCCTTTCTGCTCGTCAGGTAGTACCTGTTTCTCCAGTTCTCCAACGTTAGTTACGATCATCATCTCGCTGGTCTGAGCGACTTCCCTTCCCGAAAAGGCTGGTTTGGCGGTTACCTCGCTCGGTGCTGCGGTCTTCTCGAAGACATCTTCAGCTTCGTGCGACACGGTTTGAGAAACAGTGAGCGGTGTCAGTTCTTCAACGTTAGGTATACCTTTGTGTGTTTCCGGTGCGAGAGCAGTGATCAACTCCTTCTCGCTAGTCATCATCACTACTTGCATGGTTTCTGCTATGTCGCGACCAGTTAGACTTGGCTGCGCTGTCTTCGTGGTAGGTGCTTCAGGGCTAGGTAGAACATCCTCCTTTTCGGTAGACACTGTCTGCGATACAGACAGAGGAACAAATTCTTCCAAACCTGGCATACCCTTCTGTTCGGTTGGTTTGACGTCTTCTGCTAAGATGTCGGCACTCGTCATGGTCAACACTTCCATCGTTTCAGCTATGTCTCTGCCTGTCATGTCGGGTTGTGCCTTTCTTTCCGTCGGCGCTTCAGGGGCTGGTAGCGCTGATTCTGCTTCTTGAGATACCACCTGAGACACTGACAAAGGTGTTAACTCTTCTACCTGCGGCTTCCCCTTTTGTCCTTCCGGCGCCTTCGGTGCAGCAAGCTCTTCAGCGCTGGTCACAGTGAGTACCTGCATCGTCTCGGCGACGTCTCTGCCAAATATGTTTGGTTGAGCTGTTTTCTCTTTAGGAACCTCTGCTGTTGGTAGCTCCTTTTCAGCTTCCCCAGTTTCCACATGAGAAACTGTAAGAGGTGTCAGTTCGTCCACTTGAGGTTTGCCTTTCTGTTCTTCGGGTCGCTTCACAGCGAGATCCTCCGCTTCTGTCATAGCGGTCACTTGGGTTGTCTCTGCAGCTTCTCTGCCAGAGACGTTGAAGTCTGCCTTCTGATCTTTAGGCGTGGCCTTAGTAGTGAAGACGTCTTCTGTTTCATTCGAGATCACTTCTGATATGATAGTCGACGATAGCTCCTCTACCTCTACTCTACCCTTCTCTTCCTTCATCTTGGTCTCTTTCTTCAAGGTTTCAGCACTGCTCGCTGTAATCACCTGCATCACTTCAGGAATACTAATGGATGTTAATTCAGTGAGAGCTACATTGGCTGTCTTTTGATCCGGTCTCACATCAGTCTTGTACAAATCTTCCTTCTCAGCCAACTCTTGCACGGCTACAGTGATGCTTTCTAGAGGAACATGGGACGGCTGAGCTATACCGGAAGTAGGTTTCTGATCCGGTAGGTATTCCTCGGTAGGCGAATGTGACCTAACTTCTTCGAGCATCGGTGCTACTTGGGTAGTGAATTCTGTGCTGGCATACGCTCCCTTCACGTCGGATACCTGGGTGTATTCGGTTTCCTTCTCACTCACGACCACCATGGTGGTGTGCAGACTCTCAACTTCGTTCATGGCAATTTCAGCTACCTTGGTCTCGGGAGCTTTATCCTTTTCAACGGGAGCTAAATTCTCGGCGACGACTGTCTCGCCTACTATAGTTTCCTGCAAACTGACGTGTTCCACCTTCGCCGTGCCAGAGGAAGGCACCTCCTTCTTCACTTCGCCTAGATTGTCCTCCGGCTGGGTCATCTCTACCTCCAACGAAACGACAGGATGGGTAGGCACAGTCTTACCACGATGAGACTCGGGCATCTCGAAGACCCTCAAATCAGCCTCCTTTTCAACCGAAGTAGTCTGGAATACCTCAACGCTTCTGTTCACATCGTAGCTCGTGTCTACCATACGTTCTTCAGGTTTCACCATTTCCTCCATCCTCTCCTCGCGGTCGTGGGTCAAGGTCTCCTGGATCATCTTAGCTTCGGTTAATTGTACAGATACCGTTCCACTTTCCTGGACGTACTTCAACTCCTCTCTGAAGTCTGACGGATAATCTGCTGTTTGAATTTCAGAGATCATCACGTGTTCTTCCGGTCTGATCGAGGTCTCTGCTAATGCCTTCGTTGGCTTCTCATCGGGACGATAAACTCCTTCTGATTCTTGAACAACGGTACTCTGAATCGATCCAATCTCTAACGAAGATATGGATGTCTCTGCTGTCTTCGTGTCTGGTTTGTCACCTGGCTGGTACTCCTTCTCTTTCTCCGAGGGCACCGTCTCAACAGTCACCGCTGGAGTCATCTCGATGACGTTCAAATCAGCCACGGCCTTCTTCGTCTCTTCGATCGTTAAGCTAGTCTCCGTGTCCTGTGTTTGAACCGTGGACACGGACACTCCTTCGAGTACAGTGACGTTAGTGGTAGCTTCGAAGGTCTCGGTCTTCTTTTCAGAGATAAATACTCCTTCGCTTTCCTGCACGACGTTCTGCTGGACCACGGCAGTCTCGTTTCCGTACGATATTCCAATTTGTGCTACTTGACTCGGTGGTAGTCTTCCTGGTATATATTCGCCTTCCTTCTCAGGCGCGTGCATCTCTTCGGTAACTCTTTGACGCTGAGAGATGACACTCTGCGTTGCCACTTCCGTAGGGACGATCAATTCCGGATAATACTTTCCTGGCTTATCCTCCGCGCGAACCTCTTCGACCACCAACGGTTCAACAGCTGTAACGTTCACTCTCGGTTTCGTCGCCACCGTCTTCAGGGGCTCCAGTTTGTCTTCGGTTAAACCTTCGTGCACTTCGTACACGGACAAGCTTAATTGAGGTAGAATAGTGTCTTCAGCTTTGACAGTCTGCGGCGTCACGAAGTCCTCTGTCGGTACTTCTTTCTCCCTCACCATCGTTTCGTAGACCGTCGTAGCTTCCTGAAGAGTCACGCTTACTTCCGCTGTCCTACCGATCTCCTGTTTGCTCACGGACAAACTTGTCACGCCAGCGTCGCTGACCAAAGTCTCGCTGACCTGCACACCTTCCGATGGAATTATTCCTGGTGTTGCCTCGTACGATGTTGGCTTGAACGTGTCTGCGAATTCACCGGTGGACGCTTGGACAGTTGTCTCCGTGGTCGAGTACGGTTCCACCGGTGAGATGGACAGTGATGCTTTGCGTTCGATGGGTTTTATTCGACTGATGTCGCTGATCTCCTTCTCTTGTACTGGTACAATGTGTTCTGTCAATGCAGTTATCGTGTCTACTGTTAATTTTGCTTTTTCTAATTCAGGTTTTCCAGGCGCCTGTTCAGTGGTTCGGTCTAATGGTACCACTTGGTGACGTTGACTAGGAACGTTCACCATGATTGATGGCATTGATTTATCTTCGGTCACGTCGAATTCTTCGATTTCCTCGAGTTCAACCTCGTCTCTGCCGATCTTAGGTCGCTTTGGCTTCAGTTCTTTTCTTACTTTCTCTATAATCTCTTCTTCTTCTTCAACATCCTCCTTCTCTTCTAAATCATCGCGTTTCTTTTTCTTTTGAGCCAGCCTGCCCTTCGAGTCTGTTTCAACGATCACGGTTTCGATCTCTTCCTCGATCTCTTCCACGTCCTTTCGCTTCTTCTTCATCTTCTCTTGTTCGGTATCCTCGATCTCTTCGATCTCTACAACCTGAACCCCCTCGTCCCTATCTTCCTTTGTCTCTTCCCTCGGTTTTCTATCTTTTCGTGCGCGCAGTGTTGTGTGTGTCTGCCGTGTGTCCTCGTATTCTGTGGAAATTATGTGAGAATTTTCGTGTCAATCAAAACGCGAGTGTCTGACCGTATCGTATATGAGAAAACCTTATCTCGCTCGCTCGCACGCTCGTTCTCGCATTCGTTTTCTTTTTATCCTTTTTTTTTTTTTTTTGTGTTAGACGTAAATCATCATTCTCTTGCAGATATCATGCGACGTACCAATTGAGCGGATGCTGCGTTTCGCTTCAGACAACAAAACTTTCGTGCTTCAACGAAACAAGAGCGGCAAAAAAACTTAAGAAAATCTACGATGCACCAGCCTTGTACGGAAATTGGAAAAGAAAGAAATAAAACAACGTGCTGAAGAAAGAACAGTTGGACAACAGCGGACAGTGTATAAACAGCGGTGTGGTTTTTTCCATTTCACGCTTTCATTCTACGCGATTTCCAAAGGTATCGTATTAATTTTTTCTTTTATTCCAATGTCAGATGCATTGGATCCTTTCAGGAGGAATTGTTGTATAAATAATATTCGTAACAATATGCTATTACGAATATTATAACGTTGTCCAATAAAATTTGTAAAGAAATTTTTATTTTATACGATTCCTGAAAAATTTTTAGATCATCGAATAATCCAAAGAATATTCTATAATAAAATAAAATTTTGTAGAAATTCGTCCCGAAGGAGGCAATAGTCATCAGTCAAATTAAACGAATGTTTCGATTTCTAATAAAAGAAGATACGTTTCGCAGTGTCTTTGTGTTTTTAAATGTATAATCATCGTCGAATTACGATGTCTCTGGAATGTTTAATTGTGTGCAATAGTGCTGAATCGCATGCGTTGTTCAACGTGTCAGGTGTGTGTAAATTCTGTGTAGTGGCAGAACAGGCCGGCTAGAAGTCAAACCAACATAAACAGCAAAAATAAAAAATAAAAAAAGAAGAGAAGACGTTCATCTGTTACACATCGTGCTTTCTACTACAATAAACAACAAAGAAACGTAAAAATCAATCTTTCCTCTGATCTCAAATTATCTCGTATGTAGGACAACACTGTTATACGGAAGAGAATCATGTGAGTGTGTGGCTTGAATGTGTAACAGTAACAATAAATAACGTAACAAGTTGCATTCAATAAATACAGGTTATCAGAATCAATATGCAAAACTGATAAAATGATAAATCATACGTTACATAGAAACCGTGAAATTTATTGAAAAAGAATAAGGGAAGAAGTGACATTTTTAGGAAAAATTTCACTTTCCCACGTGCTATCTTACGAAATTAATTATGACACTAATGATAATTAGAATTTTTCGAATTTTACTTATCCTTCAATCAAGTTCATTTTATTTTACCACTTACTTTCCAAAGTGAATAAAATATTAAGGCTGTTTAAAATTTAATTTTCCTGCAACTTATTTCACGATTTCTTCAAAAATAAAACGCAAACAACAATGAAATGAAATCAAATGAAAAATATGAAACGCATTGAAAAAATTGTTAAATATATGGATTAATGCGTGCTAGAAGCAAAAATGATGTCTTACTTACATTGAAACTGCATTAGCAGCATGAAGCTCGATACGCGAAGCGTTTAATGCTGGATTGTTTGATGTTGGATCGGAATAGTGATTAAAACTGGTTGGTTGATTAAACAATGAAATAGAGGAGAATAATCGTAATTGAAGGGACACGGCGCGTGGAAAGCATAGCGGCATAAGCTGAACAATTTTTACTGCTATTATTCGATCTAGTAAAGCTTCATGCATCTGAAAGAATAATAAAATAACAATCATTACGTAGAGACTCGTTATCGTATGATCTATTACGCACGTTACTTATTTTTTTTTTTTTTTTCAATGATCGACCCGATTAGTCTGCGCAAGTGAGATGATTCTTCATTAAACGATTATGATGATCTTCAAGCTTAACACTATCATATGGAATGTATGAATGAAAAATTTTGTATCCGTTCAGAATTGACCACATTCCGTTCAGAATTAAGACCAATGTCATAAAAATCAGTTATTTTGTAAGTAATTAGAAGAGAAAGTTGTAATACAATTTTTTTTTGTTATATTAAAATTAATGGAATGCTCTATATACAGGGTGTCCTGGTGGTGTTATCAAAAGGGTGCTGTTGAAAATTAGAATAAAATTTCTTCATAAAGTCCAGTATAGAAAAATTATATTTTAAAATTAGCACCTCTTCGATAACATCGTTAGTTCAGAAGCACCCTGTAGATTCAAGAAATTGAATCTTCAGGTACGTAAGAGATGAACATTAATAAAATTAAAATAAATGCTAGATATAGGAATCGTCGATGTGGCGTCGACTGTTCGGACACGATGATCTCTACGTCGAAAATATGACGAGAAATATTATTAATGGTGGTCTCCATTCATGAATCGAATGTTCAATTATTCGAATGTATATCCCATGCACTGAAACTCGTTGCTTCAAACCTTTAATGTCACGAATATCCTGCGTGCGGACGGCTTTTCTTTCGTCCCTCCTCTCTGCAATCAAAAAAGCCAAACTTTTCTTTCTCTTCTTTTCATTTCAAAAGGAACACTCAGGAATAGGAAATCAAGTGAGCCAAAAAATAATTTAAAAAAAAAAGAGAAAACAAAAACACACAGCTGTTATTATGGCACCTTGATAAAAATACAAAAATCATTTTTATTTAACAACAAAATGTACAATGTACAAAATATATAAAATATTAGCGTAGAAATGTAAAAAATTTCATTGCCTTCAGATATTTATATACAGAAAAGAAAAAAACTCATGCGTAGATTCAGCTTAGATCTAATTGCGAAGCCTGAAAAATATTTACAAAATAAAACGAAACTGTACAAATTATTTTTGTAGGCAGCCACGCAAGCACACACCAAAAATACACGATGTTTTAGAGTCTAGAGTAATATTCGCAACGGTCCTGTTACGTTGCCTTCTCCAAGGATCGTATCCTTCATTTCAATTCAAACATCACACATCGCAATCTCGACTTACCCATAAAGTGGACTTCCGTCTTGCGAACGACATCCACTCGTTCTGTAACCCGTTCTTCCGTTTCAACCTGAAGAATATTATTTTTAAATGGCTACCATATATACATATAGATATTTTAGTAGATAACACTGAACTCCATGCAAGTGATTTGTAACTGTATAAGAAATAAATAAACGTAATTAATTTTCAAATATGAATAATTAATGCTAATTTTCCTGATATGATATTTTTTTTAGCAAGTGCAGCGTATGTCCTTACTTCCGTAGCTTCGGTAACCTCCCAAGCACGTGGCCGGAAGTCCTCCGGAGCGAAGTGCGTGAGCACCTCTTCCACGGTGACGTGTTGCAGTTCGATCATCCTCATGAAGGCGCGGAAACCAACGGTCGCAGCCACGACGCTTTCGTCGGTGGTCGTCTCTTCGGTTAGAACCTGAGTGATAAGAGGTCCGTGACCTTCTCTCTCGACCAATTGAACAAGAGCGTTCTGTGCCTCAGGTGTCTTCAGGGCAGGGAAGTTCTCGGTCCTGTAAAGACTTTCGTTGATTTCATTCACGGAGACACCTTGACGAACCAGGTAACCGATAGTGGCCAGTTCACGAAGAGGAGCCTCTCCAGGCCCGAATTCTTTCGCGTGTAACATCTCCATGATCTCTTCAACTTCTCTGGCGATGTTTTCTCTCTGCCTTTCGACGATTTCTTCAATGGTAACTTCTTCTCGAACCTTCACCTTCTCTGTTTTCTTCTTCTTCTTTGGCTTCTCTTCGACGACCACCTCTTTAGGTCTCTCCTCGAATATCTCTTCTTCGGTTACCACCGTCTTCTTCGCCTTCCTCTGCTTCGCTTCTGCTCGTCTGACCTCTTGCACGCTGGTCTCTGTGTGAACCTCGGACACGGTCACTGTCTGTAAAGATTCTGACGTTATCTGAGCACGATCCACCTTGGATTCTACGGTGAAATCGGGTGCCATGTCCTCGGTGGTTACTTCGGAGACGACCACTATTCCTTCACGTTCTTCGATCACACGCTTGGCACGCTCTTCAGGTTTTGGTACCATATCCTTTGGTTTCTCGTCGTCGATCTTCTTCAGGGACGCGGTTGCTTCTGTCAACACAGGCTCTTGGATCGGTACTATCTTCTTGGCTTGCGACACCTGTGCTCGATGGGATTTTACGGTTCGTTAATTCCTTATTAAACGCGACGAATTCTAGGCGACTATTTGCTTTACGTACCTCGGTTGGTTTCTCTTCGATAATGTCTGTCGATTCGAGTATCTGTGTTTCTTCGATATCGACAATTTTCCTAGATAAACAATTGTACAAATAAATATTGATCGATTAATTAGAGTTGAAATTGTCATAAATTAGAGATACTTTTACTAACTTTTCTTCTGGTTGTTCTTTAGGAACCAGTTTCTCTTTGCGCACTTCTTTCTTGTCCACTTTCACACGTTCAGTTTTAACTTTCTCTTTCACTTCTTTCGCCTTCCTCAACTTCTTCTTCTGTGGTTTCTCTTTCGGCTTTACTTCTATCGTCTGCTCTTCGACTTCCTCCTCCTCCTCGTAGAATTTCTTCTCATCGGTTACGTCTAGAAAGAAGGAACATTAAAATAAATACAAATCTATGAGTATTGTTAATATTTAATTAAAGTTGGTTGAAAAATTGTACCAGTCACGTGTAATTTGGCTTTCGATGTCGCTAGACCTGTTTCACTAGTGATTTTACACACATAAGCGCCGTCGTCTTCTTCGGTCGCGTGTTTGATCGTCAACACTGTCTTCTTATCGTCATCGTAGATTCGCACCTTCAGGTTCTGTGTGCTCATTAGCATCTTATCGTTCTTGTACCATACAACGTCTGAAAATTTTTGTACAAATTTATACGTTTCTCATATTCCAATATACAGAGACCTTTAACCCTTTCAAGTTAAATAAGCACTTAATTAAATTGATAATCATACCTGGAGTAGGATTGCCCGAATAAGAGCACTCGAACACTGCGGTATCACCTTCTTTCACATAAACATCTGTTATCTCTTGAATGAATCGTGGTACAGTTTGCGTGGCTGAAATCAGAAACAAACCCCATGAAACACCGAGAAGAAAAAAACCCATCAGCCTAATCGATTATCCACAAACCTGATCTCGTAATTGTTGATTGTACGACTCGCGTGACCCCGATGTCAGTAATCTGGTTAGCCGAAAATCAAACAGAAAGAAGAAAAGAAACACACGTGCAAAATCAAAAGAAGGGATTAAATTAAAATTGTTAGTGGTTCAATCGATCGACAAGAGTACCTGACATGGTGCCTCTTTCGTCCTCGCTGTGATGCTCACTGCAAGACACTTCGGAAGCCGACATATTTCCAGCTAATCCAAGATTTCCGCTGCACTGGCTTTCCAGTAACAAAAATTCCTGCAACTCCTCCTGACTATCCGCCGTGTGCAATTGTTGGAACGCTTCGAGATCGATCTCCCTCGGTTCCAGAGGATACATCTTAGGATCCATCATAAAGTTTCCGAAACGTCGTTCCTTCGACCATCTAGCAACCGGGATTCTAGATTTCGGATAGGTATGATATTTTCTAGCGTGATCGTATTCCAAACCAGTTTCCATTGATTTCCCACTCGTGTACTTCTCGGCGACGATTCTACTTTGACCACTTCCGGTCGAGGCTTCGCTGTTCTCTTCGATGGGCGACAAATGGCATCCCACTTCTGGGACATTGAGATTCTCAGAGCGTCCATGACTTCTCTTTTCCGACCTCGGCGGTGGAAATTCGTTAAAATCTAACACTATCTTCTTTCTTTTCTCGTTTCTTAATACCTCTGGTTCATCGTCGATGCTTTTCTTCGTAGTATCCTGGGTATCTTCTTTGGGTTTGATAGTTCTACTTGATTTTGTAGATAATTTATCAGTGGACCTTAGATGCTTTGATTTATCAATTACCTTTACATTTCTCTGTTTATCAGTTGTAAAACATTCCACTTTTGAAGATTTCATTTTAACAGGGGATGGAGATCTTATCGGCGAAACGGAAGTTTCTCGCGTAGGACTCTTCAATTTCTTCCGACTGGTTAATTTATTCGAACTGGTTTCAATCGAATCTCTTTTCGATTTTACAAAAGTGTTTATTGACGATGATTTAGTTTCTACATTTTCTTTCAATTTATCTGATTTTCTTGTTTTTATTACTTTTTCAGATTTCACCTTCTGCCGATTGTTCGTCAGTGAACTTTCAACAGTATCATCCATGATTTCAATTTTCAGAGTATTTTTAAAGGTTTCTTCTTTGGTAGACGTCCTCATCTCCCAAGAATATTCGGTGTTCTCTGTTTCGTGCTCGATTTCCATCGAGTCCGAATATCTTCTGGACAAGAAGAACCCTTTCGCCGAAGCTTCCTCGTCTGAACACCTCTTACCTTCGTCGTCGATGTTCATCAGGGTCCTGGTCGACGAAAACTCGCTGATCATCGTGGAACTGTCTCTCTGCGAGTTCTCGTCTCTGATCGCACGATCGTCGAGACTGTCCGTGGAAAAGCTGCACTCTGCTTCACTCAACATGCAATCGATCCCTCGCGAAGGTCTCGAACGACTCTTACCTCTTAGAGCTTCTTGCATCTCCTCCATGTGGGTCACCCATTCCGGCTTTCTGTATTCCTTCGTTCCAACGATTCCTAATTAACGGAACGATAATTATTAGATATCTGCTCGAACCTTCGACCCTTTCAGTCCCAATTTCGAGGTCTGCTATCAAGCTTTCCCGAACTGAAAGGGTCCGATCGATTAGCGAGACGTGGAGAAAAAAATATAAAAAGAAAGTGTAGGTGAAGGATGTGAGTGTTCAGTGTGAGTTCGGTATGATCGTAAGGGGAAGGTGCCAGGATTTTATTGGAAATTTCCCGATGATGATGCCGATCGAAGAAGAGCGCAGCTGAAAAGAACTCGTCAAGCCGATTAGCGAAGCTTTCCACCAAATTTTAGAGAAATTTCTTCGTTTAGGAAAAACGTATTCACCTTCTACCGATAGGTACGTCATCGTGGTCGATACTCCGAGCGGATTGTGCGCTTCGAACACAATCTCGCCCGTGTCGTCGGGGTAAGTTTCGGCGATCGTCAACACAGATGTGCCATCTTCGAATTCTTCGATTTGGAATTCTTGAGACGACACGATCTCTACACCCTGCTTGTACCATTTTCCTTCTGGCTTTGGTTTTCCCTTGACCTTCACTTCCAGTCTGCCATTAAATTTAATAAATTTTATTATCAGAGGATTCCATTAGGAAATTAAAGCTGATATGATTTACCTGGTTAATTCTCCATCTTTGGTAGGAATTAACTGAGGAAGCTTCTTAATTATCTCCGGCGCGGATTCTTCCGTGTCCGTGTCGAACAATGGAGTTTCCTAAAAAACAGTAAAATCGTATTAAAATTTTGACTAATCTCAGATTTTGTTTCATACGTACCTTTGGAGATAAGAGATCTTCTTCGGAACCACTCTGCCCTGTAGTAAGAGACGTCGCGACGATCGAGGATGCAATTTCCGAATCCGGTACGTACTCGTATGCTAAAAATGACAAGTTTCTCGTGCAACGTAGGAAGAAATAAATAAAAAAGAAAATTGATTAATTCTTACCTTCCACGATAAGCGACGTCGTGCAAACTGCTTCGCCGACAGGATTCACGGCACGACAAGTGTATTCACCTGCATCTTCAGGGAACACTTCGGTTATGGCTAAGCTACAGACACCTTCGGTGTCCTGTACGATGGTGATCTCTTTTCCTTCTTTGATAGGTTTACTATCGTGGTACCATTCCACTCTGGGAGTGGGTTTTCCTTGTACCACACAAGTCAGGTTCGCGCTTTCACCATCCATGACCCTGACCGGTGATAATCGTTTGACAAACGTCGGTGAAACTAGCTCCACCGTTTCTTCCCATGGTGTTTCCAGCAGATTTATGGTGGCTGTACAGGTGACAGATCCACCAACGTTCTCAGCGCGACAGGTGTAAGTGCCAGCGTATTCGGATTTGATCTCTTTGATCATCAGGATCGATTTGTTTTCTTGAGTGACGATCCTCACTTGCGGTGTGGACTAATTAAAACGTACAATATTCGATTTAGAAATGAGAAATATTAAAATTAAAACTAAAACTGAAATAAATTTCAAATACCTCCAAAGGACGAGTTTCGTGGAACCATTGGAACGAGGCTGTTGGATAAGATTCAACCTTCGTCTCCATAATCACGACCTCTCCTTCGGCAACGATTTGTGGTTGCAACGGTTCGATAAATCTCGGAGCTTTAACTTCGTCCGTTTTATCCGGACGATCTTTCACGGTAACAGATCCAGAACTTCTAGCTTCTCCGACAGGATTCTGGACACGAATTTCATATTTTCCACCGTCCTTCTTGGTCACCTCTGGAATGAACAACTCGGCCGTGTTCTCGTAGATGTTGATCACATTCTTCTCGGACGGTGCTAATTCAACACCGTTGCGGAACCACTTCACTTCCGGTGTAGGTTTGCTTTCGAAATCAGCAGACAGAGTCAAAGGCTTTCCACGTTCCGCGACTAAAGCCGGCAACGGTCTGGTGATCTTTGGTGCTCTAAGGACTTCCGGTTTACTGACTTTCACCACGTTACTGATCAACAAATTAGCTCTACATTCGGCCCGACCGAATTTGTTCACAGCTCGAACTCTATAAATCGTTTCGTCCTCTTCCGTCGGCTCCAGTATATGCAATTTCGCTTCTCCAGTTTCAGGATTGAAGGTGATTTCTCTACCTTTCTTAGGTTTAAGCTCCTGTTCGCCCCGGTACCATTTCACTTCCGGTACCGGGCTTCCAGTTACCACGCACTCTAACAGAGCTGGTTTATGCTCCTCCACCATTAGCGGCTTGATGGGCGTTGAGAAGTGAGGCGCTATGCCCTCTTCTTCTTTTTCTGTGGATAGCAACGCGATATTAATTTTATGATAACGGTAGATTGTAATAATTAGAACACAAAATAATGAAGCTTCACAACACAGTTCGTTACACTCAACACTGATTGAGGTTTCAAGGTATAAACCACGTTCTGAAGAAAATTTCTTCTTTCAGAAAATCTTTCTTCGAAATACATGGTTTTCGTTTAAAAACTTCAGGCAGTGTTAATTTCATAAGCATCGTTGTAATTGCAAAATAAAAAACAATTCTGAAAATATAATCTCAGTGTTTCTTTTTCTTTAATCGATCCCCTATAAACAAAAACAAACAAAAGTCAAACGAAAACAGCTGAAAGCAAAAACATTCAATTTATAATTAAAGAAAGGCGTAACAAAACGATCACACGGGCATCAGAAATGTTTCTAGTACCAAATATCACGAGATTCACGGTGGATGTTGCGACTCCAGCTGGATTCGATGCTCTGCAAGAATACATTCCAGCATCTTCTTCTTTCACCTTAGTTATCTCCAACGAAGCCGTTGTTTCGTACACCGTCATTATGTACTTCTCACTGGCGTGAAGTTCCTGTTCGTTCCTGTACCAGGAAATTTCAGGAACCGGACTGCCAAATACCGTGCATGTGAATTTCGCGGTGCTTTCCGGTTCGGCGATGACCGGTTGCAATTTTTGAATAAACCTTGGCGCGATTTTTTTATCTTTATCGATGATCGATATATCGACCTGAGTACGCTGTTTCCGTTTCCTCTTACGATCTTCAATTTGAATTTCTTGTTTCTCAATTTTCTCGACCTCGACATCATCGACAACTTCCTTGGTTTCCACCTCAATTTCTTCTCGCTGGATTTCTTCAGGTTTCTTCTTCGGTCTTCTTCGAGTTACTTCTACCTTCACTTCTTCTTTCTCTTCAGTCTCTTCAACCTTTTCTGGTTTCTCTAATTTGATTGGTTTTAATTCTGGAATTTCTTCCTTTGGTTTCTCTTCAGGTTTCTCCCTTTTAACTGGTTTCAGAGTTACCTTTTCAGGCTTTTCTTCTTCTTCTATTGGTTTCTTCGGTTTTCGTTGCTTTCTCCAGGATACTTCTGTTGTTTCAGTGACCTCTTCGACTTCTTTGTCTTCGACCTTCTCAGGTTTTATTTCTTCCACTTCGATCTTCTTTTCGGTAACCTTCTTTGGCCTTCGCCATGGGAGAACTGATATTTCTTCCGGTTTTTCTTCCGTGATTTCTGTAATCTCAGTTTCGACAACTTCTTCTTTCTCGACTGGTACCTCTTCAGGTTTCTTCTTCGGCTTTTTTCGCGTTATTTCGACCATCACTTCCTCCTTCTCTTCAGTTTCTTCAACTTTCTCTGGTTTTTCTAACTTGACTGGTTTTAATTCTGGAATTTCTTCTTCTTTTGGTTTCTCTTCAGGTTTCTCCTTTTTCACAGGTTTCAGAATTATCTTTTCGGGTACTTCTTCTTCTTTCGGTTTCTTTGGAACAGGTTTTAGTTGAATTTCCTTCTTTTCCTCGACTTCAGGGACCTCTTTCTTCACTTTTTTCAAGGTTATCTTCTCCTCAACTTTTTCTACAATTTCTTCATGCTTCTCCACTGGCTTCAACTCAACCACTTCCTTTTCTTCCACCGGTTTCTTCGGTTTTCGTGGCTTCCTCCAGGATACTTCGGATACTTCAGTGACCTCTTCAACCACTTCAGGTTTTACTTCTTCCACTACGACCTTCTTTTCGATCACTTCCTTGGCTTCCACTTTCTGTTCCACAATCGTTGTTTCTTTTTCATGAACTTCGGAAACGATCTTCTCTTGATCGATTGGTACTACAGTGACTTCTTCGTGGAAATCGACAACCTTCTTTGTCTTCTTGCCACGGCGCCATGGTAAAATGGAGGTTTCAGGCGCCTCTTCTTCCGGTTTCTCTTCATCCTTTTCAGGAACAACCTTTGGAACGGGTTTCAAACTTACTTCTTCTGGTTTAGTTTCTTCCGGCTTTTCTAATCGTTTGACAGGTTTTAATTTTATTTCTTCCGGCTTCTCTTCTTCTGGTTTTTCCTTCTTTACTGGTTTCAGCTTCACTTCTTCCCTTTCTTCTTCTTCCTTAGGAAGCCGTTTCACAGGTTTCAACGTTACCTCCTCTGGTTTTGCCTCTTCTGGTTTATCTAATCGTTTGACAGGTTTTAATTTTATTTCTTCTGGTTTCTCTTCCTCAGGTTTTTCTTTCCTGATCGGTTTTAATTTGACTTCCTCCTTCTCTTCTTCTTCCTTGGGAAGTCGTTTCACTGGTTTCAATGTAACTTCTTCCGGCTTTTCCTCCTCTGGTTTCTCGAGTCGTTTGACAGGTTTCAACTTAACCTCCGGCTTTTCTTCCTCAGGTTTTTCCTTTTTTATTGGCTTCAGTTTGACTTCCTCCTTCTCTTCTTCTTCCTTTGGAAGTCGTTTAACTGGTTTCAACTTTACTTCTGGCTTCTCTTCCTCAGGCTTTTCCTTCTTTATTGGCTTCAGTTTGACTTCCTCCTTGTCTTCTTCTTCCTTAGGAAGACGTTTGACAGGTTTCAGTGTAACTTCTTCTGGCTTTTCTTCTTCAGGTTTTTCAAGCCGTCTAACAGGTTTCAACTTAACTTCCGGCTTTTCTTCTTCTGGTTTTTCTTTCTTTATTGGTTTCAGTTTTACCTCTTCCTTCTCTTCCTCCTCCTTGGGAAGTCGCTTTACTGGTTTCAATGTTACTTCTTCCGGTTTCTCTTCCTCTGGTTTTTCCAATCTCTTAAAAGGTTTCAATTTTACCTCAGGCTTTTCTTCTTCTGGTTTTTCTTTCTTTATTGGTTTCAATTTCACCTCCTCCTTTTCTTCTTCCTCCTTAGGAAGCCGCTTCACAGGTTTCAAAGTAACTTCTTCTGGTTTTTCCTCTTCAGGTTTCTCAAGTCGTTTGATTGGTTTCAACTTAATCTCCGGTTTTTCTTCCTCAGGCTTTTCCTTCTTTATTGGCTTCAGTTTGACTTCCTCTTTCTCTTCTTCTTCCTTAGGAAGACGTTTCACTGGTTTCAGAGTTATTTCTTCCGGTTTCTCTTCCTCTGGTTTTTCCAATCTCTTAAAAGGTTTCAATTTTACCTCAGGCTTTTCTTCTTCTGGTTTTTCTCTCTTTATTGGTTTCAATTTTACTTCCTCCTTTTCTTCTTCCTCCTTAGGAAGTCGTTTCACTGGTTTCAAAGCAACTTCTTCTGGTTTTTCCTCTTCAGGTTTCTCAAGCCGTTTGATTGGTTTCAACTTAACCTCTGGTTTCTCTTCCTCAGGTTTCTTCCTGTCAATTGGCTTCAATTTCACTTCCTCTTTCTCTTCTTCTTCCTTTGGAAGACGTTTCACTGGTTTCAGAGTTACTTCTTCCGGTTTCTCTTCCTCTGGTTTTTCCAATCTCTTAAAAGGTTTCAATTTTACCTCAGGCTTTTCTTCTTCTGGTTTTTCTCTCTTTATTGGTTTCAATTTTACTTCCTCCTTTTCTTCTTCCTCCTTAGGAAGTCGTTTCACTGGTTTCAAAGTAACTTCTTCCGGTTTAGCTTCCTCTGGTTTTTCTAATCTCTTAACAGGTTTCAGTTTAACCTCTAGTTTCTCTTCTTCAGGTTTTTCTACCTTTGGTTTCTTCGGTACTTCTTCCTTAACTTCTGGTACTCGTTCCTCAGGTTTTCTGATCTCTTCCGGTTTAACCTCTTCCTGTGGCACGATCTTTTTCGCTGGTTTCTTACCACGTCGCCATGGCAATTCTGTCTTCTCTTCTGGAACTTCTTCTTTTTCTACAGCCTCAGGTTTTTCTACTTTCACCGGTTTCAAAGTCACTGCTTCAGGCTTCTCTTCCTCTTTTTGTACCTTCTGAATCGGTTTCAATGTTATTTCCTCTTTCTCCTCTTTCTCTTCCGGTTTCTTCTCCTTTCGCGTTGGTTTCAACATAACAGCAGTGAAATCTTCAACTTCCTGTTCCTTCTTTACCTCCTTTACCTTTTCTTTTCGTGGTTTGCGCCAACTTAACTCAGAGACTTCTTTCTCTTCTTCTTCTACTTTCTTTTCTTCAGTTGTTACTTCTTCTACTCGTTTCTCTACAGGTTTTTTCTTTCCACGTTTCCAAGGAACCTCTGATACTTCTGTTGGCTTCTCTTCTTCAGGAACTGTTGGTGCCATTTCTGGTTTCAATGGCTTTGCCTCTTTCTCTTCAACCTTCTTCTCTACTGGTTTTAGTTTAATTTCTGCTTTAGTTTCTTCTTCCTTCGGAAGACGTTTCACTGGCTTCAACGTCACTTCTTCCTTCTCTTCCTTCTCTTCAGGTTTTTTACCGCGTTTAGTCGGTTTCAATGTGAACGATTTGAAGTCTTCTATCGTTTCTTCCTGTTTCTTTATTACCTTATCTTCAACAACCTTTACTTCTTCCACTTTTTCAACAGGCTTTTCTGGTATTATTGCCTCTTTCTTCTTTGGTTTTCTACGCCAAGATACCTCTTCAACTTCCGAAGGCTGTTCTTCTTCCGGTTTCTCAGGAACTTTCTGTGGAACCAAGGTCTCTTCGGGTTTCTCTCGTTTGAACGGTTTCAACTCTACTTTTTCTTTCTCCGGTACTTCCGGCTTCTCTCGTTTAAACGGTTTCAACTGTACTTTTTCTTGCTCCGGTACTTCTGGTTTCGCTTTTTCGAATGGTTTCAATTTCGGTTTCTCTTGTTCCTCAACTTCAGGCTTTGGTTTCTGGAATGGCTTTAGTATTATTTCTTCTTGTGGCTTTTCTTCAGGCTTGCGTTTCGGAATGGGTTTCAATTGCACCTCCTCTTTCTCCTCTTCTTCACGTGGAATGCGTTTGACAGGCTTCAAGGTCACTTCTTCCGGTTTTTCCTTCTCCTCGGGCGCGCGTTCCCGTCTCACTGGTTTCAACGTGACCGATTTAATGTCCTCAACCGGTTCCTCCTTCCTCTCTGGTATTTTTCTCGCTACTTTCTTGTCCCGAAGCCATGGAACTTGCGTCTTCTCTAATGTTTCCTCCTCCTCGGGTTTCTCTTCAGGTTGTACCTGTTGTGGAACTAATTCTGGTTTCTCTTCCTTCGGTTTCTTCTTACCTCTGGCCCAAGGTACAGGCACCTCTTTCTGCTTTTCTATAGATTCCTCATCTTTCTTCACGTCGAGGAGACTCGTATCTTCCTCTTCGTGGTAAGGTGCTTTCTCAGTTGGCTTCTTCTTTCCCCTGGCCCAAGGTACAGGTACTTCCTTTCGTTTTTCCGTAGACTCTTCGTCTCTCTTCACGTCGAGAATTGATTTGTCTTCTTCTTCATGGTATGGAGCTTTCTCTTTTGGTTTTCTGTCTCTTCTCCAGGTGGCCATTTTATCTACCCTTTCTTCTTCTACTTTCTCAACTTTATCAACCTTCATCAGTGTAGTGTCTTCTTCTTCAACAAACTGGGTCTTATCAGTGACCTTCTGCAAATCGACTTTTTCCAATGTTTCTTTTGTTACTTGTCTCTTTTCCGTTTTCGTTGGCTTCAGAGTAACTTCTTCAATGCTCTCCCTGCGAATCTCTTTCTGCTCCACTTTCGCCTTCTTCAGGGTAATCTTCTCCGCGGTCCAAGGTTTAGTTTCAGGCTTCTTTTCAACCTCTTCCCTTCTCTTCACCTTCTTCTCTACTTTAGTGGTGGTCTCAGTGTCCTTGGTGACTTCAAGAAGCGAAGTGTCCTCTTCTTCAATGTACTTATCCTTTTCTGTCTTTTCTTTTGTTACTTTCTTAGGAATTGGTTTCAGATCCACATCCTCGAGGCTCGGTTTTTCAATGTCGGCTTTCTGCGGTCTGGAAGGTTTCAATTCGACAGTTTCTGGTTTTTCTTTTGGCACTTCTTTCTTCTCTGGCTTTGCTTTCTTCAGGGTTACCTTTTCTTCCGTCCAGGGCTTAGGTCCTTCGACCTTCTCAACCGGAATAGATTCCCTTCTCGTTTTCTTCACCTGTGTGTCCTTGGTAACTTCGAGTAACGTGGTGTCTTCTTCTTCTCTATAATCAGTTTTCTGTGTAATTTCTTTCGTTTCTTTGGTCACTGTCTTCAGGTCCACCTTTTCCACACTAGACTTCCTAATTTCCGATTTGGTAATTTTAGATGGTTTCAATTCCACAGTCTCTACAGTCTCCTTTTCAATTTCTTTTGGCAGATGTTTCGCTTTCTTCAGGGTGATCTTCTCTTCGGTCCAAGGTTTAGCCTGCTCAGGTTTCTCTTCAACCTTCTCTTTCCTCATCTTCTTCACTTCTTCAGTCCTGGAGACATCCAGCAACGAAGTGTCTTCTTGTTCAAGGTACTCAGTCTTTTCAGTAATCTTCTCAGTGACTTTCTCAGTCACAGTCGTTGGAACTGGTTTCAAATCTACTTTTTCTAAACTTGGTTTTCTAAGTTCAGCTTTACCAATTTTTGATGGTTTCAATTCCACGGTCTCCAAGGTCTCCTTTTCAATTTCCTTTACCACAGGTTTGGATTTCTTCAAAGTGATCTTCTCTTCGGTCCAAGGTTTAGCTTGCTCAGGTTTCTCAGGTTTCTCCTCAACCTTTTCTTTCCTTTTCTTCTTCACTTCTTCAGTCCTGGAGACATCCAGCAACGAAGTGTCTTCTTGTTCAAGGTACTCAGTCTTTTCAGTAATCTTCTCAGTGACTTTCTCAGTCACAGTCGTTGGAACTGGTTTCAAATCTACTTTTTCTAAACTTGGTTTTCTAAGTTCAGCTTTACCAATTTTTGATGGTTTCAATTCCACGGTCTCCAAGGTCTCCTTTTCAATTTCCTTTACCACAGGTTTGGATTTCTTCAAAGTGATCTTCTCTTCGGTCCAAGGTTTAGCTTGCTCAGGTTTCTCAGGTTTCTCCTCAACCTTTTCTTTTCTTTTCTTCTTCACTTCTTCAGTCCTGGAGACATCCAGCAACGATGTGTCTTCTTGTTCAAGGTACTCAGTCTTTTCAGTAACTTTCTCACTAACCTTCTCAGTCACCGTTGTTGGAACTGGTTTCAAATCCACTTTTTCTAAACTTGGTTTTCTAACTTCGCCTTTGCCAATTTTGGATGGTTTTAATTCCACAGTTTCCAAAGTTTCCTTTGGAAGTTCTTTCTTCTCAGGCTTAGACTTCTTCAAGGTAACCTTCTCCTCGGTCCATGGTTTCACCTCGTCCTTCTTTCTTTGCACGGTTTCATCTACCTTTCTAGAGGTCTTCAGGAATCTAGAGTCTTCTTCCTCTTCATAGATCTCTTTATCAATCTCTTCGCGACGAGTGAGTTTTTCTTCTATCTTCGTTTCCTTTGTTGTCTCTTTGGTGAACGGTTTCAAGTCCACAGTTTCGAGACTGGGTCTTCTGATTTCTTTCTTCTCAATTTTCGCCGGTTTTAATTCCACCTCTTCGAGTTTCTCTTTAGGTATCTCTCGTGCTTGCTGAGGAGTTTTCTTCAGGGTTACCGTTTCTTCCGTCCACGGTTTTATTTGACTCTCGGTGGCTTGCAATTTATCCAAGGAAGTGTCGCGAGATTTTGGTTTCGTTTTTCTCCATGGTGTCGTGTCTGCTAGTCGAGGTCGATGATGAACGCGCCCTTTTCGCCAGGGTAGCGTTTCATCGCCGGGTTTCAAGGGTATTTCTAATTCGCCTTTGTCTAACGGTATTGGCTCAAGGATTACATCCTTGCCGGTTCCTAAACTTACAAACGGTTTGTCACCGGTTCTCGCACCTGGCCCCGTCTCCGCAGGAACTTCGTAATACGCCCCTGTTCTTTCTGCAATGGCACATTTTTCAGGGTAATTTTATGTGTTTCAGGGTAGGCGGATTCGTCACTCGCATAGGAGGAAGCTTGAAATCATGCTAGAATATTTGTTAACGTTTGAAATTGTGTAAAAAGTGAAAGAATTATTTATAGCACATGCTGAGCCGATGTTCAATTAGAATAATAAACGTAAGGTGTGCTTGAAAAATTTTGAAAAAATGAAATAATTGTAATGCTCAATTTCAAATGATATTCCTAACTGTTTTCTAATGATTGTAAATTGAAAGTTCAATCCTAAGTGATCGCACTCAAGAAACAGTGGTAACATTTATAAATCGTTTATTCAGAGACTATTAATCATCCATTGTATCTCGATTTCAAGAACAATGTTCCTTTATTTGCAATGCCACGGTGGCATGCCAAATCCAAAGATATTTTTAATTATTACTCGAGCAGCAGTAAACAAGTCGTTCACCAAATTTCTTTGAGTCATCGAAATCTACCGTGTTTCAAAGTCAAAAATCTAACATAATAAATCGTTTAAAAGAACATCGATTTTCCCTCGGGGAAATAACTGTTTATTATTTATCGTCGAGCAGATAAACAGAGGATGTTTTATCGTGAAGTTTCGAGGAATTTCACGAAGAATACAAGAATACGCGATGACAGAGGGTACCAATGTCGAAAGGCGACAAGATCTCTCGTCGAATTAATCATAAGTTGCCAGGAACAGAACAATATCCGGGTATCCTATAAATTTTCTCGTCAACCACGAACGCGTGTAAACGCACTTGAAAATTTATGTTTCGTAATTTCGAATAGATAGACGGCTGGTGGACAGTGGCCAAATCAACTTTGCATAAGAGAAATCAAGGCAAATCGCCAACGGATTGGCCTTCGTTAACCGCGTTCACTTGTAATTGTTAATATTCCGACGGAGACTAATAATCGCGATGACATATGATTTATTTTAAAAATAAATTATCCGTAACCTATTCCACATCCAAATAAACAAACCTCTCTTACGTAAATACGGTTTCTATCATTTGTTATCGAAAAATATATCTCTAAAACTATTTCAAGTTCAAACAATTCGCTAATTATTATTATTGATATGAAAGTATCCTTTATAATTTCTTTTCATCAAGTTTAGAATAAAATTCAATTTCCATGAAATGCCGAAAGTTATCGAGTTGATTCCGACTTTTGTTACTTTTTTTATTCTCAGCAGGAGATTTCAACGAAAACATGGAACACCCGCCTCGACTTTGCGGAGTTTTATTTTTAAACGCTACGAGAAACAGACGATTCCTCATCTGCGAGGCAGAATCTAAACGAAATTTTTCAACAATTCGGATTCTTTTCAATCGTATTTTTAAATTTGAGATATCGATCGTTGCTGCGAAGAAAGGTACAAATTGACGAGCAATGATAAATATTCCAATTTGATATAAAATGTAATATAAAAAAATAAAAATTTTCAATATCGTCGAGTTTCCTATAAATTATGAAAAATGTCCAAATTCGAGGGGGTATCCGAAGCGATTATTGGTTCATCAGTGTCTGGCCAGACACTGAGCCGCCGATCTGCGAAACCCGGAAGCCCGTCTAGCATTCCAAGCTCGCTAATAACCACGTCGGGTCATTATTCTAGAGAACGAGGTGACGGAGGTGGCTGCACGCAGTTTCCCACTGAAAATGAAAAAACCGAACGCGGTCCGGCAAGAGGGGGTAGAGTGGTGATGCATGCACCGGGTACTTTCAGTTCGACGAAACGTTGTGGTGGGGAAACCGTGTCTGACGCCACACTATGCACACCTCTACCCCGAAGAAGCTGGTCTAGCCTTAATAGTCATCCACTGGAAGCCAGAGACGAACGAACCCGTCTACCAATTTTCTCAGGATAAAACTCAAACTTCAAAATATTCCATTTCTCTATTTTCTGATACCATCTCGATTTTCAAGTTAAAAGTGACATTCGATTCGGTGATACGGCGATGAAAATAGTGGGTTCGACGTGTCGTGAAACGAGGAAGAACGTGGTGCTTGACAGATGGGCTGCCTTCGATCGAACCAAATTGATCTTTCATCGGAAATCGGCTCGATCGAAGTGCAGCCACTTTTGAACTGGACACGACTGATCTTGGATCTAGAACGAGTGTTGCGAAGATGGTGCATCGATTTTCAATTATAAATTACGGTTACAGTTTTCAGTGTGAAAATTGTTCCGCTAAAAATCTCTGACGTGTAATTATTTAACAGTCTGACAGAGACACGCCGGTGAAACGCAGTGATTTTATTATTCGCTCGTTGATGTACATATATTTAAGTTATATTTTATTTGTCACACTTAATATGTAAAATTGCGCTGACGGTTCTTAGAAACAGGAGAGCCTTGTACAATAATCTCCGACCTTGATGAATAATTTTCATTTTTCATCAAAATGACTCATTTGAAAGGTAGAACAATGGGTTGTTTATTGTACAAGGGTCTCGTTGCGTGGATAAGTGTGAGAATACATTGATACACAGAGAAGGCTGTAGCTGATGACACACAACATTTATTCGGTGAATCACGAACGATTGGAGTGGTCATGTACAAAAATAAAAATAAATTCGTCAAGTAACCGTGTAGCCAGACGTGGTTGTCCCTGACCTTCTTCCTTCGTTGTTCTTGCGTTTAATAAAATCCTCCTTTGCGCGATAATCAACCGCATACAAAACGAGCCTTGTTTCTTACGATTTATTCGAAAAATTTCAGGCGAACTTGATGTAAGGGAGATAGAAAAGAAAAATGAAGATCGTACGTCTCGATTACAATAACAAACGGGATAAAAATAAATGCTGTTTCGATCCGTATGCCCGTGGACCATCGACCGATTCGTCAGGGACGTGGTTTCTCGAAGAAACGCTTTTCTCTTCGGCTACTCGAACGTGGCGAAAAGAGTCGAGGTGGCCGCGGATTTACCAGAAATAATTCCTTCCCGCCTTCCAGAGTGCGCTGACACGCGCTCCCCCGTCTTTATTTCTGGCGCGGCTGAATCACCGGCAGCTGGGTCGGCCAAAATAGTCGGCTTCGTCGGCTTGATCCCTCCTCGAAAGCGCCAAGTCGACGGAGGTGGGTGGCCGAGGGACGAATGCGAAGAAGGTCTCTCTCGATGAATCAGACCGTGTTTTTTCTCCCCCGCACACGCGACCGATGCTTTGGCAGTTGTCTTCTCCTCTTTGCTTCAGGTGGTTACTTCCTCAAGGTCGCTGTCACCCAAACGTCGATGCCACCCAATGCTTACATCTAGGCTCAACTTTCTTTGCATTCTCTTCGTTATTGAGAATCATTTCAGAAGTAATGCACATTCTAAGAGGGAATTATTATTTTAACACGTTCGATACTAAAATTTTTGTGCATTACTTTTGAGATGGTCCTCCTATTTACCCTTTCGATTTATTTCGGCATCTCGAATTCATTCACACTTTTCTAAGACTCTGGGTCTGTACCTTCTTTTTTAGAAGACTCGTTTCAAGGGCGCAGGGCCATCTTACATCATTTTCATTCTGATCCAAGAATTTCAGCTGGTTATTTCTACATAAATTTGTCAAATAAACGTTTTATGTTTTTGGAACTGACAATGAGTTAAAATGACCCTGTATTCATCGTGCGGGGGTTGACGTTGTGAACAAAGGAGCGAAACTGTCCTTTTTTCTTAAAAAACTACCTAATTGCTAGAATATGCAAAATTTGGAGTAAATCGGTTTCTCTGCGCTATCTGCACCATAAGTTTCGCAATGTCTTTACCGACGCTTGCCAGGGGTTAATCCCGTGAAAAAGATGGATAAATTAGTCTCTAGCCGTGTCCCTAATCACCTGTCCGTTTACGGCGACTTAATAGCTGCGATCTCAAAGGAGGATGGTACGCTTGAAATAAATTCGCGGACGGAACGCTGATGAATCTTCTTGGTTCCTACCCAGCTAGGCTGAATCTAACGTGTCTTATTTATGGGCGACGTTAACGTGCCAGGTGTTTCTCGCGCACCCTTTCTCCTCGGATTACGGTAACATTGTGTTCTGCCAGAATCCAATTAAAATTTTCGACCAATTCCTTCGACCCATGAGAAAGATCCTAATCGAATGACTGATTGCTATTTGTAACCAACAATGTCTGATATGTCTCAAAGGGTTAACGGTACAGAGGAGACAGGTCAAGTAACGCGTGTAACGAGTTTGATGATCTCGTTTGAAGAAGAAACACGTCTAAAGACACGCAAGAACAAAGTCGTTCCATACGTGGAGCATCGAGTACATGGTGCAACGAAACGCGAGAACCCTTTGTTCTTTTGTGTTCTTCGTTACGGTGATAATTATGGGAGTTACATGTTTGTTCTACTTTTCTATGACCGAAGAGAAATTCATGCTCAGTGTACCCCGTGAAATGTTCTGCTCGCATTTCAAATAACATCTTATCGATACGAGGAAACGGCGAAGAAACGAAAAATTAGCAGCGGTCGTTAAGCATTATTAATAAATGATGCTTCTTGGATCTACTAATGATTTCCTAATGATTTCTTAGAACGACTGGGCTGAATATATTACAAGCCAACTTTTGTTGCTACACGATTCTATCACAAAACTATGATAATTATTAAACTCTATTTATATCATAATCCTCATCATTTAATATAATAATCTTTCCATCTATCATTAACGAAATCCTATGAAATCGTCGACGACGATCTTTCGTTAAACAGAATATTTCAAGAATATCTTCCAGCAGCGAAACGAAATGGTCGAATGTTACAAGCTGAAAAGCATAAACGTGTTCGCGGTATCTCTTATTTATGCTTCGCGAACGAAATAAAACGTGAAAGTGCTGGTATTAGTGGAGACGAGAGACGAAGAAGAGAGACCCCACGTGAATTTACCAAGTCTTCGGGGAGTTCGGAGCCGGCGACCAAATATAGCCGGGTAATGTAATACACGTCACGTGGTCAAAAATAGCCTAAGAAGAGGGCCTAGCCGAGTGTGCACACGGCACTGTTAAGTTTCGTTGGTCGTTTTGAAACGAGCCGAACTACCAGAAGCGATGCAAGGAAAATACGTTTACCTCTTCACGCTCGTTAAACCAGTTACCGTGGAGAAAGGTGATACTTGGAAACAGAAGCGTGCATCGTAAATGACGAGCATATGCCCGGCATACGTATGGAAACATCATCGACTTTCGTGAAACGTCACGAGACTCGACAAAATGATTCTTTCGAAAATTTTTCGTTTTTCCATGTTGCAAAGCTACGTTTCATCGAAGCAACGATTTTTATTCAACTATTATTACTATCGGATTCTTTTCCCTGCGATTTTACTATTTTTAAGCCACGTTTTACATTATTTTCGAGCCGGTGAGTCGTTTAACGAGCTAGCAACCGTGAATCACGACCCGAGCGTTCCGCAGTTCGTTTCGCAAGCAAAATGTAGACGAATTTATGGCGTCGAAAACGTGCTGGCAATTATACTTGCGAGTGCAGAAACCGATTTACATTCGAGGTCTATATTCGTTCTACGGTGGATGAAAATTTTCGAGCACAGAAAATATTCTACCGCTTCAGTTTCTACATAGTTTAAATGTACCGGGAAATAATGTACTTGTATGTGAATTATTGCATATTTATAAGATATAGTTCGTTAAGTTTTTTGTATCGTGAAATGTATATTCTGAATGAATAAATTCCTGAGTCTTAATTAATTACACGGTCTAAATTAATACTCTCATATCCAATTTCTATAGGTCCATAGTGAGCTAATTTTGAATTTCGTTTATACATAAATCGTAGATTTCAGTGTAAATTACGAGATGCCATAGACCGTTACTTATTTAAATGAATTCTTAATTAATTACTTTTGACGAGTCTTCATTACATGTGTGTACCATGTATAATTAGATCATCGAATCGGCAACAAACGAGGCTTGTACGTACTTAAAACATTCGTATTTATTGGTTTTTGCATTGTACAATAATAAATAAACGATTAGTAGAATGTTAAAGAGGGGGGAAAAAAAGAAATCATCTTCTGTGTAATGCGTGTGTGTAACTAAATAAAACTTCACGTCGATATGACTAAAAATGATCAATCGTTTTTGATGTATGTATGCGACGTGTACAGGTAACGTATACTCTTACATGTATATATTATATATATTTTAAAGATATATATATATAGTTTTTAAATAATGAACATCGATACTAAATCGAACGAGTAAACGAGTTACGTGTTCGTATACCAATATCATTTTCTCGTTAAATTATTTCTTCACATACCCATCCCTGTCAAGACTCGAAATTCATTTAAGAATCGATATGTCTTGATCAAGTTTTATATACAACACGGAAACAGGAGAACCGCAATTTTTCACACTCGAAGCACCATATCTTGGAATCATCAATATTTCTGATCAATTTCACTCGATCGATCTAATTCGATGCCAAAAGACGCTCGTAGACACGTCTCGCTCATAAATGCACCTTTCGATGGAAAATTTACGCCTACGATCGTCTTCAGGCTCGAATTTCAAATAATAATAATCGTAATTCATTTCCTTATCAACAAAAAATTCGAGAAAATTATTTATAGATTTTCTCTTCGTTCGTTTCTTTTTTTTTCAGCACCACCTTCGCGACGTTCTCGTCTGAATTTCTTACCACTTTCATCTTTTAAAAATAGAGATGAATTTCAGATTTTTTTTTCCTCGTTTCACTCGCTCGTCTACTTTGAAAACACGACGAGTTAGTACAAACTCCCCGGGCTTGCTTTTGATTTGTTTTTTTCTTTTAATTAAAAGGGTGTCGGGGGGCTAGGGATTCGTGTGGTGGGTTAGGACATCTTTTTTTTTCTTTTTTTCTTTTAGAGGGAGAACAACAAAAAGCGGAGAAAAAAATAGAAGTACTCACGGGAGCCCTCGGTGGATCACGTTTGACGGAGATCGCATGATTTCGAGACAATTTATTGTCAATTTATCAAATCATCATTTCTTTGCATTACTTATACAAGTAGTCAATTTTCAAAACTCCAACAATAATATTTTATTTAATTTTATACTATAAGAAATTGTCTTGGGCATGCGTTGCCCCGTCATTTCCTCGAGGTATATCCCGTCGATTCAATCGCGTCTCGTGTTAGCAATTGAATTTGTATCTTTTAGATTCAGTTCTTACTTTTGACGATGAGTTTGGCAGAAGTTTCTACAGTGCCGGCCGAAGTGGTTGCCCGGCAGGTGAAGGTGCCAGTGTCCTCTTCGTAGGTGGTCGCGATCAATAGCACAGCATTATTGCCTTCGTGAATCATCTACGATACAAAATGTAATTTTTTGTTCGTTTTTTTTTCCTCGAGTACAATGCAAAAATTTTGAACATTTAAAATTTTGAAACTTGCATAATATTTGAAAAATTTATTCTGAGCATACTACTCCGTGAATTGATTTCATTCGTTTTCTGTTAGAAAGAGGATACATAGTAGATTATTTAGAAAAATTACCGAACTTGTGTTCAGGCAAATACGGCTGGTAAATTAATTTCTATACATGCTGTTAATGCCAGAGTGCCCTAGTACCGTTTTCAAGGGCTGATATTAAAGGTGGATTTGTTTTACCTGGAAATCAGGTGATTGTGGAATCAAGGCACCTTCGCGATACCATTGGATCGTTGGCTTCGGCTTCGATGGAGTAACTTGGGTTTTGAATTGAGCTGGTTGCCCTTCACTGACAATTTGATCTTTTAGAGGTGTCAGTTTTGGTAGAACATCGGCTGCGTCAGGAGCTGAACGAAATTGATTAAAATATTCAATTTTGATCGTTTCATTTCGAGATTGACGACGGGAAGGACTTGGTTACTATTTTTACCGAGAACTCGAAGGTTGGCTGACGTGGTCACATCGCCTGCTGGATTTTTGGCAATGCATTTGTAGACACCTTCGTCTTCAGGGAAAGCTTCGGAGATCCTCAAGGTACAGAAATCACCTTCCTTTGACATTTGGAAGTATTTGGACGGCTTGATTACCTATTACGATAATCGTAGTAATATTACAATTAAATAAATGATGGGAAAAATCAGCTGATCAATTTGAACGACTCAATCACCTAATTCAGTTTGAAATTTTAATTATTCATTAAAGTAGGGATAATTAAAATCTTTCGTATACCTTGTCGCCCTTCTTCCATTGCACCGTGGGTACTGGTTTCCCGCTGATCCTACAAGAGAAGGCAACGGATGTTCCTTCTCTGATCGTCTGGTCTTTCAATGGCTCGAGAACCGCGGGTGCCTTTTCGACGCCAGGCGTCGTCGGTTTCGCTGATTTAGCCGGTGATTGTGGTCCTCGTACCGTACATTCAGCGTCGCAACGCGCTTCTCCGGCTTTGTTTATAGCGACGCATTCGTATTTCCCTGAATCTTCGGGTACCGTCTCCAACAGCAACAAGGTGTAAGTGTTGTCTTCTTCGAGGGTCTTGTAGCGAATGTCGGCTGTGATCTTCTTGCCATTCTGTAATTAATAGATTGTATGTAACCAATCTTCCTTTCCCTTATCTAATACCCGAAAAATAATTGAAAAATACCTTCAACCAGTACACGTCCAGAGGTTTAGTTCCAGTAACTTTGGCATCGAATCTAGCCAGTTGACCAGTGGTCACTGAGGTGTTCTGAATGGTTGAGAGGAAGCTGGGAGGAATCACTCCACCTCTTCCAGGTTGTCTCCTACGTTCTTCGACAACTAGATTGGCACTGCATTTTGCTTTTCCACCTCGATTCTCAGCGATCACGGAGAAAACTCCAGAGTCCTCCATAAACACTTGTCGAACAATCAGCACCGACTTCGTGCTGAACGTGTATATCTGAAGATCCGCTGAATTTTGAATCGGGAAATCTTCGCGATACCATTTGACGGTCGGCAATGGATCACCGTCGAACTCGACTTCGAATCGTGCCTGTTCCTGCTCGAAAGCTCGGCAAGGTTGGATCTTCTTTGTAAATACCGGTGGCTTAGCTGGCTTCGTTGGACCCTGAACAACACGTTCCTGGGTCTTCGCTTTGTGCTCCACTTCGGTGGTTTCCGTCGCAGTTATCTTTCTGGTGATCTCCAGGTCACCTTTTACCTCTTTCTGCGTTTGTTTCTGTTTAGCCACGTGAACCTCGCGACCGTGAACCGTGGACTCCGATGGTCCTGGAGGATACTTTCCCGTTACTTTCATTCGTTCCACGTCAATGTCCACTTCCGTCGTGTGCGGTTTCTTCAAGGGTCTCGGAGGTGGTTGAACTGTCTCCTGGGTTTTTTCATCTTTCTTCTCTTCTCTGGAAATTTATTCACCGTTTGGTTAATAATATAAAAGTACAATGAAAATTATGAAATTTTCAAAGTAAAAAATTAATGAATACTTACAAAGTTTCTTCATATTTCTGTGCCATTCCCTTCGCCACAGAGTCTGCAACAACCTTTTCACCGGGAATAGCAAATTGATGACTAGATTCTCTCAATCTCGTTTCCTTCAAGACTTGTTCCTCCTCGAGGGTCATCAGTTTGTTATAATATTCTTCGTTCTTCTTGCTCTTCACCGATTTCTGCCAATCGGTCTCAGGCTCCTTGAACACCTTCTGTCCAAGATGTTCCGTGGCGATTTCGATCCCTTGGGACACGTTGTGATGTCTCTCGTCGAATACTTTCTCCAGTTCTGTATTCTGTCGCTCCGTTTGGTATTGTGTCAGCCCGTAATCATACCACGCTACAGGAAAATCACGTTAGATCCTTCTGTTCTGACGAATTGCTGATTCGACAATGCATGCCAGACGAACGTCGAAAACATTCAATTTCAAGTGAAAATATAACATTCCTCGATGATGACAATAATTGCATTCAAAGTATTCGTTTATATTGAAAGATCTCAAGTTAAAATTTCGGGATTTTTCAAGCTTTTATGAATCATCGAGAGAACGTTAGATTTTCATAGATAGAGATTCGTAGAGAATCACGGGGAAATACGACACAGTACTTAATTGGCGATGCAACACATAGACACGGCTCCAAATGAATGGAGCAGAATGGCCGGAAACCATACCATCGGAGACACAGGTGGACATCCGGACAATCGAAGTTAGAGCACGTGGTTCACTCGATCTCGTGGGTCATTTCTTTAGCATTCCATTGGAAACATTTCTCGGATTTACATCGATTTTATTCAACAATTTCATTCTTATCAATTGGGAGACTCTCTAAATTCAAACAATTTCTAATCGTGCATAGAAACTCAGTGTACCTGTTTAAACATGGTAATTGAGGAAAATTCAAATTTTCAATGATAATTATCAGACACTGAATCTCTGTTACACAAAACACGATAGAGAAAAAGGGAAACGGATATTAGGGAACATATAAACGTTCTAATAAATCTTTGAAACATTTTCTATAATGACACTATTCGATGAGGATTAGGAGTAATTAACGCCGATACTAACATCGTCAATAGGAAGCACTCTGAGAAACACGGACCTCTGCTCGAATGGATGAATCAATTTGCGATTGAATGGAAGAAATAATATATTAAATAAAATCCAGATGAATGAATTCGACGAAGGTAACTTTTCCATTAGAAAAAAAAGGAAAATATTGATGAGCAATAAACCCGTTTTCTCCAGTGCAACAGAAAATTATCTAACGTACGAAGAAAAATATTTATACAGAAATGATTTAAATAAATGAAATTTTAATGAATAAATTGAAGCTAAAATTATTATCTCTGTATACAATATTTCACTTCGTGCATTTTTAGTCACAAAAAATAAAAGAAATAAAAATAGAAAACACTGATGAACAAATAATCGAAGAAACGAGTTGCTTCATTCTCGATAACTTGAATCCATACCTGAGTGCCGGTTTGCGAAACAGAAGTAGCCGATACCTTTCGCATTAGACGACATTGCCCGAAGCCCGAAGAGGAGGAAGAAGCTGCTCGAGGTGCTCAAGGTGCTCGAGGATCATCTTTCGAATCCTTTTTGTAATACTTCTCAAAGGAACGAGGTGAAAGTAACAGGATAAAGGGTTTTGGTGTTCGAATTTTTGGTTTCGAGTGTTTTCATTTCTGTGCTCGAATGGAATGTACGTGTCGTATCTATATTCTTATGTACTGTGTTGCGATTGTTTACCTTTCCCTTATTATTCGTCGCTTTTCTTCGTGATTGATTCTTGTGCAATATATCATCTTGTTCTTTGTAATCTCGTGCATTCTTTGCGACTAAATCATTCTTACTATTTCTTTTCTTTTTTTTAACTTGATAAGATAGTCGAGCATTTGTTCAAGTATAATATTTTAAAGAGATAAAAATAAGATAGAAACGTTTTGGATTTCTAAGACGCAAAAAATGCAATGAGACGTTTGTGTAAGGGAATCTCTGTTTCAGGATAGACTTACGTCTCGGCGAGTTCTTCAACACTCCACGATAATCGTCGCTTCTTGGTTTCACTGTCAGGGTAGTTTCAGTGCGAGATTCGCCAACTGAACTTCTCGCGATCACTTCGACCTTGCCGTGATCGTACTGTCTCGTCTTGGGGATGTCCAGATGATACATGCCATCGTAAGTTAGCTTGTAACGCGATCCCTGTACAAAGAAAAATTATTTAACTGTCGTTTGTTGAATTTATTCGATCGATGAATCCTGTAAAATTGATACTGACGTTGACCACAGTGTGACCATTGATGATCCACATGACACGCGGACGTGGATGACCCGTGACACGACAGCAGAATCTCGAACAATCACCCTCCTCGACCGTGACAGGCTCAGGTTTGCTGACGAATGTTGGAGGTGCCCGCACCTTCTCTTCTTCGCCTTCTTCCTCAGGTACTCTGTATATATAATTTTCAATAAAATTCTTGTAACAAAAATTCTCTGAACTTGGACTACCCCTCAAAAATATCCTAGTAACTCCAATGCTTTCCATAGAAAAAAAGAATAAAATAACTTACATTTGCCATGCAGCTTCCATTTCTCTGATCTTCTCGATACTCTTCATGCCCTTTGGCAACTGTGACTCGTAAATAATTCCAGGTTTACCGGCAGTTCTGATCACCGCTCTTGTTTCGTCCATTCCATAAAGATTCGTTGCTCTGCAGAGATATTCTCCGCTGTCTTCGGGGTACACCCAACCGAAATTCATGGCCACGTAACCGAAATCATAGATAGGTGTAAATCTGTTCTTGTGAGGTAGAGGTTTGCCGTTGAAGAACCATTCAACCTTCATGTTTGGATCGCCAACAGGCGCCAATTGGCACTCGAATTTCGAGCTGTTCATTTCAACTAACTCAGTTTGATCTAGTATCTGAGTGACGAATCGAGGTGGTTGTTTCTTGTCGGCATCGTAGAGATCATCCTCTGTCAAGTGCACCTCCGAAGTGTATTTCTTAATTGTCGCTTCCATCTGCATCAGTGCTTCAGATTTCTTCATACCCTTTGGCACTTGGTTCTGTAGGATAATGCTGGGCAACTCTGTCGAATAAAACGTTCGTTTAAAAGGTTTATTTGTTATTAAAAAGTAAAAAAATGGATTACTCACTTTTACAGGATAGCGATGCCCTAGTAGTGTCCTCTCCAAGATCATTGATAGCCTTGCACACGTATTCGCCCGAGTCTTCAGGGTAGACGTACAGAATGTCCATGGACACGAATCCCATGTCGTACATGGTTCTGTATCTGTGCCCAGCCGGGATCATTTTCCCGTTTCTGTACCATTCGATACGCAAATTTGGATCATCTTTCGGTTCCACGCGACATTCGAACCTGACCGGTTCCGATTCGTCCACCGTCGCTGATTGAATGTGCGTGATGAATCTTGGTGGTTGTCGCGGTGCTTCTTCGACAGGCGGTTCGCTGACTGGTCCACGTTCTAATTCTTTCAATTTCTCACCGCTCATTCCTGATGGTAGTTGAGAATCGAAGTCTATCGTCTTCTTGGCTAAATGATTGAACATTTAAAATATTAACACTTTTGTCGATAAAAATTCGATTTTAATATAAATATTAATACTTACATTTGCAAGTGATGGTCGCTTTGGTAGTAGCAGATCCCCATTTATTCGTAGCTCTGCAAACGTATTCACCGCTGTCCCTGGCGTAAGTATAAGACATATCCAAGGATATAAATCCAAAGTCATTGATCTGATGAACTCTGGAGCCAGTAGCGAATGATCGTCCATTATGGAACCAATCGATACGCATCGTAGAATCGCCCACTGGTTCGACCCTGCAGTCGAAGTGACTGGGTGCTCCTTCTTCAACCTCGATATCCTTCAGTTCTACGGTGAATTTAGGAGGATTAGGCGTTTCCTCTTCGGTCAGTATCTCGTCACGTTTGTACAAAGCCTCCTCCAGTTTCTGGATACTTTCTGTTCCGGTCTTGAAGTTAGTAGGAAGCTGAGGTTCCAGGATGATACCTTGACGACCACGTACTTGCAATTTACAGTTCACTGTAGCTTCGCCGTGACGATTGGTTGCTTTGCAAGTATAAAGACCAGAATCTCTTTGGTAACAATTAGCCACTTCAAGAATGACGAAACCAAAGTCGTGGATCGTTTTGATCCTACTTCCAGCTAGCAAAGGCTTTCCATTATGGAACCATTCGACCCTCATGCTGGAATCGTTGATGGGTGTCAGTCTGCACTCAAAGTGTGCCAGAGAGTTCTCGGTTAGGGTCAAATCTGACGGTGTAGTGACGAATTCCGGTGGCTTTCCTGTATCGTCTTCCGGTGTTACTTGACCTGGCTCGTTTCCAAGACCTTCTAATTCCGCGATCTTGTCGATGGTACTTTCCATTCCTTTCGGTAATTGAGATTCCAAGATTATGCTACGTTTTCCAGTACACTTCATAGTGCAGGTGGTCACTGCTTCGCCGTACTCGTTTGTTGCTCTGCAGCTGTATTCGCCAGAGTCTTCAGGGTAGATGGGAGAGATTTCCAGGATTACGAAGCCGAAATCGCAGAAGGTGCGGAAACGAGAGCCGGTTCGCAATGGTTTTCCGTTCCAGAACCATTCGACCTGTGCATTCGAAAAAATTATATTAGTATTATTACTATAATTTCATTAGTTTCATTTAGTATTCTAAGGACTTACCTTTAGTTTTGGATCGTCGGTGGGTATAAGCCTAGCTTCAAAGTGCGCGCTTTCGCCTTCTCGAAGTCCATCGATGTTACTCAAAGGCACCGTGAACATCGGAGCTTTTCCACGTTCTTCGACAACCTTCTCATCTTTCGTACGAATCATCGAGTCCTCCAGAGTCTGGATCTTCTCCAGACCACCTTCCATTCCCTTTGGAAGCTGAGATTCCAAGATGAGACTGGCTTTCGAGAAGCACTTCAACGTTGCCTTGGTAGTATCCTCTCCGTACTTATTGAAAGCTCTGCATTCGTATACTCCAGAATTCTCCTCGTAACAGTACAGTATATCCAGAATGACGATACCAAAATCATGGAAGGTCCTGTATCTGTGTCCATGAGGAAGTTTCTTGCCATTGTAATACCACTCGACCTTCAAATCTGGGTCGTTTACGGGCGTGAGTCTAGCCTCGAAGTGAGCAGACTGTCCTTCGACCAGTCTGGTAATATCGACGATCTGAGTGATGAATTTCGGTGGTTCAGCTACTGGAGTGGTCGGTGTCGTTGGTTGCTCACCGCCGAAGCTCTCCAACTCTCGGATCCTTGCTAAAGAATCCGGCTGCAGGGAGTCCAAATACACTCCGCTCTTTCCGAAACATTTCAAGGTAGCTTTGGTGAAATCTTCGCCGTATTTGTTGCTGGCTTTGCAAACGTACTCGCCGGTGTCGTGAGCCATCACTCCAGCGATATCCATCACGACGAATCCAAAATCAGAGACCATCTTGAACCTTGACGAGTGTCTCAAAGGTTGACCGTTATGGAACCACTCGACTTTCATTTGAGGATCTCCTACAGGGATCAAGGTACACTCGAAGTGTGCCGACTGGCCATCTTTAAGGCCTTCGAGAGATTGAATATGAGTGGTGAATTTAGGTTTCTGTCCCTTGGATTTATCCACGCATTGCAATTCCACGCTGATCTCTGCTTGACCCCATTTGTTCGTAGCTCTGCAGGAATAGGTGCCTGAATCTTCTATCTTGGTTCCAAGCACCTCGAGAACAACCATACCAAAGGCGTAGACTGTTCTAATACGGTGACTAGCTTCCAGAACCTTTCCATTGTAGAACCATTCGACGACCATGGTTTGGTCACCTGTTGGAGTGAGAGATGCCTCGAAGTGGGCGATCTCTCCTTCGGATAAGTTGGTTAAATTCTCGAACTGTGAGGTGAACACTGGAGGATGACCTTCCTCGCTCTCGGGAGGAGCACCTTCTTGTCGTTTCAACGACTCTTCGAGGTCTTGGATAGCCTCGAGACCTTCCTTACCCTTTGGATGCTGAGATCTTTCAATGATATTCTCTTTGGTGGAACAGTAAATGGTTGTCGAGGTGAAGGCCTCGCCTGCCTTGTTGTAAGCCTTGCAGGTGTAGATTCCAGAGTCTCGTTCGTAGACGTCTGTCAGGTCCAAAGTGACGAATCCAAAGTCGCTGGTCATTTTGAATCTAGAAGCATGCTCCAAGACTTTGCCATTGAAGTACCATTCGATCTTCAGGTTTGGATCGTCTTTCGGCTCTACTTGACCTTCCAGATGAAGAGGTTCAAACTCTCCCAGCTTGAACTCTGGTTGCAGAGGTACTGTCCAGATTGGTTTTGGATATTCATGTTCTGGCCCTTCATCTGGTCTCCTGTATTTGGACAGATAAGCATCTTCAGCTTCTTTCACCTTCTCCAAACCAGCCTCTCCCTGAGGATGTTGGGTCTGCAGGTAGATGCTCTGTTTACTGGTACACTTCAAGGTACCAGACGTCTGTGCTGATCCTTTAGAGTTAGTAGCTTTAACGATCACCACTCCAGAGTCTTCTTCGTAAGCATGAGTGATGTCCAAGGCAACGTAGCCAAAGTCGTAGGTGGATTTGAATCTAGCTCCGGTAGGCAAGGGTTTTCCATTGATGAACCACTCGATCTTCATGGTCGGGTCTTTCGAGGGTTCCACGTTGCACTCGAAGTGCACGTTATCACCTTCCACGCATTCCACGTTGTTCAAATGGGTGATGAAAACTGGTTCTTCGTAGATAGGCTCTGGTTGCTCTGCCGATGTAACGTGAGGTTGTTCCAGCGCGTCGATCTTAGGAAGAGCATCGGGATGAAGAGTGTCACCCAGAAGCCAATGACGATCGACGATCTTCAAGCTGCAGGTGGACACAGCTTCGCCAAGCAGATTGGTAGCTTTGCAAGTATAAATGGCTGAATCGTCTGGTCTTAACCCATTGATGGACAAGGTCACCAGACCAAAGTCGAAGGTGCTGCGAAGTCTCGTTCCAGTTTGAAGAGATATACCGTTCTTGAACCATTCTACGCGGAGATTTGGATCAGCTCTTGGTTCTACTTGAGCTTCTAAATAGACATGTTGACCTTCCACGAGTTTGTCGTAGCTTTCAAGGTGTTTCGTGAATACCGGAGCTTGCTGAGGTGTTGTATCAACGAACATTTCTGGTACTTTGTTCATTTCGGCTTCTTTGAGCTGAATCTTCTGCCAGGCATCGGGTTGGATACTGTCGGCATCGATTGCCGAGCGAGCTTTCACCTTGAGGGAAATTGAGGAAACCGCTTCACCGGCTTTGTTAATTGCTTTGCAGGTGTACACACCGGAATCTTCGGTTATCACTTTCAGAATGTCCAGGGTCACGTAACCAAAGTCGTGACTCACGTGGAAACGAGATCCTTTTAAAAGAAATAGAAAATTACAAAATCCTCCTCATATTTTCGATTTGAAAATATTTTTTCAAATAAATTCTTACCCATTTTTAATTCAACACCATTGATGTACCATTCGAATCTCAAACTTGCATCACCAACCGGAACTACTCTGCACTCGTATCTGGCCATTTGACCTTCCCAGAGTTCTGTGGGTCCAGTCAATAATTGTGTGAAGATGGGTTTGTCGAATACCTTCTCTGGCTCTTCGGGTCGACTAGGTTTGTCAGCTTCTAATTGGGCGATCTTACGTTGCGCTTCAGGGTGCTGCGTATCTAACTGTATACTTGCTTTGCCTAAATAAGAACAATTTAATCATCCAAATCGTTAGAAGTTTTTGAAGAAGCTAGCACGGTTTTCAATTTAACGCGAGTAGACTTACTCTTGATTTTCATGGAAGCAGTGGTGACAGCTTCACCGAGTGGATTGGAAGCACGGCACATGTAAACACCTTCGTCTTCTTCACGCACATGGTTGATATCCAGGGATACGTATCCAAAATCGTGGACTTTAGTGATTCGTGAACCTGAACATAGCAAGTAAGTACATGGTATGAATTTTTGTTAAGTGTTCTAATCATAGTCATCTATTAAAATTCCTCCTGAAAATGACTTACTTGTCTCAAGTGGAATTTCATTTCTGAACCACTCGACTTTCAAAGTAGGATCTCCCACAGGTATCAACCTGCACTCGAAGTGAGCAGTTTGTCCTTCAGGAATGGCATCGATATTTTGCAATGGTTGAGTAAATACAGGTCTTTGTCTCGTCTGAGGTTCCGGAATATCAGGTCTCTTCCAGGGTTGTTGTGCCTCCAATTCTCGGATTTTATCCAATCCTTCAGGACGTTGAGAATCCAGAATAATGTTGTCTCTGGGGATAACTCTCAGCTCGATGGAGGAGACACATTGTCCAAGAGCGTTGATGGCACGGACAGAATATTCTCCAGCATCTTCAGGAACTGTGTGGCCGATATCCAAAGCCACGTAGCCGAAATCGAATGTCACGTGGAACCTTGAAGCTGATGGTAATGGTTTGCCATTATGGAAGAATTCGATTCTTAAGTTGGCATCGTGAAGAGGCTCAATCTGACACTCGAAGTGGGCAGTTTGTCCTTCGTATACCTCAGTGGTACCCTGAAGAAATTAAATATTGTGATACAGAAAGTGTAGACTACTTTGGGTGAATTAATAAAATTTGAAATTTATTATAGAACTCATACCCTGAGTTCAGTGACGAATCTCGGTGGTGTCACTGGTGGTTCTTCAACTTCTAAGCGAGCTGGGTGCCCTTGAGCCTCGAGTTCACGGATCTTTTCAAGGCCATCAGGATGTTGGGTATCTAACAGAATACTGCGACGAGCTAAAAAAGAAAATTTCGCATTACACGTATGCTTAACAATAAAATTGATTGCACACTGAAATGAACAAATTACTGTTTCAATGAATCCATGAATTATCCTTTTCTATCGTGAACACGAAGAACATCTATTATTTCTACAGTTTCTTATTCTTTCAATTTTGTATGGATTTTCTTTGAGGCCCTGAAATGTGACTCGTCGACAAATACCACGAAATTCTGGAGGTTGACAAACATATTTTATATCTCTTCTTCGAGGAAATTTGTTATTGAAATTCAATTCAGATTTTCTTCTAGTTCCTTGATACTGATTTTCATTAAAGTAATTTTTATATTTTTGAGGAATCTCCGTAAGTTGTTTATTGCATTTACAGCTTGTTAAAGAAAAGGAGCCGAATCTAGGTTTCAAAGTTGAAGAATTTTCCCTCTGAAAATATGACATTGGAGAGAGTTTTCGTTCGCGATAACAATCGTCTTGTTTGGTCCTCTCAGGAAGATTTAGGAGCCGGAAGTGAGGTGCAGGGTAACGCTGGTACTTCGCTAATAAGAATGTTCATTTACTAAATTAGTTTTAAAACTTAATTGATATTTGTATTAGGTTATAAAAATAATAAAAAGATATAGTAAATTCTATTATTTATAAGATGAAATGTATTAAAAAAAATTGCAAAATTTTAAACGAAGTATGGATCAGAAGATAGTATAAGATATGCCAATGACAATGCATTTGATTGTAAGCCGATATCTCAATCCGTTCCCGAGATATAAGCGTTTAAAGTTTAGCGTAAGAGCGCGCGAACGAATGGGGCAGAGGAACCCGGAAGACCCAGTGACCTACATTTTTTCCTAGAAGTGCGTACGCACGATAGTAGTAGTAAAAAACCGGTTCGCGCTACGTTTTCTTGAATGACCACTACAGTCGCGTGGGTAATGTAGGTCAGTGGTAAGGATCGAGTGAGAGGTCCTAGCGAAAAATTACGGTTGTCTTTACACGACGATATCTCAGGAACCAATGATCGTATCGAAATGAAACAAACGTCATTTTAAAGAGGAGGAAATGTCACTTCTATTAATGTTAACAGTAAAATTGTATGTTGCTTTAGTCGCGAGATATTACACTTTAAAGATGATGGTTTTTTAATAGCTTTTCTTGGGGTTATTTTATGATTATTTCGATATAATAGTGGATATTGTACTCATATTATACATATTTTTACATAAAAATAGAAGATAAAGTAGCTACCACATGAATTTCTTTATATATTAATAAATCAATTACTTACAGCCAACCTTGATGGTACACGTGTTGACAGCCTCGCCAGCCAAGTTTGTAGCCTTGCACATGTAAGTGCCAGAGTCTTCAGGGTATGTGTAAAGAATATCAAGGGCCACATAGCCGAAATCGTGTGTTTTACGAAAACGATGTCCTGTTTTTACAGCGACTCCGTTGACGAACCTGATCAAGTAAATATTAAATCCACCCAGTTAAAATTTAATCGAACGACTATTACAAATTCTAACCATATTAACTAAAATCAATTTTTCTTACCATTCTATCTTCAGATTTGGATCGTTGATAGGTTCGACACGGCACTCTAAATGAGCATGTTCACCTTCCTTTAGGTGATCCAGGTTGTTCAGCGGTGTCAGGAACACGGGCTTCTGGTGTACAACCTCTTTTTCAACCTCTTGTTTCACCTCTACAGTCTCTAATTCGCGAATCTTCTGCAATCGTTGAGCATCCAAGGTGTCCAGAAACAGGCCTTGTTTCGCTGTTAAAAAATAACGAACACGTTTCAACGTTTATCCTTTCATTCGAAGACATTTAACATGGGTTTTAGAGGTAGCTTGTCGATCAACTTATTAATTTGGAGGTTCCGAAAAGGTTATGAAATTCATTCGAGATTTAAGCATGTCAGTTGTTTAAATTGATAAATTAATAACTGACAGTCTGTTGAATACGATATTTATTAACTTACAGTCAACGCTGATGACACAAGTAGTGACAGCCTCGCCAACAGCGTTCCTCGCTTTGCACATGTAAGTTCCAGAGTCTTCTGGGTAAGCATAGAGAATATCCAGAGCAACGTATCCAAAATCATAAGTGGTCTTAAATTTGTGTCCTTGAGGAATAGGTCTACCATCTCTGAACCATTCAACCACCATAGTGGGATCATTGACAGGCGTTAAAGTCGCCTCGAGATGAGCACTCTTGCCTTCTGGCAAATGTTCGATATTTTTCAATGGACGACCGAATTTCGGTTTCTCAGCGATGATCAGATCTTCTTGATCCACACGTTTGTAACGTGAATCGTCTTCGAGATATTGGATCTTCTTCAAAGCACTCTCGTGTTGTGTTTCACGAATAATTGAGGCGCGAGCTGCAACGTGTCGTTCGTTAAATAAAAATAGAAAATGTAGTTGGAGGACAGAAGGGGTTGAAGATAATAGAAATATTCATTATTTACTATTCATATCACACAACGGTAATAATTACAAGTAGAAACGAAAAAATGATACAACGATGAAAAGGATAAGGTGAAACATTTAAACAGAAGGTATTTTACAGAAGCGAAACTAAGTCTACTAACGACAATAAACTAATAAGCCACGGGAAATAAGGTTTATGGGTAAAATAAAATGCTTGGTTACGTCCACCTGCTGTCCCCGTGTGTGAAATTTCGATGATCATAGAAGTATCAATTGTTCGAGGTATTTTAGATAATTAAATGTTCAAAGTACAATTTAAACGATACTCCTATTTCACCATCTTCAACAAAATCCAAACCTGTCCAAGTCACAACTCCCCATTTTTCCTGGACATTTTTCTACTTACATTTCACGTCAAGTTTGATCGAACTCTGCGCCGATCCCAGTTTATTGGTGGCCTTGCAAGTGTATGTACCAGAGTCTTCAGCATAAACCGTGAGGACATCCAACGAAGCAAATCCAAAATCACAGGTAGTTCTATACCTGTGACCAGTGGACAATGGTTTGCCATTATGGAACCATTCCACTTTCATGTTCGGGTCTGGATAAGGCTCGATGCGGCACTCATAGTGTGCGCTTTGGCCTTCGACCAGGTTTGTGGGTCCGTTCAGTTGGACTGTGAACGATGGTTTTTCCTTCACCACGATCTCTTCTTCCTCGTGACGTTGATATCTGCTCGTGTCCTCCAGAGCTTGCAGTTTCGATAGAGCGCTCTCGTGCTGCGACTCGAATTGCAGGGCCGCCTTGGCTGTGTTTGGGAACAGTTTTGTTTTGTCAGTGTGCCATTGTAAGAGTGTTTGTGAACGGCGATGGGGCATTTCGTGTGAATGAAAAATGTTGCAATGTTTTCAGTTTGAAAAAAATGAATTAAAAAAAGATCATAGGTGAAAGCGTATAAAAATACTTCTACGAACACTTCACCAAAAAATAATTGAAAAACAGGAGACTATCTGTGCACACAGAATACAAAATCTACGTGTAAGCAATTGCTTGACGCGTACAAAGCTCATCTGTGGCTTACAAAAAGCATTGCTGAAAATCGAAACTTCAGATGATTCTCCGTCCTTTTTGCAATTCATACTTACACTGGACGAACAGCGTTGCTGACGTTACTGCTTCTCCAAGATCGTTCACTGCACGACAAGTGTAGGTACCTGAGTCTTCAGGGTTCACGTATTTCATGTTCAGAGCGACATATCCGAAATCATGCATCGTTGTCACGCGATTTGCTGTAAGAAAAAAAGAGTTCGCTGCTTTCTGCAAGAATTCTCCGAACAATTGCTCGTAATTTTTTAAAATTTAGATGTAACTTACAAGCTGCGATTGGAACTCCATTTCGCAACCATTCGACTTTCAATTTTGAATCGCCAACAGGAATCACACGAGCCTCGAAATGAGCTGCTTGATTTTCAGCAACTTTCAGATCTTTAATAGGCATCGTGAAAACTGGAGCTTGAGTAACGATCTCCTCTGTTGTGGTTTTACGTTGGTATCGGGAAGTATCCTCCAGATGGTGAAGTCGTTGGAGAGTCTCTTCGTTCTGAGTTTCTGTATAGATCGACTTTTTCGCTATTGAAAGAAAGAAAAAAAAATAACAATGTTAGGAGAAAAAAATACTTTCCTTTTCTTTATAAAAATGAAGAAACATACAGTGAACGTTAGCGGTAGCTGAAGTAATCGCCTCTCCAATGATATTCTTAGCTCGACAAGTGTACGTTCCTGAGTCTTCAGGGTAGGCGTACATAATGTCCAGAGCCACGAAGCCAAAACTGTTTGTTTCAATGAATCTGGATCCAGCTTTAACTGGCTTGTTATTATGGAACCATTCCACTTTCATCGTTGCATCGGACACTGGAATCAGTCTGCACTCGAAATGAGCTCTCTGACCTTCCTTGATCTCCACATTGTTGAGGGAAGTAGTAAATATCGGCGCTTGAGTGGTTGTCTCTTCGACATCTTCCCTTCTTTGATATTTGCTTCTGTCCTCCAAGTAATGAATCTGTTCGAGACCCTGCTCGTTCTTCGTGTCCGTTAAAACCTGAGCAGTGGATCGACAGCTGAGACTGCACGACACTTCGTCACTGCCAACAAGGTTGACAGCACGGCAAGTGTAGGTGCCAGAGTCTTCGGCAATCAAGTCGATTACGTCCAGAGCAACGTAGCCGAAATCGTGTATCGGACGGAATCGGTGTCCTGGAGATGATGAAGAACGATTTTAATTTGTAAAACTTGGAAGTGGAATAATTTATTTAATTAGTAACTTTGTACCCACCTATTGTAACCGGACGACCATTTTTGTACCACTCGACTTTCAAATTCGAATCCGTCACTGGTTCCAATTTACACTCAAAATGAGCATGTTGTCCTTCGTGAAGATTTTCCTGATTCTTCGGAGCAGTGACAAATCTTGGCTTAACTTTCACCACTTCGTCAACTAGTTCGTGTCTCTTGTACCTGGAAGCATCTTCCAGGTATTGAATCCTCTCTAATCCTTCAGGATGCTGAGACTCCAATAACAAATCTTTCTTCGCGTGTACTCTAACCGAACACGAAGTGACCGCTTCGCCAAGTTGATTTCTAGCTTGGCAAGTGTACACCCCTGAGTCTTCAGGGTAAACACCAAGTATGTCTAGAGCCACGTAGTCGAATTCGTAGGATGGTCTGAATCTGTGCCCGGTTTTCACTGGTCTACCGTTCACGAACCACTCGACTTTCATCGTAGCATCGCCTACTGGTTGGAGACGACATTCCAGATGGACATTCGTCAGTTCTACTGTTTCTATGTTGTGCAATGGTCGCGTGAACTGGGGTGCTTGCATTACCGTCACCTCTTCTTGTTGAGTTTTCCGGTATCTGTATGTAGAAATTCGTAATTGTGTAAATAAAATAAAAATAGAATGTATAACATTCCAGTGACATGTTTAAATCAAGTATATTTTACTAACCTGGCTGCATCTTCGAGCATCTGAATCTGTTCGAGCGACTGCTCGTGCTGAGTTTCAGTAACGATATCAGATTTTCCAATGACTCGAACGCATGCCGAAGTATGAGCAGTGCCAAGATGATTAGTAGCTCTGACAGTGTATTCTCCGGAATCGAGGATAGTTGAATGTACGATATCCAAAGCGACGAAACCGAAATCATAGTAGGTTCTGAATCTGGAGCCAACGGTAACGGGACGACCGTTTTGGAACCATTCGACTCTCATCGTTGGATCTCCCATTGGTTCCAAACGGCACTCGAGATGGATATTTTTACCCTCGCTCACAGGTTTAGGGTCGCTTAAGGGTTGAACGAAGATAGGCTTTGATTTCGATATTTCTTCGATATGATATTGAGGTTCGACGAACTTTGATTCCTCGAGACGCTGGGTCTTCTCGTACGATGTTCGATGCATGCTGCTGGTATCCACGCTCGAACGTGCTGTAATTAAAACAAACGATGAAAATATGAATAATTTTACAACACACCATTGATATAGTCGATATATCAATTTTATAAAATACATACTTTCTACAACCATAGTAGCAGACAATCGAGCCTCTCCAAGGGCGTTTCTAGCGACCACAGTGTAAGTACCAGCATCTTCGGGTCTGACTTGAAGAATATCAATAGCCACGTATCCAAAATCATGATAAGTTTGAATCCTGTTCGCAGCAGTGATGGCTTTCCCATTGTGATACCATTCGATAGTCATGGTCAGATCGCTCTGAGGTTCGACACGAGCCTCGAAATGGGCACGTTGACCTTCGACGATTTTATTTGTTCCTTTCAGGGTGCCCAAGAATCTTGGAGCTTGAGTAACTTGTGTCTCCTCTTGAACCTGTCGCGAGTATCTGCTGGAATCTTCCAAAGTTTGGATCTTTTGTAATCCAGTTGGATGTTGACTGTCGTAGATTACGTCGTTCTTGCTAATCACGCTTAATTGAGCTGTCGTGTGAGCTTCACCTGCGCGGTTGTAAGCTCGACAGGTGTATATTCCGACGTCGTGGATGGTTACGTATTTGATGGTCAGTGCCACGTAACCGAAGTTGAAGAATGTCGTGATACGTGAACCTGGTTAAGAGATTCGTTAGTTCATGTTCCAAATGCGAATACGCGTAACTTTAACTTACTAGCTTCTACAGGGCGTCCATCCTTAAGCCATTCAACTCTCAGATCAGAATCGCCGACTGGTTCTAGGCGGGCTTCGAAATGAGCAAAACCGCCTTCTCGTATGCTGTTCTGATCCTTAATAGGAGATTTGAATTCCGGCGGGCTGGTCGGTTCAGGCTGTTCCTGCACGTATTTCTGGTGCATAGCCTGCTGATATGCTTCCAATTCCTCGGCAGCCTCGATGTACCTCTGTTGCTCGGGGATTCCCAAGTCGGTAGTAACGCTTGTGCGTGCTGTACAAATTAAATGACACAATTTTTTTTCCAATCGATTTATGATATATTATAATATTATACTTACCATAGACACGGAGAGATGCGGAGCTGACGGCCTCTCCCAAGCGGTTCACAGCTCTGACAGTATAAGAACCGGCATCTTCAGCTCGTAGGTGCAATATATTGAGCGAGACGTATCCGAAGTTGAAGATGGTTGTGATTCTTGAGCCTAAAGATCATTATTATCAATTTATTAGCCAAGTAAGATTGAAAATCTTGAAAGGGGACTTTCTGTCACTTTTGTACAGGCCAAACGGTAAGAGTTATCGAAAAAATTCTTGTGCCATTGTGTTTAGTGGGTCAAAATCTCAATGATTGGCCGAAAATTTGTTTTTTTTTTTTTTGCCACTTCCGTTCTGACCGTAAATGACCGAAAAAGGGTTGGCTCTAGAGTGAATCTCGCTCTAGTTCATACTGTTTATACTGTTATCACGAATGATTTATAGATGAAAAGAAAAAGAAATACTTACTAGCTGTGATTGGCCTACCATCCTTGTACCACTCCACTTTCATCGTCGGATCACTTACAGGAGTGAGTTGCGCCTCGAAATGGGCGTTTCGTCCTTCCTGTAATTCTCCTAGATCCTGGAGTGGTCGGATGAAGGCCGGCCGCTGTGAAGAGATCTCCTCCACACTCTCCTGCCTTTGGTACTTGCTGTAATCCTCGAGCTGTTGAATGTACTGGAGGCTGTCGGGGTGTTGGCTAGCCTGTTCGATTGTTGCGCGTGCTGAAATCATTTCTCTCGGATCAGCGATCGATCGTTCAGATTCGTTCATCGATACATCATTCCTGGATATCGTAACTTACGTGTCACGCTGAGGGTAGCTCGAGATTCAGCGACTCCGGTCGAACTTACGACGCGGCATACGTATTCGCCGCTGTCTTGAAGAATTATGCTGATTAGGTCGAGAGAGATGAAGCCAAATCGGAAAATGGAAGTCGCACGGGAGCCTGAAATATTCGATCTCGATCAGCAACTCCGAATTCGATACGTTGGAAAAATTCAAATTATTAATAAAAATTGAAATTTCACTTACTCGCGTCGAGAGCTCTTCCATTAACGTACCACTCTACCCTCATGGTGGGATCGCCCACCGGTTCGATTCTGGCCTCGAAGTGAATTCGTCCACCCTCGATCTGATGGACGTCCCTTAATGGTATGATGAAACGCGGTGGTGGATAAACTCTGTCCTCTTCTGGTGGAGGCAAATATGGTTTGGCGCGTTCCACGTGTCTCAAATAGATCACTTCGGGGCCAGGCGCAGGTCTACGAATCATTTTCTATCATTATCTTCACCCTTCTCGAAATTATTTATTTAATACCCTACCATTATCCCTCTCCAAGTTGCATACAAATAAAATCAATTTAAATATCAGTACTACGAGTAGGATATTTTTTTCTTTCTTTTATTATCAAACGATTCGCTTACTCTGGTTCGATGACTTTCGTCGGTCGGGGTAAATTCAGGCGTCTTGGTTCGGGGGCTGCTCCTTTCGGTGTCTCCACGAAAAGCCTAGCTCGCGTAGCTGTCGAGCCGGCTACATTCTGTGCTGTACATTGGTACCAAGCTGCGTCTGATAATTTTGCGCAGGGTATATCCAAAGTTGAAGCTCCGCTACCGTCCGTTGATATGCGCACATCCGGTCCAGGTGTTATCGGCACTCCATCCTATCAAATCAATGAACATCGTGAAAGTAATTCTCGCGTGATTAAATTCAAATGAAATCATTACCTTCTGCCAGGTGATTCTAGGTACAGGAGTTCCAACAGCGCGTGCCATGAACACAACAGGTTCTCCTTCTTTCACGTTCGTCGTTGTGAATCGTTCGACGAATTTTGGCGCAACAACTTGTTCCTTCTCGATGACGTTCAGATTGCATTGGAACGACGTTTCACCGGCTTTGTTCCTCGCGACGCAGGTTACGACGCCGGCGTCCGCGCGGCTCACGTTCGTAATCATCAGAGAATTGTTTCCGGATTCGTTGACGAGGATCTTATGGGTCAGATCGTTGGCCACTTGTTGCCCGTTTATGTACCAAGTTACTTCCGGATACGGACGGCCGGTTACGCGACAATCAAACCTAACATAAATTACAATTATTCGTGATTCGATCTTGTCTAAATATTTTGAAGAAAATAAAAAAATATAAGACGTACCTAGTCATTTTCCCTTCGGTAGCATCACGATCGGTGCAGGTGCGAACAAAATTCGGCGGTAGAACCTTGCCAGAGTCTGATTCGCCGGTCGATTCTACTTGCGGTGTTTTCACGCTCTCTCTCGGTGTCTGATAAGCTTGATCCACTTGATCGCTCGATTCGATCGCCAGATATGCAGAACTAACGGTGCAACCTTGAGGGTTTTCCGAGAGCAAGGTGTAATGGCCGCTGTCTTCCGGCAGCGCGACTCTGATCCTCAAAGTGGCCTGTTGGTTCGAGTGGCTCATCTCCACGCGTTGAGATTCACGGATCCTTTGGCCGTTTTTAAACCATGTTAACTGAACACAATTGTAACGTTATTATTAGTGAGTATGATTTTTAAATAAATAAATAAATTGAGAAAGAAGAAGGGATTGTAGTTACTCTTGGTTTCGGATTTCCAGATATCTTCGCAGTGAAAACAGCGTCGGATCCTTCGATCAGCTTCGAATTTCTCGGCTTTTGGGAGATTTGCGGAGGTGCAACCGGTCCTAGGCTTCGGTCTACGACCGTCGAAATCTGTACGTCCGATTCGCCCACGAAACGGCGTGTAATGGATTCTCGAAATTCGGTTTCACGCAGGAGTCTGTATTCGAACGTGTCCACCTATAAACCGTTACATTCATTTGTTAATTCGTGCTTCCAGAGATGAAATTCAATTTCAAATTAAATATTTTATTATGGGAATGTTTGACGATGAAGGTACGTACCTTGAAGTCTTCGATGCTGGTACTGGTACCGTTAACATAGCTTCGTTTGTCGATCGTTTGCTGATAGCTGCGCTGCTGGAAGCTTTGACTTCCGGTTTGACTCTTTTGCTCGGTGGACTGGAAGGTTTGCGCGTACTCCTTCCGGTAGCCACCGATCTGCTGCTGAGGTGGAGGTCCGAATCCCTCTGGCTGAATGTAGACGGAACAGATCGCTTCTCCTGTTCAAGAAAAGTGTCGAATATTCGTGAAATAGATTTTCGTCAAAGGATTTGATTCTCTCTTGAAGAAATTTCATTCCAATTACCATATTGATTTTTAGCACTGCACGTGTATTCGCCCTCGTCACCAGGGCCGATTTGATTGATTTGAAGCGTGACTGCTCCGGTTTTATCGTCGTACGACATTCGAATTTTCCATGATTCCAACAACGGTGCACCCTTGTGCGTCCATGCGACGGTGGGTTTCGGGTTGCCTCTGACGCGACCCTCGAAAATTGCGTTCCCACCCTGCGCGAATCTGGCGTTCTTGAAAATCTGCTCGAAGACCGGCGGCGATGGATCACCGGGTCTGCCGGTAAAACTATCGGAACATAATGAACAATTTTTTTTTTAAATTACAGATAAGCTGATATTTTTGTGTTCTGCAAATGAAAATACTTACGCTGGTACCGTGGGCGTCGTCTGCATCACAATCTCTCCTTGAACTGTAAATTTAAAAAAATTACAACATATTAATCCATGAACCATGCGATTAATATTCATTTTCATAAAAGTTGCATTTTAATTTCCGTTTCCTCTTCGCACCACGGCAACTCAGTTTCATTCTCATTACGGTGCAGGAAGAAAGGAAGAAACTCTTTTTTTATTCAATCACCTCAGAGTTTATTACTTTTGTTTCATTACGAGGCTATTCTTTCGAGTGCATTTCCTCTCGTTCGTTTGAGCTGGACCAGAACGAATCAGGGAAACGAACCGTTCTCTTCTGTGTTATCGTCACGCGTCGTGGTGACGTTCATTTTTGTTCAGACTCGGTGCAATTAAGTCAATTCGCTAATTACAACTGGGCGTTTTGTTGACGTAAAATGCTGATGACCCCCAGGCATTCTGTTAACGCGTTGCCTGTTATGGGGGTCACCGGTAACACGAATTTAATTCGACTAATTAAAGAGATGGGAGCAAAGATAATATTCTAACAATCTTACGAAGTGAACGATCAAAAGCAGCTCGGTACTCTTCCTAACAAAAATAAACATTCCATTGAATCTCAATGGTTGCTACTTAAACAGCTTTCGTTATCACGGTTAAGAAGCTAAGTAGATTGTAGGGTCGGTGACGCGATCGTTCAGAAATTCGAGACACGTTCGCACGCGATGCATCGCGCGTGCAATAAATTTGGTCCAAGAAAAAGAAAGTAATCACACCTGCATGGTACACTCGTACTTAGTACATTCCATTAATATGATAAAACGTTTTGGCACTTTCTCAAGAGATTGTAATCGATTGAAGTATGATGGGTGAAAACGATCCGGTGATACTGTGACCATTTTCACGATGAATAAAAAATCTAATAAATGCAATACTGTCCTAACAAAATATTGAAAAATTTTTTAATTTTATTATCGTTGCATCTAATTAGGTTAATTTCGATAAAATGCGAAAATCTGTAAGGAAATAAGGTGGCCATGTTTGACAGGGGCAATCACGATTTCGCCTTGGAGAAGGTCAGAGACGCGGGTTACACAAACATCGGCTACCTGGCGCAATAAAAAGAACGAAATATAGAGGTGTCGAGCGAAAAAGAGAGCGGTACCATTCTCGTTTGGTAAGAGAGAGGATGGTCGGGGAAGAGAGAGAGAAGAGCCGTAACGTGGTCGGATAACCGCGGGATCCTATTTTTGCATCCAGATGGGGATCGCGTTACCGTGGGCCATTTTAGGAGCAACTATCTTTGCGCGGCGCCCAGCGCCGCGACGCGTCTACGCGCTGCCGGACTACATGCACCTCGACCAATCGCCGTACACGTTACGCAAAGCCAGTCACTGACCAAAATAAAACAGCTTCAAACGTTGTTTCTCTCGCCTCTTCTTCTTCATACACTATCCCCCTTTCTCTCGTTTTCTTTTCTTTCTAACAGACACTATAGGAAAATATTTAGAATAGTCTATTGTAATATTGATGTTTCTCAAATAGAGACTCAAATAAGGATTTACTTTTTTTTTTAAGAATAATATGAATTAATGAAATATGTTTTTGCTGTGTTTGCGATCAGAATGATTGCTTATGTTTGTAATTATTGCCTTGTATCGTGGTGATAACTGGGTCAAGTTATTGTTTACCAATATGACAGCTTGCTTCCGACCCGATCAGTTGTTTTAAGAGCTTCCATAATGGTGTAGGAGTTTTGCAGAAAATACTTTGAAGGATTCATGGGATGTGAAACGATTTGTATTACCTTGATTCGATCTAGTTAGTCTCGAGTAAAGTGGTTTTGATGTTCGAATTGGATGGATTTAGGAGATGCAATATGGCTAAATGCCAATTCTCTCGAAGGGCTAATTCTGCAAACGTGATTTATCGACTGACCTCTAGGTCATCGAATTTTACTTGCGACCATATAGTTTTCACGATTTAGTAGCAATTAAAATCATTGCGATTTGTTCTGGGATTGATTTATTCGAATTGCCAGTTTAAATGCTTGAGTGTCAAATAAAATTTTATCTCTAATTGTAAAAATAAAATTAATAAAATTTTTTATTATAATATTCAACCCACGTTTCATCCATTCATCAAGAGATCATTTGCCATTTAGCATATTTCGATGACTCGAATCCTGCATAATCCTTTGGCAGACAGTAGCTTTATTAATAATGATGATTTAGTAGCGCGAAACAGCAGCTTTGTCACTGCTCGAATAATCATGCTTTTGTTACCAGCTGAAACGTTTTCAATGCAATTTCATGCATCCCACACGCGACCTGTATTCTTTTTAGATACGAGATCGATGGCGGTCTTCGAATTCGATCTGAGGCCAACTTTCTCGTTGAGCAGATTGGAGAAAAGTACTTGACATCTGTCATACGACAGTCAACACGCAATTCTCGAATAATAAAATTCAAGGTGCACGATTCTCATTGTACTAATTAAATTAAGAAACAAGTTTACGCGGAACAGAAATGTCAGCGATAATGCGTGTTCACCTCCGGTGCCTTATCAAACATTTTCGAAGCAAATATTTGAACGTTTGTTAAGATCGAGATACAGCTGACATTGCTCGCATTTTTATCCGTCTGATTTGCAAATTGAGAATTATATTCTTTCCGTAGATGCTCGAGATTTGTTTTATAATCGCGAATACGCGAGGCGAATACGTGTCCGATATTTTTGGTTCGTCTGCCGAAATTTCTTGACCTTCCGATAAAATTTAGACCAGCCAAAAATTGCTGGACACTGTTCGATTTTCAACAGGATCTGCCAAGAGGTAGTTGAAAAAAAAGAAAAGAAAAAAGAAATTGATACGATGACCTGTTCTTCATTGCGCACCTTTCAATATTTACTCAACGCATACCAAAAGAATTTTATTGCCCGAAATTTAGCTCAACCTTGCTATCTTTTATTTCGATTATTCAAAAAATATCTCGCTGCCGAAGATATACAACTTTATTTCCTGTGTTGAATTTTTCAAAGATAAAGTCAAAAATGAACATCAGAACAACTTTAATGAAATCTAGCTTCGTTTATCGAATTTTTACAAGAAACCTTGCACTACTAATGTGAGAATCGAATCTTGAGATAAGAATAATCAGCTTATAAAATAATATTTAATTTTACAAAAAGAAGCACTATACAAGAGATTAACGTACACGTAATCAGATATCCGGCTAACATGTGTTCGCTTTTACAGCTTTTCACAGCTACGTAAAACAATTTCAAACGAAATTTATGCTGGACGTGTTGAACGTGTTCGTTACGCTTTTAATAAACGCGTATATAATAAGCAGGATGCTGTCGATAGGTATCGTTTCTATTAAACGACGAACACGCAGTTGGCAAAGGCATTGTAGCGGAAGAGTGTATTTAAATTTACAGTGCTGGCTATAACCGTGACTAGTGGAAAATTGCGATACTTTCTTTACGGTTGTTGCACCCTGGTGACCGAGGCATAAAAGAAATAATAATCCTCGCTGCTTGGAAATTCTCACGTGAACTTCTCAGATTTTCATGGTAATCGATGAAAACATCGCTAAACAAGGTCATAAAATATGAAATAAGAACTTGGGAAACATACTGTGACCATAAAATGAACAGTTAAGAACCATGTCGTTTGCATAAAAACTTGATCTCAACATCCATAATACGCATTGAAACGAGAAGTAGCAAAGCTGAAAAGGAGAACCACGATAAATTGATCGGTAGCCGAATCCATCTCTATTCTGTCACGACAACATGGAAAAGCAAAGTCGGTGATCGTGGGCGAAAGTCGAAAGAAGTAGGCATTGATGGTTGTATGGAGGTGATTAAAGCGACGAAAATATTCCAAGAGCAACGCGTGAAGCCTTATTTCGGTCAAATGATTCATGGGGAACGAGGCGAGACCCTTTTACTGCCTCGTTTCTGTCGTTTTGTCACGCGACTAAATCACGAGAAAAATACCTTCTTCCTCTTTCTGCTTGAGAAATGCTTTCGATTTTTCCATGCTACCTCGCGACCATAGTAAACATTCGAAAGATAGAGTATTTTCATCCCCATATTGGAACATTTCCAACCCCTACGAATGCCAGAATTCGCGTAAAACATCGTTGAAACGATGAAATCGCGATGACATCAATTTTCGTTACTGACAATGAGAGGATAAAATCCTGCCTCTCTCCCTGGTCCGCCGTTCGAGGGTTAATACATTTGCTGTCCCTTTTGAACCGACATACTGTTGGACTTTTTGTGACGTGCACTTATGAGCTGTCAAGTTGGAAAACGGTTCGTTTTCAGCGATCAGAGTGGTTGTTCTTGTTTGGGGTTGGACAGTTCAAAGAGTAGCTGAAGTATGTTAGGGTGGTAGTATGAACGGTGTTTTCAAGAGGACTTAAGTTCCCGAGGATTGATTTAATAATGGAAATTCAAGATCTTCCAAAGAGAACTTTGGCTTGAATTCTAAACAGATTGCAGATGTTGATTCGAGCAGATGGGTTTATCAAGTACTTGTTTTTCACTCCAATTTACCCCATTTTTAGCCTATTTAATTATGGTACTATGAATAAAATTAACAAAGAATGTTTTCTATCAGTGACTGATTACTCTGAACTATTATTGGCGCGATCGATCACTGATCAATGGGCATTATTCTGAAGGTTACAGTGACAGATGTCATTGTACTATTTTCTATCCTATTCATTGATAATCGAACCTCCTAAAAATTTCCAATTTTCATCAAAAAATTACTCAAAAACCAGGAAAAAAGATATCTAATCTCTACAACCCTCTAAATTTCAATTAAATGTTTTTTAACTGATCATCAATTAGCTTGGGTTAATTAGCCAGCAATTATCAAGAAACATTATTTTCGACTGAACGAGCGCTGTCTGGATGAAAATCATGTCTGTCCAGATTTAGAAGACTCATTTTTCCTTCCTCGACTACAGGATGCAATCAAGTAGAGGCTACTGACAGATACGGCATCGGTGTTGGCTAGCGACGGTACAGAAACTGTTGG